TCTATGATCACCAGCCCCTTGGAGACAACGGGACAGAGAGAGACACACATGTTAAAGCAGTGTGACACTGTGGAAGGCACAGAGAGCCTTTTCCTGAAGATCAGGGGACACTGGAAGGCCTCACACAGACAAAAATGCCCAGGGTTTAAGAGGCCACTGATGTAGCTGCTTTCCTCCCCCACAGGTAGCCTGACCTGGGGCTAGTGGGTAAAGGCCATCTGGGAGAAGGGACCTTTCACAGCTGTGGGTTCCAGCTGAAAGGGGTCCATCTGAGTCCAGCAGCAGCAGGACTCCCAAATGCACAACTGGCCTAATGACAAATAGATGCTCTAGGGGAAGCTGGGTACATGGTGTTGTTCACTGTGGGAAACCTCAGCACGCTGTACACTCTCTTTGTATGCATTATGCTTCATCTACAAAGTTTACTGAAACAGAAGAAAAAAGAAGCAACTCATGTCTAAGGAACAGCAGAAGGCAGAAGTTGATGTTCTTATCCGTGGGGTAGTGAGAAAGAACTCTTAACAGATTATGGGGCAAATTCCCATTCCTGCTCCCACCTCAGCCTCTGGGAGTGATGAACACAAAGAAGTCTGCTCACATCATACAGCCAGAAAGAGATGAAAGAGCAGGCAATCGATAGCAGAGGTGCAGATGGGAGAAAGCAGGGCAGCAACTTGGGCAACATGCACATCTTTAAAGACTGTGATTTTTTTTAAAATAAAAATTTTTTAAAAGAGGGAAAAAAGAAAACAAGGGCACATACCTGGAAAAGCCTGCCCTGTTAAGAATGACACCAGGTTCCCTTATGAAACAAGACATTCCCAGATCAGTCAGGATCTCTGGGACACCCCTTCCCACAGAACCACAGGCCAACAGTCTGTCTACCTTATTAAGTGGGAGGTGTACTTCCCTCTCATCCTCTGCATGAATTCCAGGGTAAAGCCCAGATATGACTGACCAGGGGCATCTCACTGGCTGAAACCCTCCTCTGTGAAGCCTCCCAGTCACTGCTCCTCAATAGCTCACAATCAGTTTTTATCCCATGCCGTTTGTGTTTCAAAAAAACATTTTTTCCTCATGCTTTGTGAACAGTGCTTCCCCCTCCCCCCACCCCACCCCCCATTTCAGAAGAATGGATTCTATTTTTTTGCCCTTTACTGCAGTCAGGGACAACTATAAAGTTCCTCTGACCCTGAATGCCCTTCGGAAGAATCTACAGCGGGGCCCAAGTTGCGTGGGTCAAAGGAAACCAGCCAGGCACCCTTCACTCTGCAGGAACCAGGCTCCTAGCCAAAAGAATCCACGAGGCCCTGTCACAAATCCTCCGGGTCTGGGAAAACGCGCTCCAGGGACGCGAGTGGGGGTGGGGGGGCGCTAGCCGGGGGCCGCTCCCTGCACCCCTAAGTCGTCGTAGGCCGGTCCTGGGCCGCGGCCAGTGGTGTCCCCATTTCATGGATGATGGAACAGAGACTCCGAGTGGCTAGAGACAGCGCCGGCCCCGAGAGAACACTCTGGTATACCCTTTCGCTCTCCTTCGCCTGAGCCCAGTCCCGCCGCTGCCGCCGCCAGGGAGCTGGGCCCAAAGCCGGGGTGCCCAGGGCCGGAGGGGCGGCGCCCTACGGTCACACCACAGGGTCGTCTGCCCTTCCCGCGAATGCTCACCCGCTGCTCCCGGGGGAAGCGCGCCCTCGGGCGGCGGGTTCGGGGTGCGGCTGGGGACAGCGTTGGGCCGGCACCGGCAGACAACAGCCGTAGCAGGTCCCAGCCCTACTGTAACAGTGCCGCGGGACACGAGCCCCATTTCCGCCGGCTCCTAACGTTGCCGCGCGACGGTCCGGCCCCCAAAGGCGCTCGGACTGCCCGCCGGCCGTGCCCGAGTGTTCCGCGCAGGCAAAGTTCCCGTTCCCAGAACCCGCGACCAGTGTGCGCAGCGTCCTCGTCCCTCCACAGCCTCCTACTTACCCAACCCCGCAGTGTCCTTGCTCCCCCATCCACTCTACCCAGAGCATTCCCAGCACCCCTCCCTTATAGTCCTTCCACCTTCCATAGTTGCCAAAGCTCCCCGCGATTTCCTCATCTGAAGAACCCGGACTTCTAAGGGGCCCCCACTCTCCCAAGGTGAAAGGGCCCCCAGGCCCTACGTTTGATTCCAGAAAGAGCTGCCTCCCCAGACCCAGGCTGCCCATTCCCTTGGCACATTGGTCTCTGTAGAAGGTCGCTCCCATATCCCATTCCGACCACCACGCCTTGTCCCAGGAGCAGGTGCACTAGGAAGTGGCTGGGTCCTGGAGGACCAGCCCAGAGGCTTCTGCCATCTGATCATCAGGAGGAGCTCCTGGCCCCTCCTGCCCTGGGGAACAATCAACCTAACATCAGCCGCAACAACTATTGAGCACCTACTGCACACACTTTACATTGACCCATTTAATCCCCCACCCATAGGGCTGGGATGTTTGGAGGGAAACTTATCAGAGGTGAATGGCCTAAAAACAACACACCCCAATGTCCTGGTGATAGACAGGAGCACCCCTTGATTGGCCCTCAGGGTCAGGACCAGGCACTGTCCCCTCTTGATGAAGACCCCTCACTGGGAATAGGAGCCTGGCTAGGCACCAGACTCAGAGTCACCCCACACTTCCCCACCCTTTTGGGGTCTCATTTCCATGCTATTTTTTAAAAGATTTTATTTATTTATCTTTAGAGGGGAAGGGGAGAAGGAGAGAGGGAGAGAAACATCAATGTATGGTTGCCTTTTGTGTGTCCCCTGCTGGGAACTGGCCTGCAGGGAACCGGCCTGCAACCCAGGCATGTGCCCTGACTGGGAATTGAACTGCAATCGTGTGGTTCGCAGGCCCGCGCTCAATCCACTGAGCTACACCAGCCAGGGCTCCATGCTATTTTTAAATTATTATTTTAAAAAATAGCCCTGGCTGGTGTGGCTCAGTGGATTGAGTGCTAGCCTGTGAACCAAAGGGTCACTGGTTTGATTCTCAGTCAGGGCACATGCCTGGGTTGTGGGCCAGATCCCCAGAAGGGGACACGCGACAGGCAACCACACATTGATGTTTCTCTCTCCTTCCCTTCCCCTCTCTAAAAATAAATAAGTAAAATATTTTTTAAATAATTTCAAAATAAGGTTTATTGGTTTTAGAGAGAGAGAAACACTGATGTGAGAGACAAACACCGACTTGCTGCCTCCCATACACACTCCGACCTGGGATCGAACCCACACCTCTTGATCTATGGGACACTGCAACCAGCTGAGCCACACTGGCCAGAACTCCCTGCTGTTTTTAAGCAGCAGGAGTCTGTCCTCATAGGAAGGCTCTCCTAGATTAGACCACCCCCCGGAACCCTCCCAGCACCCCCACCCATGAGCTTGGAGCTGATCGGTCCTGGTTTACAGAGGAGAAAATGAATGATTAGAGAGCCTGTGAGAGTCTCACAAGAGAAAAGTGGCCAGGGCCATGGAGGCTCCCCCAGTCCAGCCACGGCCTCCAGGGTGACACTCCAGGGTGCCTCCAGGGTAGCCCTTCCTCTGCCTCCCCCTTACCTTGGCTAAGCCCAGAGAGGCTAGAGGAGGCTTGGGACCCGACACGTCTCTGAGGATGAGGGACTGTTAGGGGCCACACCCTTACCCAGGTCACCCAGGCTAGCCTAACCCAGCCCAGCCACACCCTCCCCGCCTGCCTGCAACTGATTATGATACTGGGACTGGGGCACCTGGCGGGAGAGCCTGCCTGGGTAAGTACTGGCTGCTGGCCTAACACACCAAAGATCTCCAGGCTTCAGCTGCTGGCTCCAAAGCTCAGGCTTCCGGGGCCGTAAGCTAGGAGGCCGGGGCCTGAGTAGACATGGGGGCAGTGAGTGCTGGGGCACGGTGAGCTGGGCCATGGAGAGGACTCAACTTTGGAAGCTGGAAGGCAGCTGATTTGTGACTTCTGACAAAGTCTGAATTCTTTCCAAGGGGAAGACAGGTGGCCAGCGCAGGGCCTGGCCCAGTAGGTGCTCAGCAAATGTGCAGGATCAGAAAGGCATGTCTGGCAGCCCTGAAGGACTCCACCACCCTGAATGCTTTTCTCATGGCGGTCTGGGAACCTGGGGGCTGAACCTATGCACAGTGAGGGGCCCTGCTGCCATCTGAGCCTATCTGGTCAGGCCAGGTACAAGTGGCACTGATGGTACTGGACAGGGGCCTGGCCCTGAGAAGGTCCGCCTAGAGCCATCTGCAGTGTGTGGGTTCTTCACTTCATGTAGGAAAGACTTCACAACACAAGTCCAGGGGACTATGAGGATCCATTTATTACAGCTGGGGACGGTGAACCAAGAAAGGGCTTCACACAGAAGAAGCAACAGGAGAGCCTGGTCTGGGCTGCCTTAGCTCCCCGGGAAGTCAGAGAAAAGGGACCTTAGGGACAGGTTCAGGGGGGACAAAGCTAGGGAAAAACTGCTGCTGCCGATTGCCTTAGGGTACCTGCGAATAAAGAAGTGGGAGAAGAAGGGAAAGTGAATGGTGTGGGCTGCTCCCCAGAGGGAGAGCGTTCTAGCTGGGTCCATCCTCTTGAGGCGTTTTGTCTCTCTCTTACGGGCAGGAATCTTAGGGTAGGTCTCAGGGGGTTTCAGACGAATAGTCATCAGTTCTCCAGGTGTGCCCTTGCAGGGTCATGGTCTCCACTAATTGGTCAGTGACAGGGAAGGGGGTCTTCAGTCACTGCAGTTGGTCCTGGCATCGCCCACCTGGTTTTGCTGCTTTTCTGGGCCTGGAGCTGAAACACAACTGAGGCCTGGATGTTATCTCCAGGGAGGAAAGGCCAGAAGAGAAAAGGCTATTCTGGGGTCAAGGTCCTTGTTGTCCCAGTCTGCCCCCCGCCAGGCACTTGGGTTCCCTTCTCGACCATCTGCGCCTGTCTGTAACTTGCTTGGCCGTTGTGATCAGCTGTCCGTCTCGGTTTCCCTATTCCTTTTGCCAAGGAATTTTTCTAGCTTCTTACTATCCTGCCTCACTGGTACATCTTGATGTAGCTGTCTCTTGCATCCACCACCGTGAGCTGGCCCTGGGGCACCCAGGCCATGCCCAAGGGCTGCCCCAGCCCCTGGAACACCAAGCAGATGGGTGCCGAAGTCCAGGGAAACAGGGTCAGCTCGGCACTGCGGCTTGTCTGTCACAATAGCATTACCCTCTGAATCAGTGCACACACAGGCTGGGCTACCAAAGGCAGGCGTGTCAGGCCCCTTGGGAAGCTCAGGGGTGGTGGGTACTGCTGAACAGTACCCAAATCCTCACTCACAGCAAAGCCCCCATTGGGCCCCAGGCCCACCCCGAGGGGGTCCTCCAGACCCGGCATGGAGGCTGGGGCCAGCAGCTCCAAGGTGGGGACTGTTGTGAAGCTGTGTGCAGCCCCAGGCATGTAGTCTGTTACCAGGAAGAAGCCAGGGGCATCCACAGCCAGCTCCTAAGGAGCCAGGAGGATGTCCACTGTCACCCAGTGGCCTTGGGGGTTTAGGAAGTAAGTACGCTGGAGCACATGGACAGCCCTGTGGACAAGGTCACTGACTGCCATGAGCCCAGCAGCTGTCACAGCCAAGTCCTCTGGCAGGAAGTCCCCAACCCCTGGAACTTGGCAGGGCAACTGGCAGTCTTGCAAGGTCCAGCACACAGATGCAGGGGGCAGACCCAGCTGTCAGGAAGGCCAGGCCATTTGGAGAGCAGTGCAGAACCCGGGGCCCCTGTCCAAGTTCTGAAGGCACCGGGACCTCCCTGAGCAGCCAGGAGTGAGTGGAGCCTCTGGGTCGGTCCAGAGTGATATGAGGGCCCTGGGGTCAGCTGATCTGCTAGCAGGGGAGGTCAGGGAGGTCAGAGCAGGAGGCCAGAGGGTGGGTATGCCGGCTCAGCCTCCCTGAGGTAAGTTACTGTGGTTGAGTCGAGTTTAGTGCAGTTAGAGAAAGAATGCCCCGCTGTGCGCCAGCCAGGAGCTACCACGGCCCCCTGTGCCTGCCCAGGCTGTGCTGGTGTTCTTCTGTTTTACAGATGAGGCAACTGAGGCACGGGCGTGGGGGGTGGAGGAGCTAGATTCAAACTCGGTTCCACCAGGCCCTGAGTCCGGCTCAGCCTGAAAATGCAGCAGCCAGCTGTGTCTCTAAGTCCTGTCTCCCAGGTGTGATACCTGGGAGACAGTTCCTGGAGACGTGCACCCATGAAGGTCACCGTGGGTTTTTCTCTAATGCCTGAATGAGCTCAAGGGCATTGAGATGTTCCAAAGTGGAGGCTAAGATGACAGATGAACAATTTCTCAAATTCATTGGCCCACCAAACCTTCCTTCCTTTAGGCAGGGAAAATGACCCTTTTGGGGGGCAGCCCAAGCCCCTGCCCTCTGCCCATTGTGCTCACAAAGTCCCCGCAGACTTCCCACCCCTGAGGGAGGGGTCGGGTGTCCTGTCCGAGGCCTCTCCACCTGCCCTTACCCAGGGAGGCCAGCGGGAAAGGCCTCCTCCTACCTGGCACCAGGTCCTGGCCCCGCTCCACCAGCAGCTACTGAGCCTGAGGAAGTGGGAGGGGCCACCTTGATGCGGGCAAAAGAGGAGCTGCGGGCCCTTGTGGAGTCCGGACACTCCAACCCTGGGGACTCCCCAGTGCTGCTACATGCCTGCCTTAGGGACTTTGCACTGGCCTCTGGGACATTCTTTCTGCTGCCTCTGCTTGGTCGGTCAGCCCAACAAACCCCTCCCCAAGGAGGCCCCCACAGCCACCCACACCCCACAGTCCTCTGCAGTGTCAGTCATGGGCAGCCCCGCCCACCACCACGTGCCCCTCCCGCAGGGCCACAGTCCAGGCTGGAGGACTACCAGGGGTCCCTTGTTCTTCCCCCACCCCCAGACTGGGCAGGTTGGTCCCGTCTTCCAGATCTCTTTTCTGCACCTGTGTGGCTGGGGTGATCTCCCCCCCCCCCCCAGGCAGGCTCCCGTCAGCCCTGTGGCTGATGAGAAAGCAAGGAGCAGCAGATACCACACGGGCAGGTGCTGAAGGGAGGCTGAGGACTCAGGACCTGGGGGTTCTCTGGACACTTCCTAACTCAGCCCACAGTCCTCCGAAGCTCCTCCAGGAAGCTCGGGGCAGGTGGAGGGGCAGCCTCTGTCTGCGATTCACAGCTTTCCCCATCTGGATGGTCTGCACCCGAATGGTGGACACTGGCTCTTAACGCCCTTGGTGGGGAGGGCGGCCGATGCTATCTGCCGCCTGGTGCAGTTAATGGGGCAGCCACAGGTCCTGCTCCGACTGGCCCCAGCCCGGCTGGCCCAGCTTGGGGAGCCAGGCACAGGCAGGAACTGCCTTCCCTGGGGCCATTCCTGAGTGGGCACAAAGGTGTGGCCACCTCACAGGGAGAGAAGTGATTAGCTGGATCCAAGGGTCCCCTGGAAACCCCTTCTACCTGCCCCCCCCACCCCTGCCTGTGGGAAAGGCCAAGCCAGGCCCAGCTCTGCCAGGAGGGAGGCAGCGAGCTGTGAAGGCCACCCGATGCCTATCATGGCTGCAGGGCCTGGCGGGGGCCCAGTGGAGGCCACGCCTGGCGAGCAGCCCTGGGCCACAGAATGTGGGGGGCACCTTTTAACCACAGTGGGAGCAGCTTCCAGCAGGAACCTGACATGAGGGCTGTCCTGCCAGACTCAGGGCTGGAGGACCCTGCCCACCACTGATGTGCCACTGACCAGCCCCGAAGCCACACGCACCCGCCTTTCCTTACTCTGCCCCCTCTGATGGAAAGCCCCCCCAACTGTATCCCCAGATTCCACCCCCTCTCAGGGAGGGCCCAGTCTACAGGAGGCAGGTCAGGACTTCAAGGCAGACACCAGGCAGGGAGGCCCAGGGCACTGCCCACCCTGGACGCCCAGGCTGGGTACATTCCCACAGGGAGGAGGTGTCCTGCTGGTGACAGCGAAGCAGCAAAGGAAAGAGGAGGCTCAAACACGCCGTGTGAAGGTGGTTTCTATTTTAATGTTCGTAACTGTGATCAATAAAAAGCCACGGTTCTCTGCTGTCCCCATGTGGCCCCGGAGACAGGCCACGGCCATGGTGGGTGGGATCTGTCCACGGGCAGGCTGGGCAGGCTCCAGGCCTCACCCGGGGGGCTGAGGCAGGTAGAGGGCCAGGTGGTGGGCATGGGGTTGGGAGAGGACCTCTGTCGCGGCAGAGGTGGCGGCACGAGCTGCAGTCAGACCTCCGTGCCTGGGGAGCTCTGCAGGCCGGAGACAGCCTCCGAGGGCCAGGAGCCCCCGGGCCTGCCACGGGGGCCCCAGCTACCGCCAGGAATGACGGGGTCATCTGGGGCTTGGAGGGGGAGTCCCGGGGGTGGGACACTGGAGTCAGCCTCACACTTGGTGGTGTGGCCAGAGAAAGGCTCAGCTGCTGTGGGGCCCAGCCCTCTGGGGGGGTTGGGCGTCCCCTGGACCAGTATGGAACCCAGCTCTGATTGCCCCCAGGCTCCCGAGGTCACCTCGGGTAACTTGGAAGACGTCCGTTTCACAGAGAGGTCAAGGGGCACATCCGGGGGCCGCACGGCCTGCTCTAGCACCTGGTGGATGGTGAGCAGCTCCCGGCGGATCTTGCCCAGCTGTTCCCGAAGAGGCCGTGGAGCCAGGCCCCTGGCAGGTGCCAGCTGCCCCAGGCGCTGCTCCACCCTAGCATAGTCACCAAGGGCGCGTGTCAGGTCCTCGCACACAGGCCCAGGGACCACCAGCATTGGGCCCGATGGCTGCTGGGGCAGGGGGGAGGCAGGGCCCAGGGTCTCAGAGTCGCCTGGCTCCTTGTCCTCAGGCCAGAGAATCACGGAAGGGCCAGTCCGCAGGCTGGGGAGTAGGAGCCAGTCAGAGGTTGTGCTGTGTCCCCAGCACCCCCAGCCTCTGCCCCTCCCCCCCGTTTGCCCCCTGCACAGCCTGTCTCCCTGGCCGAGGGACTCAGAACCCCAGAAGGACAGACGGGCTGACTTTCTGGTCTCAGGAACCTGTTTGTGGCCTGAAGCCTATAATCATGGGCACTGAGCTCAGGACAGGGGCCCTGCCCTTTGCCCCCAACCTCAGCCCCCCCCCCACATGACTGGGGGGCCCTGACACCTACCTGCTCTGGGAACTAAAGTTGGCCATGCTGGAGGGGGCCTTCGTGGGCTGCAGCCTGCTTCCCAGGGGCAGCTTCCTCTTGGGGTCACTCTGGGCAGCCAGCTCCAGCCCGCCCTCCTGCCCTGGGTCCCTGGGAGCACCACAGAGCCAGGGCCCAACAAGCCCAGGTACTGGCACTTTCAGCAGCCCAGGGGCCAGAGTCCCAGGGGGTCCCTTGGGAGGGGCAGGGGGCTTGGCAGGGGCAGCCTTTCCTGACTGCAGCCCCAGGCCATGCTCCAGGAGCAGAGGGTAGTACAGGTGGGGGGTAGGAGCAGGGTGCTCGGGAGGCTGCAGGGCAGGGAAGGCAGAGGCTGGGGGAAGAAGGGGGCTGGCTGAGCCCAGGAAGGGCACATGGGCTGCAGTGGCCAGGGAGGGACCCAGATAGGAGAAGAAGCTGGGGCCAAGAGGGTAGTTGACTCCCAGCAGGGACAGCTGGAGGCTCTGGGCCTCAGGGAACTCGCTGGAAGTAGGCGGAGGGTAGCAGGGCACCCCGCTCTCAGGGCCCACTGCAGCCGAGTCCGCCATAACTGCACTCCTGGGGCCCCTGCCTGGCTTTGGCTTCCATGACTCAGCCAGGAGCCCACCAAGGCCTGCACCCTTCTGGGCATTCTTGGCCACAGCGGGTGGCATCTCTGGGGACCCCTCAGCCTCTGGCTTGAGGCCCCCAACACGGCAGTGCTGGGAGAGAGTGTCAGTGACAATGAGGCTGGGCGAGGCAGGATTATCTGGGAGCTCAGCTCCTCGGGGGTGCCCACCAGGGTCTGCAGGGTCGGAGGGGCAGTTTGTGGGGGGCCCAGGGGGCTGTGGTGTGGTCGGGGCCCTGCGGCACGCCCAGTCTGGAGAGTCCAGCAGCAGCGAGAGGGAGTCCTTGCAGAGGCTGTACTTCATGTGGTTGTACAAGTGTGACTTCTCCAGGCAGGTAAACGGGCACTGGAAGCACTTGTAGTTGTAGGGCTTTCCCCAGGGCCGGGGGATGTAGTGTGGCTTCTTGGGCTTCCGGGACCGGACCCGGGCCCCAGAGCCCAGGCGGCATGAGCCTCCCACCTCTCGGGACATGGCAGCCTGCTAGCGGACGGGCCACGGCACCATGACCACCTGCAGACAAGGGGACCTCGGTCAGTGCCTCTGTCAGCTCCCAGAGCTCGGGGAGCAGAAGTCTGGCATGGCCCCACCTCCACCCTGCAGCCTGAGCCTCCCTGGACTTTGCACACGCAGCCCCCTGACCTGGAATGCCCTCCCCACCTTACCCTTTAGTTCCTCTCCTTGTGCACGTCTAAGGTCGCCAGGTGCAGCTCATAAAAATGTAGGCTGCCCAGTTACATCTGACTCAAAGAAACCACAAATGCTTTTTTAGTGTGAGTACAATCTCTAGCCAAAATTTGCAATGTACTAAAAAGTATTTGTTGTTTACCTGAACCTTACGTTTAACTAGGCACTCTGCATTTTATCTCTGCCCCGCCCCAGCAGGCCCTGCTGCTCGGTGATCCCACCCAGGCCTGTTTCTGTCCGTACTGCAGGCATTTGGTGAGTGACTGGAAGAAGTCAAGTATGACCAGGCACATTTCTGGGGGACATGAGCTCTTCCTCGTCTTACTTCCCTCCAGAGACCCCTGCCTGTGCCAGGGAGCCGAGATAAAAAGTCACTCGGGTGAGAAAGCGGCAGAAGGCTCCGGGCCTCGGTGCACGCACCAGTGCGAGCTCCGACTGGGTACTAGAGGTCTCTGGGGGGGGTGAGCCTCACGTGGGGCTAGGCCAGGCTGGGGGGCGTGGACGTCACAGCACGGCCCCACAGCACGGCCACCTGCTCAGCCTGGCTCCATCTGGGTGGCTTCGGGCAGGTCAGCAGCCCAGCCTGCAGTGGCTGAGCTCGGCCAAGACCTTCCTCTCCCCATGCCCTGCATGTTCACTCAGAAGCCGCTCTGCACTCCATCTGGGCCGCCACCTGGGCTGGACGCCACCCTGGCGCACGCCTCTGTGAGGCGCAAGGAGAGTGTGCACACACGCCTGTGAGCCCCTAGATGACCCTCACTCACTCAGTGCCTTGAGGGACACCTCTGCATGGCTGGGCCAACTTGGAACAGAGTGGACCACCAAAATGCATGGGGTCTGGGCACACGCCCACACAAAACTCATAGCACACTCAGAGTGGACATGGTAGCTGCATGTGAACGCACTCACAGCACAGGTGGGGTGTGAGCAGGCACTCACACACATTCAGACCACACACACACACACTGCACACTCTCGGGCACACAGGGTTATGGACACCCCCATGGGTATGGACCGGCACACTCGTCCTACTCTCCTGGGCTCAGGGCCGGCCAGTGGGTTAAGCCGGGGGGGCTGGGGCAGCTGGGCAGCCACTAGAGCGGGTCGTCCTCCCTGCTGGCCTTCAGGCTCTGCACACGGCAGGCAGTCATGTCTGCTCCCCTCGAACACTGAGTGGGCTCCCCCATTATGAGAACAGCCAGAGGGATAGAGGGCTGTTCACCCGAAGAGGCCCCTGAGAGGGGGGTCAGCACAGTTAAGGCCAGGACGTGGAAGGTAGGGCAAGCGGAGCCTTTCCGACTGGTTTGTGGATGTCCACCTCTGGGGGGGATGGGGCTCCAAGAGGGGTACAGGGGTTGGGAGGAGGGGGCTGGGCCCAGGCAAGGGCTTGGGGCTTCCTGAGAGGCTGCAGACCCCCCTGGACTTGGTGGTGGGTGCAGAGGCAGGCCTTATCCCAGCCCCCAGCCCCCCCTAAGACACAATGACAAATGGGCATGTGCGCCGGGGAGACAGAGACGGCTGTGCCGGGGCCATCGATCACCCAGCCCTGGGAGCCACACAGCTGTGCCGCCTGGTGCCACCACCCACCTCACCTCCCAGCCCAGCCCCTGGACTGGGGGGGTCTCCTTCCAGGCCTGACGGCTCAGGAGGCGGGGGTGGGGCAGCTTGTTCAGGAACCACCTCAGCAGCTGCTGACCCCACCCGGGACCTAGAGGATGCCTGATGGACGCCCACCTCATGTGCTTGTGCACAAGCAGAAGACAGCCCCAGACACCAGCACACACCCGTATACACCCAAAGGCACATTCGTTTGCACACGTGTCCCTACCCGTGACTGCTTGCATGCTTTCCAGAGGGGCCTGCACCCACATTCTGCCAACCCGACACCGAGCCCCACTAATTCCTTGTCTGGGGAGAACTGGTGGGAGGCCAGGAACAGGACTCCCCACGCACAGCGTCTGAAGCCACCACTGACCACCAGAAGATTACAGCTCACCCATGCCATTGGCCCCTTTGGGACTTGGGACCCCACAGAGTGTGGTGCAGACGGCATGACCAGGCTCCTCCTAGGCTGAGGATGAGACCCCCAACTCCCGTCTGCCTAGCCCTCCCGGGCCTCGTCTTACAGGGACGGGGCTGCTTCGTTCAGACGATCCGGGTGTAAGGAAGGAGCCTAGACGCTGGGAAGTGGGGGACGTAGGGGCTGGGGTTGCCTGGAACAGGCCAGATACTCCCGGCGTCCCACCGCCCCCCACCCAGTCCTTGCGCCCAGCCCCGCCCCACGCGCCCCCCGAACTTCGAAAGATGCGCTAATGCCTGCGCCCGCCCTGCCTGCGCCCCGGCCAGAACAGAGCCTGGATCGCCCCAAGGCAAAGGCAGAAACTTCTCACCCCCGCCCCACCCCGAAACCTTCCCCACCCACCATCCCCTGCTCCCCGATCTCCCCCTCCCCCTGCCAGCGCCGGCCGCCACTCCAGACCACGCGAAACCTGCTCAGGTTCTCCGGGCAGCGTCGCGGGATCCCGCAGGGGAAACTGAGGCCCGGTGCTGGGAGCGGCCCCCCGCGCGGTCTGTAGTCACTCACTTGACAGCGAGTGCCGGATTCCTCCGCCGCCGACCGCGTCCCCCCGACGCCGACTCGCACCCACCGAAGTTGGCGGCAGGAGCGGCCGCGCGTGCGCCGCGGCGCCGGGCTCCGGCTCTGGGGGGCGCTGCGACCTCCGACACCCGCTGCAGGGGTGGGGGAGAGCAACCGTAGGTTGCGGTCTCCCCTTGGCCACCTGGTGACCCGCTTCCTCCCCGGCCCCAGTCTCTCCTTCTCCCACTTGCCCACAGTCACCCCCTCGCGTGCACTCACCAGCCTGGCGCGCCCAGGACCCGCTCAGCTCTCTCCGCAGCGCCGTTAACTCCTGGATAGAACGGTGGCCGGTGACACCAGTGGCACCACCAGGGAAAGCAGCGTCGCGGAGGAGCCAGGAGTGGAGGCGCAGGTGTGCAGACGAATGCGGGGCGCCTGGCACCGTCCCCGCCCCCCGTCGCCTGCAGGCTGCCGCCGGGGTGCGCAGAGGCGGCCAGGTCTCCCGGGGTCCCCGCAGCGGTGTGATGGGGTGTCAGCCGAAGAGGGCACATGGAGAGCGGCCGTCAGCACTCATCCGTCAGGGCAGGGCTCTGGCCCCTGACAGCTGCCCGCCTGAGCCAGGGCCTGGGGGCCAAGCCCCAGGACAGGAGGTGTTATGGGGAACAGAGCCAGCCTGGGGAGGGCTGCAGCCCAGCCCAGGAGGGGACAGAGCCTAGCTCTGGAAGGGCGGGAGCCCGCAGCTGAGTGGCATAGCCCAGCGCATAGACAGTGGGGGCAAGAATGTTTTTCTGGCCAGCTCCACCTGGCCAAGCCTTGCCTCCAGTGTGGTTTCCGCTTCTCCAAACAGGAAGCTGAGTGCATCTGCACCCCTCGACCCTTTCCCTGCCCGCCGACCCACTCACTCACTCCCCCCTTCCTGGAAGCGTTAGCACCTCTCCTGTTCCCAGGCTGGACTCCTTGTTCCACTGGCGGGTGTCCTAGGAAGTCTGAATAGCCAGGGCTCCTCCCCACTTCCGGAGGGCCTTGAGAGGGTAAGAGGCGAGGCCAGGGAAGGGCTTGGACATTGAGGACCTGCCTGCCGTGACACCTCCTCCCTCTAATGCCCCCACAGCCACAGCCGCTTAACTCTACCCAGGGCATACCAGGTTTCACCTTCTTCCCTGAGCTACCAAATCTTAACAGTCTGGGGTCCCACCGCTTTCCAGCTGGGTCCTCGTGAAAATTCCCCTGGCCAGCCAGTCTCATGCTGGACACAGACACAGACATGCCAGGATAGGGCCAGGCCACGTTTCTCCCAGTGAATCTGCCTCATTCTGAGGCATCCCAGAGAGGCGTGATGGTGCTGTTTCAGGCAGGGTATGGCCCTTGCGGCCGGACAGGCGGCTGCTGCTCCAGGCCGGCTCTGTGGAGGCACAGGGGCCCCAGGACAGTTCACTTGGCTCTCCCTGCGGGCTTAGCTATAGGCTTGCTGGAGTATCCCCAGCTCAGTTTGAGGGGCAGGAGCACACTGGGGAAGGAAGGGGTCCCCACTAGGGGCTTCTGGGTGTTGCATCTTCAATGGGGAAAGGAAACTGGAGAGAACTGGGTCCAGAGTCTAGTAAGTTCTGGACTCTGTAAGCCAGGCCTCAGTTTCCCAAGGAGGGTGACAAGCCGCGGCCCAGTTATTGGCACAGGTCTCCCCCTCTCACTACAGTAGATAAGGAACAGGGCTCTGTGGCTCGGGGACACCCAGCATGAAGAGACTGACGCTAGGGTCAGTGCCTGGTTCTGTCTCCCTCCTTGCCCACTGCCGCCTTCCCTGATGCAACTCGGGGTGGCTCACTTCTTCCCTTCAAGTCCACGGGGCAGGAAGGGCCGCCACGGGTGGCACAGCTTGCCAGTCTTCTTCTCTCTGCCCGGCTGGCCTGGCCCCTGGCTGACTAGCGGACCGTGCCGGCGGCCCCAGGCCGAGAGACAGCTTGAGCAGCCATCATGCCAGCAACCCTGCGGAGAGTGGGGGCCGGGCGGCCTGCTCCTCCTGCACACAACCCAACCCTGGGCGTGCTCAGCCAGGCCTAGGTCCTGCATCACAGGCACTGCACAGGGAGGGCAGGGGGCACCTTGGAACAGTGGGGGAGGGCGTCCCAGGCCTTGGCCACTTGGTTCCAGGAACAGCTTTCCCCACCACTCACTGGCTAACCCCTCTGATGAGAGGCAAAGGCCACCACCACCGGATGGACTGGTTGGAAGCTCTTGCCATTACTCGAGAAAAGGAAGGTCATGGATCAGGAAGTCTATTTGAAGCACGCAGAGCGAACAGACCAGTGAAGTCTGGGTGACCAAGGAGCCCCTGGCAGGAGGGAGGAGGAGAGAACTCTCGGTCCTGGGAAAAGGGGGAGGCCAGGGAGGGCGAGCTCAGCACCAGGCGTGGTGGCCGCCACTATTGCTGTTTTTTTCCCTGGAAATTTGGGTGAGAGGAGAGGTGGCGGCACTTCCAGAGGAACTCAGCACCCAAGGTGCGTGACCTGGGTATGTTTCTAGGCTTCCAGGAGGGTTTTCTGGGCCTCTGGGAGGCGGCTGTGGAGGGGGCACAGATGGGCCATGAGCTCGTGGTCTGGAGTCGGGGGTTCCTAAGAACGCGAATGCAGCTGCAGCCGGGTCGCCCGTGAATGGGCGTGGGAGTCGGGCCACCCCGCAGGTGCACAGATGACCACTCCCATCACGCGGGAGTGGGCGCGGCCGGAACATGGGTGCCAGCCCCCTGCTCCCCTGTGCTTTCTGCTCCAGGCTCTCCAGGCACACGTGCTCCCTCACAGCTGGCACGCGTCGTACCTGGGGCCTGTCCCGCTTTCACCCAAGTGGGGTGTTGTCCTGAGTCCGGACCCTTGCCTCGGCACCCTCACCTGCAGAATGGGCAGTGGAGACAGTCTCTGGGTGCTTCTGTCAACAGTAAGGTCCCGGAGAACGGCCTTCTCTCTGCTCAGCTGGTTCCAGGGCAGGGTGGTGTGGCGACACCCAGCTCCTTCTGCCTCCAGCCAGAGCTCATCTTGGCCATTGACCTCTGCCCAGCTTGCTCACAGCCCCCCACCTGTTCCCTCCATCAATGCTGGTACGTGCGTCCTGGGGGTTGCAGGGGCAGAACGGACGACAGGCCCAGAGGAGGCAGGGAACGGTGGCACGGTGCCCCATGGGCCTGTCTCATCCTGTCAGTCAGTGTACACACACCGCTCTCGTCAGGATGGGGGCAGGGGCTGGTGAAAGAATGAGGGGCAGGAGCGCCCAGGCCATGCCTGTCAGCCCCTGGGAGAGCCGACACCACGCAGGCTGATGGCCACGGCTCATGTTCACCCACTGGCTGATGAGCCCTGGGACACACGGCACCCTCAGTGTTGTGAGCCTCTGGGGCCAGAGCATGGATCACCTTCGGCACTTCTTCCACTGTGCCCATTCGAGGTGGCCTCAGGGACCCAAGGCTGACAGGGATGGGCCCAGGGCTTGGCTGTAAGTGGGGGCACAGCTGAGGCCACTGACCCTAAGAGCACAGGGGACCCACAGTAGGGCTGTGAGCGGAGAGCTGGAGCCAGAGTGATGGGTTGGGGTGACCGGGCAGATGGAGATTCAAGTAGGTTTTCAGGCCCCCAGTGCAAGCACTGGAGGGCTGGGAATTCCCCAGGGAGTCTACCCAAGCCGGCCCACCCTGAAGGAGAGGGGCCCAGCTGGGAGAATTTTGGTACCAGGGACCCTAAAAGGCCTGTCATCTGCTCTCCTGGATCAGACTCTGCAGACTCTGCAGGGTAGCTGGCCCATGCCTGCTTTGCTATGCCTCAGTTTCTGAAGCTCCAGAGTTCTCCTTTGGAAGCCCTGCTGGCCCTCACGTACTCTACCCCTGCACTCGCTGGGTCATCATCCACCCTGGTATGGGGGCCTCTGTATGCCTCAGGCTGCCCTGATGGAGGAGAGGGACTGCACTGGGAGTGAGCTCCCCATCATAGAAGGCATACAAGCTGGGGCAAGAGCTTTTGGATCACTGAGGGAGCAACCTGGCTAGGCTAGGCAGGTGGGATGAGAGGCTTGGGCTGCCTGAGCCCCCACCCAGTTTCGGAGGCAGCACTGGCCAAGCAGCGCCCTGGGCCGACAGCAACCATATGTTGGAAGAAGAGCTGTGTGCGTTGCTCCTCAGGCCCCCGGGGCCTGGCCTTCCTGGGCCTGTCACAGCCGATTTTCCCTGCCTGAGTGGCAGTCTGGCCAGTGGGTGGGGGCTGCAGAGCCTCTGCAGGGCTTGTTTGTCCCCCAGTATACCCCTGCACATCCTACCCTCTGTGGTCCCATCCAGGTGAAGCCGGGCACCTAAGAGCCCTGGTGGCTGGGGGCCCACCCTCCTGTTTGGTTGTGGGCGGGTGGCCAGAGGTGTACATGGGCTGCGTGGCCCTGGGGCAGGCGGGAGAGGGCCCGGAGCCTTGGCCCTGTCAGTCCAGCGCCCAGAGCTGTGCAGAGGGAGGCGGGAAGCAGAGGCTAATTTGTACACTAAGTGCTTTTGACAGGGATGCTTCACAAGTGAGAACACATCACCACCCGCCCTGGGAAGGCCGCCATAGCCAATGGGTGGGCAGAGGCAGCCTGGGTAAGGGGCCGGGGAGAGACGGCCATGGGGACGCGCAGTGCCAAACCGGAGACAGGGAGGGGGCCAGGGACATTGGGGGGGTGAGAAAGAGAAGGGCAGAAGGGTTTTGGGGAGGGAGATGTGCCCAGAACCAGAAGCCCCCACCGCCAGAGCTGGGGAGCCAAACCCAACGGTGAAGAGGACAGCCCTCCCACCTTGTGTCCTCTGCCTGCTGTGGTCATTTGCCCTGTCCACACCTCACACCTGGCCTGGGGCCCAAGCGCCACCCTGAGAGGGCTGAGGGCACAACTTGTCTTCCTCTCAGGCAGGCCTGGCTGGTGCCTGCATCTTCTCTCACCACCAGCCCCCTCTCCCTAAGCCTGACCCTGAACAAGCCCCCACTTGGGCCCTACTAGTGTTCTACCCCTGCCTGCACCTCCCTCGGTCCTTAGTGTCATGGCTGAGGGTCTTCTCTGTGGGGCCCCTAACTCCTCAGACACTGTGCCCTCTGGGATTGGGGGCACTAGGCCCCCCTTTCCCTTACCCCTCCCTGTTGGAATCTCCCCCTGGCAGGCTGGGGGTGTCTCCAGTTTGGCCAAGGGTGTAGGCATGCAGCCCCCTGCCTCGCTGTGATGACCCCTGCCTGGCCTGACTGCAGGGGTGTTGGTCGCCCACTGGGACACTAGTTTAGGCTTCCCAGAATGCCGCCGGGGGACTGCAAAAGCACTCTGATGACTGGAGGGTGGACGCGGCCTGGCCCCTGCCCCACGGGAGAGGGTCTGGTGTGGCTAGCGCAGCCTCGGTGAATCAGGGAGGGCAGTCTTCGGGCGTAGAAGCAAGATGTGTTGTGGCAGCTCCCCCGCCGCCTGAGGCCCGCCTGGAGCGAACACTGCTGGTGGCTTTAATTGCTTTCACATTCCATAGGCTAGCCTGTGACAGGCCTCTTACACCGCGGGGCGCCGGCCTCCACCCCCCCCCATTCAAACCACAGACCAGACGGGGAGCTGCTGGACATGCCCGGACTCAGTGGCCACCTGCGAAATGGGGATGGTGCCTCCCGGAACCAACAGGAGGAGACCCAGGGCCAAGCAGGAGCAGGTCGTACCCACTGGAGAGGGAAACTTTTCTCCCTGTGTCCCCCCACCCCCTGCCCGCCATGTTCCATCTGCTCCTGTGTGATGACTGATGGGTTCGGATGGGCACCCCCAGACATCGACGTCTCACTGGGAAAAGCCACAGACATATCCTTCTGTCTGTGTGAGGTGGAGGCTGTGTGGGGACCGGCCTGCCGACCACCACAGGGTTTGGCCCAAGCCATGGCCCTGCTTGGACACTTGGTCTTTTCTGCAGTGGAGGCTGCTGCTGAGCAGGGGGGCCCTGAAGGCTGACCTCGAGTACCAGCGAGCTACCCCCACCGTCACCATGTAGGCTTGGGTGTCCCTCAGCAAGGCTCTGCACACAGACGGGAGGTAAGGACCTCATGACCCATGGGAGGAATGATGGACGGATGAAGAGGCATCATTACAAAACAAAACGTTTTCATTTGGTCCATTGGAGCCTGAGTCTGGAAACGCCCATGGAGAATCGCCCTACGAGGCCGGGGAACACCTGATAAAATAGTCTCTGCGTCGGAAGAGCCGGCTGTATGTACAGGGTTAAAAATACTCAACAGCTCAGAGTAAAAGGAGCAAATATAAAGGAGGCCCAGAGGGGAGTGTAGTGCTTCCTGGTGGTTCTCCAGTGGTAAAAACCCTACAATGCCACGGGAAGTGCGGGGCGGTGGGCAGGGCTGCCCACGTCCTGGGGGCTGGAGGGCAGGGGGGCCGGGGGCCTCTAGAAGCGGGCCTCGGATGTCCACAGGCAGATGCAAGACTTCGAGCAGCCACGGGGGAGGGCAGTTGGGAGGCAGCCCAGCAGCCTGGGCTTCGGAGGCAGGGGAAGGGCTGGGAGGAGCCATACCCTGCCGTGTGGGCCTAGGCGGGGTTGGCCAAGGATTTTTGTTGGATGCTGGTCCTCCTGGCAGAGGTCAGGTGGTGCTGAGGACGAACCACCTTACCAAGCGGCAGCTCCCATCCCGCAGCCCTGGGGGCATGGCTTCAGTCCTGACCAGCGCCCCAGGAATTGCATAGTGTAGCCAGAGAGGGCAGCTGGGACTCTCCCCATCCCTGGTTCCCAGTCCATGGACTCCAGACATCTGCCTTCCGGGACACGCTGCTGAGACTCCAGGGACCTCAGCTTGCCTCGTGGGAGCGGAGGGGGTGAGAAGATGGGCTCTTAGGGCAAGCTGCGGGGAGAAGGCTTGTACCCCACAGAGGGCGTGGTCCCTGCTCACCCTGGGATTCTGGCCTCTGACCCTCAAAGGCGGTGGTCCCTACCCATCTCAGGGTCCCAACCTCTGGTCCCCACAGAGGGGTGGTCCCTGTCTACTCACTCTGGAGTCCTGGCCTCTAACCCTAAGGGGGGAAGGGTGGTCCCTGCTAACCCTTGCGCCCCAGCCTCTGACCTGCCCAAATTTGGTTTTATAAATGGAGCTCTTGACTGCCTCACACAGGCAGCAACCCCAGGCCCACGGGAAAGGGGCAGCCTCATCTCAGCCCTGGCAGTCTGGACCCGACCTGGAGGCAGGCTAGTCAGAGGGGCTGGTGCATAGCCCCCTCACGCTAGAAGTGGGATGGAGGTATTCTGCTTGGCAGCTAGGAGGCCCCAGACGGGAGGGAGGGGTGGGGAGAAAGGTCCGAGGAAAGCTGCGGTCCGCGGCTGGCAGCTCCCTGGGCGGGGCCCTGAGATTCTGTTTCAAGCGTCCTCTGTTGGGGTCTCCCTCCTAAAGTGCATGTCGGGGGCAGGTGGGCATGGGTGTGGAGGTCACAATGGCCGGGGCGCGTGCAGGCCAGCAACCTCAGGCGTGAGAGGGGGGCTGTGGGTGCCCCTGGAGGCCGTCCAATCGCTGAGGAAGGCCTGGGCGGCCTTGCGATGTGCCAGGCGGTGGGTGATGGAGAAGCCGGCGTTGCCCTCGAGCTGGGACAGGATCACCAGGACCTGCCTGGGGGAGGGGGCTGGTGAGGGCCGGGGGAGGCCGGGGAGTCCGGGGGTCTGGGGCGGCGCCCACCTGTGCAGGGGCGGCACACTGTCCTGGGTGCGCAGACTGCCGCGTGTGGACACCACGTTGAAGCTATCAGAGCAGTCACACTGCACGTGCAGGTAGGACTTGGGGTGCCGGTTCTCCACCACCACGATGAGCCCCGCCCAGCCATGCGTCAGGTAATAGCAGGTCATGCCCTCACGTCCCTGGGTACAGAAAGGGCAGGTGTGGGTGGGATGAAGCCTCCTCTCTGCCCCTCCCCTTCCCCCGCCCACCTCACCTCGTGCCGTTCCCCCCGGCTCTCTGTGAGCAGGATGATGGCGTCCGCCAGTGTGGTCGGCTGGGCCTCCACGGGCTCCACCATGACCAGCCTTGAGCTGTACACAGCCAGCACATGGCCGGGTGGCTCCAGGGAGCAGCGTGGGCTGGAGGCTGTGGAAGGTGTGAGTGAGGGGAGCCTGGGGTGCCGTGGTGAGGAGGGCCAGGGGTCGGGGTCGGGAGGGCAGCGTTACCCTGTGCAGCAGCGGGGGCACCCAACATGGTGGGGCTCCAGTGGTTGAAGGCACAGCACACCACAGCGTACTCGCCAGGCTCCAGCATCACGTCACAGTTGACAAACTTTTTGACAGCTCGCTTGCTGTGGGCCAGCAGGCGGCCCAGGCTCAGGCGGCCACCGCTGCCGAAGGAGGCTCGGAACACCAGGACGCAGAGGTCCAGGAGGTGGCTGTCTGCTGAGTCTGCACGCCTGCAGCCAGACCCGGGAGGGGTCATGGGCAGCACCTGTTGGCTGTGGCCCCACAGGCCCACAGCCTCACCCTGCACCCCTCTGACACATCCCCCGGCTCCACCCACCCACCCCAACCAGTGCTCTAGCCCCACCCAGCCTCTCCCCTCATAGCCACAGCCGCCCCCACCTGCTGCCCTCCTGGAAGAGGGCAAACTCCAGGGATGCACGCTCCAGCACGGTGAGCGCTGTCACCCCCACAGGCCCGCTGGCCGAGGTGGGGAAGCAGCCCTGCACGCGTGCCTCCTGCCAGTCTGAGTGTACTTTGCAGATGTCCACGGAGTCGAAGTACCTGAGCAGGAAGAAGATGCTCCACTGAGCGGCCCCTACCCAGCTCCAGACACGGAGCCACACAGGAGTCCAGGTACCTCCTAAGCCCCTTCCCCGAGCCAATCTCTGCCCTTCTGTGCCATGGGCCTTTCTTGGGACCAGTATCCTGGGAGCCCTGGTCCTGGCCGTTGCCCATGGACACCACCAGGGGGCCCAGGCCCTAAGGATGACCTAGAGAAGACAGAGTCCTAAGGGCAAAACCTGACTTCTCCCCCATCCCCTGCCTTAGGTCTGCAGAAGGACAGGTCAGGCTTCCCAAGCAGGACACACTGTGGGTCAGGGCAAAGGGGCAAGGGCACCGACAAGCCAGGTGGGCCAAACAAAGGTGGCCAAAGCGCAGGGTGGCTGTGAGGCAGACGTCGGACACCCACTTCCCGCAGAGTTCAGGTACCTGATGAAGTCACTGTACTCCATCCAGAAGACACCTTCACTGCTGCCATGGGGCATGAGCTCGCCACGCAGGTGCCCCGGCCAGTGTGGCCACTCATCTGACCAGCTGCCATTCCAGGAGAAGCGGCCCCATGGGTTCCGGAGGCGCAGAAGCCTGCGGACCACGGGGCTGAGGGCCATGGCTTCCACCACACATCCACATGCCCTGGCTACCCACGGCCAGACCAGCCCCTACCTGGAGCCCTGGACATCACGGACATCTAGGATGGAGTAGGCATGGCGGGGGCGCAAGCCCAGGCTCTCGTAGGCAGCATCGTCCACCTTCATGTTGCCCCCACCACAAGAGGCGCCCATGAGGAACCTGCACAGGCAGAGTGGCCTGACTGACCAGGGAGGCTTGCTGACCAGGAGCCTTTAACAATGGATGCCCCTTAGTAACCAGGGGCCTCATTCATGGAAAAGGGCTCACTCACCAGAAGACCCCTGTTGGCCCTGAGGCTGGGGAGTTCTTTCCTGACTGTGGGGGAGTGCAGAACCCAGCGACCCAGGAGAGACACACAGAACTCAGGAAGTGTCTGTCTGCTCCCTATACAGTGGCCCAAGACCTTGGAGGGTTTGGGGCTGGGGGTCGGGTAGGCCTGGGTCCTGCCAGCTCAGGGCTGCAGACCCCTAAGGGGATGGGGCAGCAGTAATGCCCAGTATCAGCTGAGGGCAGGGGATCTCGGCACCAGTGATCCATCTTTCTCAGGCTTAGGGTTTTGGACCCCTCACAGACGCGCTGGCCAATGTGGGCTGGGTCTCAGAAGGCAGCCCGCTCGCACCAGGCGCCTCCTTGGGGCTTGCACCACAGAGCTCCGAGCAGGTGCATCTGATGGTCATCACAGGCCCAGGTTGGATGAGGCCTTCCGGGTGAGGGCTGATCAGCTATTATTCTGCCCGCTGCCCTGGCCTGTGCAGGTGGGACCGCCAGCCAGCAGTGGGAGGTTACAGGGCTGCAGGCCAGGCCTCCTAACCGCGGTCAGCCCACACTGGAAACACCTTGTGAAACACAGGGTGTGCGTCAGAGAGCACTTGCCCCTGCATCTCCCACCACTCCAGGCCCGGGCCTGGCTGTCCCCTCGCCTCGTCTCTCCTCTCCTCCCAAAGCTGCTGACCGCCAGAACACCCGCCCCTCTTACCCAGCCTCCTTAGAACTCAGCATTTTGGCCCAGATGAGGTCAGTGTCAACGGGCTCCTCGCGGGGGTTAGTGGAGCTGACCTGCAGCGCCAGGCTCTCACAGGGGGCACCGGTGAGCGTGGCCAGGCCTTCGATGGCGCGCCCTGCCTGGAGGGCAAAGTAGGAGCCGTGCAGCTTGGCCAGCGCCTTCTCGATGAGGGCCACCCACAGCTGCTTCCGCTGGGCCTGCAGGGAGGGGCTGGAGTCACACGGCCCTCCGGTGCCCGCCCCTTGCCCAACCGTGCCCGCCCACCCTGCCACCTGTGAGAAGAGGAGGAAGCCAGCCTCGTCGCAGGGCAGCATGTCATCCACCAGCACCGTCGTCCACGTGCCGTCCTTGCAGAGCCGCACCTGGTAGGCGCCCTCCGCGCACAGGCTGCGTGTGACCATCACCCGCTCGACCAGGTCGGGGCGCTCTGCCAGCACGGCCAGAGCACTGAGAAACCTGTGTGGAGCCAGAGGACGCTCAATGCGCACAAGCAGACGGGCCTGCCACCCGGCCTGAGAGGGTGCCCCACACTCACCAGCAGTTGCCCAGCAGCCCCTGCAGGATGTCCGAGGGCTGCAGAGTGTGGAACACCGACCAGGAGGTGCTGTGGTCCCTGAAGACAGAGCAGTTGATCTCATGAGGCCTCAGCCACTGCTTAACTCGCTGCTGGACGCTGTCGCCTGCGGGAAAGCCCACAGACTCGGGCCCGGGTGGAAAGCTGTCATCCACGAAGTTCACGTTGTTCTGCAGAGACCACAACCATACACGCTCAGGCTCAGCTGGGTAGCCCTGGGCCTAAGATGCACCTTGCTCCAACTGGCAGCCTGAGACAACACCCTGAAAATGCTGCCTAAGTCCCAGAGGAAAGGGGGTAGGCACGTGTACAGTTACCCTGACCAGTGTGGAGAACTCAGCTGGGGCCTCGTGTGACTCGCACAACCCTATGTGGGCACGGGGGACCACAGCCAACCAGGCCACTGCAGGCTGGCAGTGGGTAAGTGGGAGGTACGGTGCCCCAAGGAAATGGCAAAGCGCCCCCCCACCAGCCTAGAGACTGCACGGGAGGGGGGGGGTTAGGCACAGAAAACCTAGGCAGCCCTGTGCCTAACCCATGGCCCAGCACACCAAAGGTGAGGGGACCTGGCTGGGTGGGGGAAGGCAGGACACAAGACTGGACAAGCTGTCAGGGTGGGCTGTAAGCAGTGATGGGGCTACAAGCCCCTCCAGTTGACCTGAGGGTGATAATGACCTGGGCTCAGGCCTCCCACACGTCCTTGGGCAAGAGCATGAGAGGGTTTCCCAACCCCGAGTTTTGGCTGGGTCTGCACAGCTGTAGGAAGCACCAGGCTTGCCTGCTGGCAGTGAAGCCTCCGCCTGTATCCCTACCTCCCTGCGGCTTCAATGTCTATGGGAAATCACATCTGGAGGGGTCAGGACCACAGACTATGGGGTTGTAGACTCATGTGAGCAGAGAAAAAGGGGGCAAGATGCAGAGAGTGGGGGCCAGTCACACTCAGGTGAGGGGTGATTTGGTGTCAGGCTCAGCACCTAAGGAGGGGAATGCTGTCTCTCTTGCCACTGGTTCCTCCCTCTCCCTGGCTGGAGAAGGGCCAGCAGGGAAGGATAAAAGATGCAGAGCAAGGCCCCTGGGGAAGGGAGCATCAGCCCTGACGCATGGCCCACCCTCCTGAGGGGACTTACCTCCCGGCAGAAGGCCACGATGTTCTCCCAGAGAGCCTTGGCCTCACCCTCATCTGTCTGCCGCCGCTTTTCCACGTGCATACTCTCCCTGCGCCTCAGGGGTGCGGCACCCCGGCGCTGGGCTTCCAGGAGCTGGGGCGTGTGGCAGGCGGCACAGTGCTTAGCCCGGGGTGCGTTGAGCAGTGTGCAGGCAGGGCAGGCCCACTGACCTGGGCGTTCAGGTGGTGCCTCGGGAAAGAGGCGGCTGGCCTTGTGGACGGTGCAGAGGCCCGGCTTGTCCGCACTGCAGTCAGGGCAACGAGCAGGGGGCTCGCTGTGCTCCTGGAAGCCATGCAGCTTGGAGCAGCCACACACAGTGCACCTGGGGGCTGCCGTGGGGTTCTTGAGTGTGCACTTGGCGCACGACCAGGTGGTAAAGTCGGGGCTGGAGGGGCTCGCTGGCGTGTAGCGCACAGTATCACCGGCCAGGTTGATGACATCGCTGCCCGGAGCAGTGCCACAGGCTTCACACAGGCTTGCGGGGCTGGGCGAAGAGCAGGAACTGCACCGGCGCAGCACGGTGCCGCCCTCAGCCACCTCCTCCTCTACAGCACTAAGTCGCTTGCCTGAAAGCAGCTCTGCCAAGCGGGAGGCCCCAGCAGAAGTCCGCCCTGGGCCCTGAGGGGGCCCCTTGGAGCCAGCAGTGGGGGAGGGCTGGGTGGCCTCAGGCACCGGTGGCTGCAGCTGGGGAGGTACCTCACGGCGGCTGCGAGGCACAGGGTTGTTCTGCAGGGTGGGTGAGAAGGGGCTGAAGGGTGGCATCCGGGGCGGCTCGTGGTCGGCAGCGGCAGAGGGAGGGTCAGCTTCATTGCCTTCCCCAGGCTGGGATGGAGCAGGTGTGATGTGGAAGCCGGCGGGGGCCACAACTTCGGGGACCACCAGGGCCTCGGGAGGGATCCTGGGCAGTGAGAGTTTCCGGGGGCCCCCGCAGGCAGAGCAGGAGCTGGCCGCTGGTGTGTTGTGCAGGGTGCAGCGAGGGCAGGCCCAGCCACTCCCAGGTTCTGCTGTCCCCTCCTCCTCCTCCTCAGGCTGCCCCCCACCTGGCTCCATGGCCACTAATCCCTCTGTCCGTGCTGGACCTGCCTCCTCCTTGCAGCTGCCTTTGGGTTCCACCAGGATGGTGGGCGGCTTGGGTAGGACCCCGTTGATGACCGGCAGCAAGGAGGTGCTGGGCACAGGCTCTGGGGCAAAGCCACACACCTCACAGGCCTCCTTGCCAAGGAAGTTCCGGAATGTGCATCGGGCACAAGGCCATTTCTGCTCCTCAACGCTCAGTCGCAGGATCTGGTCGAGATCAGGCTTGTGCCGGGGAGCCTCACAAATGGAGCACTGGCGCTGGCCGGCCGGGTTCAGGAAGGTGCAGCGCGCACAAGACCACTCTCCAACCGTGGCCATGGACCCAGGCAAGTGTGTGTGTCTGCAAGGGATGGCCCCAGTCAGTGCTGGCCCAGAGGACAGGAGCCCGGGTCACTGCCTGGGATGAGGGGGATCAAGCCAGCAGGATCTGTGTCCTTCTGGGCTGTGACAGACGTCAAGCTCCACAAGGCAGCCTGTGAGGGGCCTGAGGACTCTGAGGAGTAAGAGGTCCGCCAAAGCCTCCAAGGGACCCCAAGGCTCTATCCTCAAACCCTTTCTGGAGGGGTGGGCCCGTGGGAAGGGAGGGACGGGGCTGAGCCACACCATCTTAGCGGCCATGGGGCTCTGGTGTGAAGGTGGTCTTCGATAAGTCACAGTGAAGAGTGTGAGTGAACTTCCTTGACAGGATAAAGGGCATCCACCAAACACCTGCAGCCGGCATCGCGCCCGCTGTGAGAGACTGAACGCTTCCCTGTCGGGAGCACAGCAAGGCCAGGCCAGCACTGCGCTGGGTGCCAGCCAGAGCAGTTGGGCACAGAAAAGGTAAAAAGGCATCTAACTGGAAATGAAGAAATAAAAGTATCTCCATTTGTGGATGACATGATCCTATACAAACTCTCAAGAACCTACAAAAAACCCAGCTAGGGCTAATAAGCAAATTCAGCACGAGATCAACACCCAAAAAATCAGCTGTTTCTGTGCCAGCAATGAACAATCTGAAAAGGAAGTTAAAAAAAAACAACACTATTTAACCTGGCTGGTGTAGCTCAGTGGATTGAGCGTGGGCTGTGAACCAAAGGATTGTGGTTCGAATCCTAGTCAGGGCATATGCCTGGGTTGCGGGCCAAGTCCCCAGTGTGGGCCATGTGAGAGGCAACCACACACTGATGTTTCTCTCCCTCTCTTTCTCCTTCCCTTCCCCTCTCAAATAATTAATTAATTAATTAATAAAAAAAAAACAAAAAACAAAAAAACCTGCTACTTAAAATAGCACCCAAAATAATAAAATACCTAGGAATAAATTTAAGGAAGCGAAAGACTTGTACTCTGACAGTTATAAAAACTGCTGGAAAAGGTCCTGGCCTGGTGTAGCTCAGTGGATTGAGCGAGGGCCTGTGAACCAGAGGATCATGGTTCGATTCCTAGTCAGGGCACATGCCTGGGTTGCAGGCCAGTTCCCAGCAGGGGACACACGCGAGGCAACCACACATGGATGTTTCTCTTCCTCTCCCCTTCCCTCTAAAAGATAAATAAATAAAAAATAAAATCTTTAAAAATTGCTGGAAAAATTAAAGAAGACCTAAATAAATGTATAAAAACATCCTGCATCCATGAATTAAGACAATATAGTTATGATGACAATACTACCCAAAGTAATTCAATAAAATCCCTATGGTTTGGGGGTTTTTTTTGGTGCAGGAATGGAAAAAACTGATTCTAAAAGTCATATCACCCTGGCTGATGTAGCTCAGTGGATTGAGCACCAGCCTGTGTGAACCAAAGGGTCGCCAGTTCAATTCCCAGTCAGGGCACATGCCTGGGCTGTGGGCCAGGTCCCCAGTAGGGGGCATGTAAGAGGCAACCACACACTGATGTTTCTCTCCTTCTCTCCTTCCCTTCCCCTCTCTAAAAATAAATAAATAAAATCTTTAAAAAAATAAATCAAATTCATATCAAACTGCAAAAAACCCCGAGCAGCAAAAACAATCTTGAAACAGAAAAACTCAAGACAGTATGGTATTGGCATAAAGACAGACTACATGTCTACAGTACCTGGTCTTTTTAAAACAGGCTTTATGTATTTATTCTTAGAGAGAAGGGGTCTCTCTAAAAGAGAAAGAGAGGGAGAGAAACATCAACGGGTTGCCTCTCACACATGCCCCAGCCAGGGACTGGACCCACAACCCAGGAATGTGCCCTGACCAGGAATCAAACCGGCGGCCTTTGGTTTTGCAGGACGGCACCCGACCCACTGAGCCACATCTCTCACAACACACTATGTGGCCTTTGTACAACCAATAGGACAGAACGGAGTCTGGAAACAAACCCTCGTGTACATGGTCGAGCCATTTTCGACAAGGGTGCCAAGACCACTCAATGGGGAGTGAATGTGCTTTTTAACAGCCGGTGCTGGGACAACTGGGTATAAACAGAAAGGAATGAAGGTGGGCCCTTACCTCACACTGCATTAAAAAATTCACTGAAAATGGACTAATGACTTAAATGCAGGAACCAAAACTGTAGGACTCTTAGAAGAAAATATAGGTACATTTTCATGACCTTGGATGTTAGCAATGGATTATCTGACATGACTCCAAAAGCATGGGAAAGTTTTAAAAAAAAAAGGATGTCATAAAAAAAAAAAGAAAAGAAAAGAAAAAGGGACTAGCAACTTGCAGGAAGAAAATATTTGCAAACTGTATGTCTGTTAAGGACCTTGTAACCAGAATATGTAAAGAACCCTTAAAGCTAAACAACAAAAGAGAAACAACCTGTTTTAAAAATACACAAAAGATTTGAACAGACATTCCTACAAAGAAGATACATAAATGGCCAAGGAGTACCCGAAAAGATACTCATCACCAGTTACTAGGGAACTGGAAATCGAAACCTGCCACGAGATACCACTTCACACCCACTGGGACAGCCAGAACCAAACCTGCAGACGTTAACAAGGATTGGTGCGGCCGAGGAGAGACCAAAGCCCTTCCCCACTGCTGGTGGGAATGCAAAATAATAGGACAGCTGCTTTGGAAAACAGTCTGGCAGGTCCTCAAAAAGTTAAACTGACCCACCATATGACGCGGCAATTTCACCTCCAGGTATCTACCTTAAAGAACTGAAAAGTGTATTCTAACAAATACACATGTTCACAGCAGATCCACCCATAAGAGTCGATGACCCCAGAAGCCCACCAGTGGCTTTTTTTGTGGCTTGCATGGGCCAGCCAGAAAAAAGAACGCAGTTTTGATGTACATGTTAAAAACCTTGAAACAGGCTAAGTGAAAGACACTAGACACAAAAGACCACATGTTTTATGATTCCATTCACTGAAACGTGCAAGACAGGCAAATCCATAGAAGCAGAAAGAAGACTGGTGTTTCCAGGGGCTGGAGAGCAGTTACTTGTGCGGTGGGCATGAGGTCTCCTTCTGGGGCGATGAGAATGTTTCAGACCCAGACAGAAGTGACGGCTGCACACTGTGAATGTACTAATACTACTGAATTGTTCACTTTGAGATGAGGAGGGTTTTTTAAAAAGATTTTATTTATTTATTTTTAGAGAGGGGAAGGGAGGGAGAAAGAGAAGGAAAGAAACATCAATGTGTGCTTGCCTCTCACGTGGCCCCCACTGGGGACCTGGCCCACAACCCCGGCATGTGCCCTGACCGGGAAATTGAACTGGCGACTCTCTGTTTCACAGCCCGTGCTCAATCCACTGAGCTGCACCAGCCAGGGCTGAGACCAGTAGTTTTATGTTACAAGAATTTCATCACGCACAAAAAGTCTGAGTACATGAAGGGAGGGCCAGGTCACCACGTACAGTTGTCTCCATGCTATGGGTGGGGTCACCCCTGATCCAGAGGCTGCTGATGGGTCCCCCAGCCTGGCTGGCTGTCTGCTTCTGGAATTTCCAGGAACCCCCTGGGCAGGGGCCAATTCTAACACGTGCTGAGGGCTACAGATACCTGATCATGAAACACAACCTAGCATTGTTTGTGGCCCAGTGAGTATAGTCCTGCCTAGCAAAGGACACAGCCCTGCTGTCCAAGGCACTTAGACTGACCCAACTCCTGTACCTCAGCAGCCCCTGCTGACAGGCTAGCCCGGGGCACAGCCTGAATTCTGTGGATACTGAGCACCCTCTACTCACCTGCCCCCTGGACCACTGCGGGCCCAATTCTGCCCAGCAGAGGTGCAAGGAGGCCTCAGAGTCCTGCAGCAGCATGCAAACCCTCTTCCTTTCACAGCCCGCATCCTGAGGTGCTGGGGGCCATGGTAGGCCCATGCGGTGGGGTTGGGGCAGGCTTCCCAGCTCCAGGAGAGTGAGGGGGGCCAGCAGAGGAGGAATATGCAAGATCAAAGGAGGTGGGAGAAGGAGCTAACAAGAGCATGTGGTTGCAGGGCTGACCGACACTCAAAAGGAGCTCCACCCCCTCAGAGCTCTGATCCCAGGAGGCCTCTGGCTGTGCCTTGGGGGGTAGGTGGGCTGCTGCCATTCACACACAGACCAGGTCTACACCTTAGGGGTATGACAGACCCCATAGGGAGAGCCAGGAGCCACGGGCCAGGTGTGGCCAGAGGACATGGTACTCCAAAAAGGTGCCGGGCCTGAGGCATGCATGGCAGTGTGGTAGGCACATGGAGGGCAAAACGGGAAGGACTGAAGGACTGGGAAGTGGAAGCCAGGAGGCCTGCACCCGGCTCCCAGGACCTTGCTGGTGGTGCAGAGCAGGCAGCGCATCTACCTCCCACCCTCCCAGTGTCCCCTTCCACAGTCTACCCTGCAGGCCTCCAGGAGTGATGGAATGCAGTCTCCTTTGCTGGGCGGGTTCCTGGGTGCCCGGCCTACCCAACTTCCCCAAGGCTGGGCCTCTGCTTCTCCCAGGTGCAGCAGATAAAAGGCACTCACTCAGGCCCAGGGCAGGGCAGGTGGGATGCTCCCAAATGGCTCCTCCCACCCAAGACGGGTCTTGTGTCTGGGCTAAGGGCAAGGCTGGCCCATTGGCCTGCCTTTGAAGGGCTAATCTGAGCCTGAGCTGGCATCCGTGCACCACAACACACTCTCCTACGCCGCTGCTCTGCTGGCAGAGAGATCAACTGTTCTTTACAACAAGGTACAAAACTTGTCATCCTAATGCTATCTATATTCACATCAAACCCTTTTGGTTCAGGAAAAAAAAAAACAACTTGCCTCTTCAGTAACAAAAAAATCTACTCTGGGCAATGCAAACTCTGTAAAGCCACCTTCCAGAGTGGATAGGCCCTGGGATGTGCGAGGGGGCCCCTAGCACCAGCAGAGTGGGCGTGGCCAAGGGCCAGGTCAGCTTTAACCTAGGTTTCTGTGTGAGGTATAAAGCCTGAGAAATCTGCCTGGACACTACCAGGGCCCCCTGCTTCCCACCACTCCCCGTTAGAGAAGGGCCTGTGGCCCAAGGCGTGGGGTACCAAGTACTCCCACAGACATGCATACACAGGTCGGGTCCTAGGCAACCTCCACCCTGACCCCAGGCTCAGAGCATGGCCACATTCGCCCTGTGCACCCCACCTAGCCTGGGAGGTCTCCAAAGGGAAGACTAAGACTAAGGCTCCTGCCCCATCAGGAAAGGTGGGCCCTGGACCCTGCTGGTCCCAGGCACACTGAGCAAGGACAGCCTTGCAAATGCTGGTGGGGATGCAGAGGGCAAGGCACCCAAGTCCTGCTCACCGGCATAACCCACCGGCTGGCCAGTCCCTGCCTTGGGCCAGCTGCACACAAGGTAAGGCGTCTGCAGTCCTGGCCAGCACCGAGGTGGGGCCAGGGCAGGTTTCACAGCTACCCTTGTAGACACGGACAATCTGGAAGATTCTGTCTGGAGTTCAGAAAGGTTTAAATGAAAACAGTTTCTAAAAGTCAAATTTAGTCCTGGGGGCCCAGAGGAGAGCTGGGCAGAAGCAGCAGCCCCTCTGGCTAGAAGGAGACCGTGGGGACTGTGGTGGTGGCACAGCTGCAGGACTGGCCCGGAGCTCCCTCGCCGCCCCACGACCCTCACTTCACAGCCTGCACCCATCTCAGCGCCATCAGGCGGTGGGAAGTGGCTCAGGGGTCAGTGACAGCTAAGCAGAGGGGAGCAGCTTCTCCAGTCTCTGAAATGCGGTGACGGCCCAGCGGACGCTCAGCGAGGCCTGGAGACCAGAAATCCCGGAGTGTCCACAGGTAAGGCCAGGCCACCAGGCAAAGCTGGGAAGGGAAAGTGGGGAATCTGGAGTCAAACCAGACCCTCAACACACAATGTCCCCAAGTTCCTGGACACTCACTCAGAGGCTGTCACCTGTGCTCCAGGACACAGAAGCAATTGCTTCTGGGGAGAAAACTGGCTGCTTGTGGAAAACAGCCTGAGTTACTCCTTAAAACAGAAAGGCCACGTTAGGTGAAAAATGCAGGCAACTGTCCAGAAAAATCCCACAATGTACACCTGTTCTATCCTCATCGTCTGCAAGTCGCTAACACTCAGTTCTAATTCACAAAAGGGGGGCGGTTATGGGGCTGCCTTTGGGGCTCACCATGAAGGCCCCAGGACACGCGTGTTCGCAGGGCTGTGGCAGCGCAGCCCCATCCTGGGCGAGGCCTTAAACCTCCCCAGGGGAATCGAAAGTAGTAAGTGCTGTCACACATGGGCCTCGGTCAAGCCACGGGGCCTGAGGCTGGGCCCCTGGACAGGCCTGCCAGTAGATGCAGGTGCCGCGCCGAGCTACGGCGGCCCGACCCTGGACCTCCTGCTGGTTCCAGACGGTGCTGGGGGCCTCTCCTAGAGGACACCTTCAGCCAGCCTTGGGTCATTCTCCTTGTCTCCGAGTCCCCAGGGAGGGCCCAGAGCTTGTGGCAGCCAGTGCCCCCACCAATCACTTATTGATTAAGATGAGCAGCTCCTGGGACACTGAAGTTCCTGCTCCCAGCCTGGCAGTGAGTTACAGGAGGTGTGGCCAAGCGCTCTCAGCTTCATTACCGCAACGGGGCGCTCCTAGCCAAGACGGCCGCCTGCTGATGGGGGGCAGGGGCTGCTGTGCTGCCGGCTTCTGCGTGTGCCCTTCCATGCCCTGATGCCCCTGTCAGAGCTGTGCACACTCCCAGCTGCCCCTCCAGACTGTGGCAGACATATGCCTGTGGGGAGGGTGGCCTGGCAGGGGCGGCATACAGTGCAGCCACGATGTGGCGGACCACCTGCCTTCTGCTGTGCCCACCTCTTCTGCCATTCTTTGTCATCTGTGGTCTGGACGCCTGTGAATTCCTTAAGACCATTAACACCATTTCTTCCCAATCTGTCTTTGCCCGCTGCTCCCAGGGGCAGACGGTAACCACCTGGAAGTCGAGGCCCGACTACAGTAGCCATGAAAGGAGCCGCCGGGCTGCACCAGCCCAGGGGCGGGGCCTGGCGGAAACCAGGAGAAGATATGGTGCTGTCAGGTCACCAGGCACTTGGCTTAATGGCATGAGTCAAGGTCCAAAGTCTACTACGTACACGCGCCCCTCAGAGCACTCACAGGGCCTCACGGGAAGCTGCCTGACAAACCCCGCAGGGTCCGCAGGTAAAGCTGCTGCTCAGAGGGGGGGCCAGCTGCCTTCCCTGGGATCCGGCAATTCTACTCCTAGCAATTTATCCCAAGGAAACAAACGAAAATAAAAGATGTGTGTGGAGAGATGGAAATCTGCAGAGATGCTCAACATCACCAACCATCAGGGAAACACAAATCAAACCACCGGCACACACCAACCACCTCACACCCACAACAAGGGCCGGGAGGTGGAGAAGCTGGAGCTGGCCCCGACCCTGCTGGTGGGAATGTGAAATGGCGCAGCCACTTAGGGAAAACAGTCTAGCAGTTTCTTAGAAAGTTACATATAACCTTGTAATAAACCAGAGAGAAATGAAAACGTGTCCACCCCAAAACGTATACACAAATATGCAGGGAAGCACGAAACATAAAAACCAAGGGGAAACAACCCTGAGCCCGCCCACTTGACAGAGGCAGCCCGCCCGGGCAAAGGAATGTCATGCAGCCGCCTCGGGAGGAACGAAGTGCTGACAAACACCGTGCACGGACGGACCCTGACAAGGTGCTCAGTGAAAGAAGCCAGACATAGGACACACATCACAGGGCCCTGCTTATGTGAAACTTCTAGAAAAGGCAAGTCCGTGGACAGGAAGCGGGGAGTTTGGGGACAGGGAGGGCAGCTAACAGGCAAGATCTTTGGGGACATGGAGATGCTAAACAACTGTGTGGCAGTGATGGCCCAACAGCTCTTTAAATGAACTAAACCCACGGAACCGTATCCTTGTGAGGGGTGAATCTGACAGCACATAAGTGACAGCTCAGTAAGCTGGGACGCAGAAACGTCGTCCGCCGGCAACAAGGAGACACTCTAATAATCTACTCTACCTCGTCCCCAACCCCCACTGCTCCCTCCCAGTCCCGCCTCCTGGCACACCCCCCGGACCTGGACCTCGAGCTCCGGACTCCTGCCCACCAGGGGATCTTATAAGACCTCCAAGACTCTCCCATTCAACTGTGCTAAACCCTCTGGCACCCTCCCAGGTGCCTCTTCTACTAGGGACTCAGGCCGCAGCTGCACTGGCATCCCAGGGGGCTGGGCCCACTCCTGCCTGCTGCCCGCCTGGCAGGAGAGCCCAGGATGTGCTTTTGAGAGAGGGAAGATGTCTGTTACCCACTGAACCAAGGCCTAGGCACCCCAAAAGAGCAGGGCTACCCACAACTCTGCCCCAAGGTCTGTGGAACCCTGAGTGTATGCTGAGCACTGGGCACCCCGCCTGCAGCAAGGCCACAGGACGGAGTGAAAGCAGGGGCGTCAGGGCCGAGGTGGGACATCACAGCTCGACTTGCCCTTGCATCAGCCTCTGCAGCGCCCTTGAGGGGAGGCTCTCCAGGGGATGCAATGGATAGCCCGGGCTGAGAAACCTGGGCTGAGCCCAGCCTTGATTACAGGGAGCTGGCATGTGGCGGCCTACCCCTGGGGCCTCACAGCACCCCACGGCCTGGCCAGCAGCCATGTTAGAGCTGGGGCGTTACACAGACAGGGGTGTCCCCCATATCCCACAGGAAACAAGCCAGCATTCTCAGCACAAGCCAGTGCCACTCACACCCGAGGCTGGCAGGCTCCCCACCCGCAAGGCTGAAAGCTGCAGAAGCTGCTGCTTCACGAGCACCAGACCAAGACATGCGCAGCGCACGAGAGAGGACTGGTCTCCCAGACCTGCTTCGCCAAGCGTGGAGCAACGCCAGGGCCTCTCGGGTCTCATGCCACTGAGGGAATGTGAGCTGCCACAGGACCCTAAGAAACAGGGACCCCATTTCTCTGCAAGCCCCTTTGCCAAAGAGAGGCACCCTGACGGAGCAGTACTCCCAACCCTTGGGGCCCGCCCAGCTTTCTTACCTTTGGGCCCGGGTCTGGTGCTGTGGGGTAACCAGGGCAGCGCCCCAGACAGGCCCCCCAGGGCCGCTCCTACAACAGCTGGGTGCTGCCGGGGGCCCTGGGAAGGGCGGCCCCGTGGGGAAGCCATGGTCCGACTCAGTCTCAGCGGCCAGCGAGGAAGCGGAGCTCCCCATGGCCCCCGTTACGGTGGCCACACTGAGAGCCGGGGCTGGTCACATGTGGCCAGAGCACAGAGGGAGGGGAGCTCCCTCACAGGAGACAGGGCTGCTGGGCTAGTCAAAGTCACACAACAAAAATAAACAGAGAGAGAGAATAAAGAGAAAGAAGAAACAGCATGATTCACAGGAACAAAGCCCCGGGAGCTCTGGGGTTCCCCAGTGCAAGCAGCCGTGCGGCAGGAAGGGGACAGCCACAGAGCAGGACTGGGGACCTGCGCCCACCCCAGCAGCAGGCGTCCGGCAGCACCCACCCCAGAACCTCTACAGCAGAGGTCCCCACAGGGCCGAGGCCCGCACAGCGACAGAACTGTGCCCGTTCTCTGCTCTTGAAAACCCACACCAGCCCATCGGCGGCCCACAGGGGAAGGATGATGGTGCCACCAGGCACTGGCCTTCAGAGACAGTTGTCTTCAGTGAGAAATGACACAATTTTGCTTTATCGTGGAGAGAAGAATCAAGGGGATGTTTAACTAATGGAAAAGGAAAAACAGGGAAGTGAGCAGAGAGGAGCTGGCACAGCCGGCAAAGCCTGGCAAAGGCCCGCACAGTGCTGTCTGCCAACCTGCCCGTCTGAGGCCTTCCTGACCCAGAGAAACCTCAGGGGCCAAGAGATGGGTGGTACCCAGGAGGCCTCTTGTGGGAGAGAGACCACCTGCACTCACGGGGAGGCTCCCACATCCACTGGCCAAGAGGAGGAATGAAACACAGCCCACCCAGGAGCATCCACCCTGAGACAGAGGGGACACCTCATTCTGAACGAGCCAAGTCCCAGTCAGGTTAGGGAAGATGCCCTCTTCCCTTCCCTCCCCCACCCAGCCAGCCTCTGGGCCAAGGTGGGCATCTGCCTGGCTTTCCAGCCTCCGACCCCTGGGTCCACTGGATACCCTTCTCCCAGCTCCCAACTTAGTCCCAAGGTGATGGGAGCCAGGGGCTGGGTGGAGCTGGGGGACTGTCCTCGCAGCACAGGCAGGCTGGGCGGGGCCACGGGTAGAAGGCGGGGCTGTGTGGGGCTCCCTGGGTGAGAGGGAGCAGCTGCAAAGACATCGCTCTGGAAACCGCAGGAGCCAAGGGCCATGGGATCTGGGACAGCAGAAGCCTGGGGCCCCTGCAGCAATGATGTTGCTGGGAGGGGACATGGATGGGACAGAGAAACACCAGCCCTGACTGGCCTGGTGGTCCCACAAGTCACCTGACACCCAGGCCCTTGCCACAGAGCAGTCAGAGCTGAGCAATGGGGCACAGACCCTGTGGTAGCCAGAAAAGCTGACACTGTCCCCACCTGGCCACTGAAAGACTGTCTGCCAGCTCTGGCCTCCAGGAACACAGTCCAGTGGGGGCACCACACGAGCCGCGGGGTTTGTTTCCAGTCCACCAACAGCCACATAAGAGGGGCACAATAGACAGGCTATGGGAACCCAGCAATATGCCCCATGGAATTTTTCACACCCAGAATGTTACCACGTCAGCACGGGACCAGGTGAAACCATGTGGGTCAAGGACTTTGGACTCTACTGTGGTCCATGCTCACCCTCCGAGTGGCTGGACCACACTCTGGGGTCAGCAGCCACACATGCTGGTAGGGCTGCTAACAGAGCGTGCTCAGGAAGGCACAACAGGAGGTCTACGTGCATGCAGCTGTGGTGCCCAGCGCACAGAGCAACCCCACAGAGGTTTCACGCCAGCCTGGGTCACTGGAGACACCTGCCTCCCCCGTGACTGCACGTCAGACATCGGAATAACAGCCCCCCAGACTTTTAAACCTCACTTCACACAAGCCCCTTTGGGAGAAGGGCCCAGGGCCCCTTTCAAGGCTAAATCTTGAACAGGTGAATGGCAGTGGGGGGAGCAGCCAGTGAAGAAAGTTGAGGGCTCGAACTGGAGCCGCGCTCAGTAGCGGCACCCATGGAGCGGAAGTGTTCCCGACTGGGCCCAGGGCCGTTCTGTCCCAGGCGAAGTTTGCCTGTTTCTACCCAGACAAGAGGACTGGGCGGATGGGGAAGCCTGGCCCGAGAGCCCCAGCACCAGGCGCGGCGGACAGGGCACACAGTGCCACTTGCAGCCAGGTCAGGGCCACCACATGCACCTGATTCGGGCAGTGCCAAAGGGAGAGCCAGCCGCGGTGCAGAGTGAGGACATGGCCCTGGGCCCCCCGGGGAAGGCAGGGGCCGCACAGGCCCTTGTCGGGGGTTCACCAGAAGGGACAGAGAAGACTGGTGGCTTGGGAGGGCGGAGATCCCAGGGAGCGGCTGGCTCCAGAAGGGCCTCTCCGGGGACTTCCAGGGGTGACAGCACTCCAACACCCCCGCACCCCATCTTGGCCCTGGGAATGAGGCCCCATGAAGGACCACCCTGGCTGGGCAAGGCTTGGCCGGGCCATCAAGCAGTGCGGACTCTGCTGCCCCCAGCCCACCTGAGGGTCCCACCTGCATGGGGTGACATGTGGGAAGCCCTGCCAGGGTAGGGTGGGCCAGTCATGCTCCATCCTGATTCCTCCTCAGAACAACTGAGGATGGAAGCTTTTACAAACACCAGCTGGAGGTACTGTCCTTTGTGATGGAACCCCAGGGTGACAAGCCTTGTACAACCTTCTTCTCCTGTAGAACCTGCTGCTCCTCTCATCCCAGGTGAGACCTTCTGCCAGCCCTGCAAGAGCCTACAGCCATTCATCTAACCCTTTGCACACCCTCTAATCCATCCGGCAAACGCCCATCAGGGCCCTGCTGCGCCGCAGGCCCATTTGAGGCACTGGGTATGGCAACGCTCAGGAAACCTGGTGGTCATTTTCCGGCTACTGTGTCTTAACATCATGCACAACAGGTCTCCAGGAAGAAGCCAGAGAGCAGACGACAGCACCAGCTCCTGGACTGTGCGAAAGGGCAGGATCCCAAGACATGGCGCCTCAGGATGAGCAGCGGCCCCACAGTCCCCGAGCCCCGGCTGGCTCTTCCTGAGCCTGTTTGGGAACCACTGCCCTGGATCTAAGTGGGGCAGTGACCTAGATCTGGCCTCAGAAGCACAAAGGTGGGGCTGCCGCCGCCCCCGGGGGCAGGGTGTTGCTGTCCGCCAGCCCGGGTGCGGGGCGTGTGCCTAGCATGGCCCTCTGAGAGAAGAGCCGGGACCACCCCCGAGTGATGAGCACACAAAGCCAGGTGAGGACGACAATCTCTACAGGCCCCTGCATGAGTACACCTCAGTCATGGCAGCTGGATCCCAGCAGGACACCCCGCCATCCCTCACCCCAGCTCACCTGTTCCCAGTGCTCTGTGGGCCTTCAACCTGTGCGGGACAGGAAAGGGGGCACTTCCCTGTGCTCCCGCCAAGTGAGTTTACCTGGCCCAGGGACAGGGGTGAGCAGACACCAGAAGCCTGCAGCCATGGAGGCCACAGAGGGGGAAGGGTGGGCCACACCCAGATCCCAGTGGGGGGGGGGGACTGGGGTTTGCCCCACCTCTCGCTGTGGGGGCTCCCTGTCTGTGCCCCACAGGTCAGCCTGTGTGACACAAGCCCTGTTAAGCTTATCAAGACCCACTGCCCCACCCTGTAATGATGGTCCTTCACTAACTGCAACAACCTGACGGGACAATGGAATCAGCGCCAGGATGGGGACCCAGGAAAGGGACAGAGGGCAAGTGGCCCGCCCAGGGGACACCAAGCTTTTATAGAGCATTGTTCTCTGTGCCCAGGGTGCTCATGGCCACCCACCACACCCCACCATCACACCCACCAGACGTGAAGCTGGGAGCCTGTCAGCAGGGCCCCACAGCCTGAGGAAGGCTGCCACCTGGGCGAAACCTGAGGGTGGGAAGCTCCAGCCCAAGTGAGGGCAGCCCCTCCCATCCCTACCGGAGACCGGAAACCAGGCTGGGACCCCACCCTGGAGAGAGCCCCACCCCATGGAGGGCCCAGACTTTGACCTCCCAGGACGGCATTCTCCTGTCGCCACCTTCCTCATGGGTCGGCAGTGCACCCACACCAACAGCTCCCCTACAGGTGGGAGGACAACAGGGCACGGAGTCAGGGGTGGGCCCTTGGGGACACCAAAGGGACGGCAGACAGGGCCAGCAACATCTGCCTGCCTTGTGCTGCTCCCCAGAATGACGGGACCATGACCCCGGGCCTCAGACACACACGCTTGCCAAGGCCATGAGAACCAGGCTTTCTCAGGGCAGGGGCCTGGGCAGTAGATCTTGGGGGTTCTGTGAACTGGGGGTTCTGTGAACCAAGGGTTCTACGGAGAGGCGCTGGTGCCCCTGCAGAGAGAGGGGGCCACACCGCACTCCAGCCCCACTGCTCTGCCGCTGGTCCCATAGCCCCAACTAACCCACAGTGCCCAGGAAGGGACTCGCCCCTACTGTGGACACCCCTGAGCCCCCTCCCGCGCCTGTGTCAGTGGCACAGCGAGTCCACCAACAGCACGGCCACCCAGAGGACATGCCCCCAGGCTTAGTGGTCCAGGCCCAGTGACTATGTGGCCCTTGTGCCGGGCTGTGCCCTCACCCGCAGACGGCGGGGGGCGCATGGAGGGCTGCCCCACTGCCAGGCACAAGAGCCTGGACAAAGAACTGCCCCCAGTTGCTCTGAGAATACTCTGTGGGAGGCAGCCTGGGGACTGCATTCCTTTTGAAGCTACGCCTGTCCCTCACCCAGAAGAGGCCTGAAGCCCCAGGGGATCAACTTGGCTCAGCCAGCTCCTCACTGCTGAGCCCAAGCCCCCAACTGTCCCTGGGCCGACCAGGGTGGCAGGGGACCTGTTCGAAATCCCAAGGCTGCAGTGGAAAGGGCCTCCCTTAGCTGGCTCTGCTCACAGCGGGGGCTGCCAGGGAAAGGTCTCCAGGTGGGGCAGGGCTCTGGGCAAGCAGCCAGGCAACGCCCAAGATTCACCTGAACCCGAGGGTCCTAGCACCATTTGGCCACTCTCACCTCCAACCGATGCTGCAGGCTGGGTGCCTTTGCACTCATGCCCCCTCCTGGTCTCCCTAGGTGTGGCGTGAGGGCCCTGGTGCCCACCTTGCTGCAGCCTCCCCCGCTCACTCACCACTGTCCTTGGGCAAACACCAAGGCTGGCCACTCCCTGCCTGCAGGGCCTGCCACTGCCAGTAACAAATGTCATGACACTGCTGACCTCTGAGAAGCAGACTGAAGAGGTTCTGCTGAGAATTATGGTGAGTGCCCACCCAAAAGCCAGGTCCAGGGACCACAGCTGTGGGCTCCAGGAGTATAACCACTTCCCATCAGCAAACTCGGGAAGAAACACACCCGCCCCAAACACTCGTCCACCTGACTGGGGTCCGCTGTCCAGATACGCTACACGGCAGACACCATTCTCGGTGCTTCTGGACTTCTCTGTACGGCAAGTGGTTTGGTTCCTGAAGGTTCTGGCCAGCGGCTGTAGAACAAAAGTCAGGGCTCCTCACCGTGCAGCCTGCCCCTATTTCCTGGGCCCACTCTGAGCCCCTCTGAGACACCACTGACCCCACTCACTGTGGCGAACCAGCAGCTGGTGGGTTGGATTCACTCAACTTTCTGAGGCACCTGCTTTCTGGGGTGGACGGAGATGGGCCTCTCAAAGTCGAAAGCACAAGTGAGGAGGATGGAGGACAATCGCACAGGGTCCTGGGGCTGCCTCCGAGGTGAGTGGGGCGACTGTGGTCCTCTCGTGTCTGAAGCCGTATACACCTCAGTTGTGTGCAGTGAAAAAAGGCAATTGTTTTTCATACAGTACTACCAGAGAAACACAGACACTCTTAGGGTTTCAGTTTCTAGTTCAAAAGTTCAATATTAGATGTTGAATACTATTTTTTAAAAAGATGTTACTTATTTACTTTAGACAGAGGAGAAGAGACAGAGAGAAAGAAACATCAATGTATGGTTGCCTCTCGTTTGACCCCTGCTGGGGACCTGGCCCGCAACCCAGGCATGTGCCCTGACTGGGTATTGAACCAGTGACCCTTTGGTTCTCAGGCCAGCACTCAATCCACTGAGCCACATCAGCCAGGGCTGAATACTATTTTTAATAGGAAAAGAGAAGGTACCAGACAAGCACTCTTGTTTTTGGCATTTCTGTCTACATTTCTGCTTGCCAAGTGGTGGCAAGAGCAGCCCTGGCCCGGGCAGCCCTGCAAGCACCCGCCAGTTCAAATCATCTCATGGGGAGATGGGCACTCGAGCCTTCAGCTCACTTGAGAGGAAGGCATTGGCAGGGGGGGGGGTGGGAATCTCTGGAAAGACAGGGGCTCCAGGATGTGCTGCCTTTCCTGTGATATGGCAGGAGGGCGGCACCAGGCAGGTGCAGAATTAAATTCTGCCTGTGTGAATTTAATTCCAAAGGGCAACTCTTCTGAAAAAATGTGGATGTAAGTGGGCTTGAGGAGGAGGTCTCTCTTCTTCAGGTTTGGGCTGTGACGACACAGGTGGAGCAGGAAGCTGTAACGACTGCCTCCCTCTGGATACAGATACACGCTACAATTCCCAATAGCAGCTACCGACCTGCTTTCTGCCTGATACCTTGCAGCACAGTCCAGGCACATCCCCCAGCTCAACCACCAGGGAGGTGGGGACACAGCCGCAGAAGGTCCCCCAAACTCCAGAAAAGCCAGAGAGCAGGGTGTGGAACAGCTGCTAGAGGGGTGCGCAGCATGCCTGAGGCTGGACCAGTGGCTGCTCTGTCCCCAAAGGCCACGACTGTGGGTAGTCGGCCCCATCAGGCTCTTCACTGATCCCCTGGGGCCCATAAATGACATATAGCTTTTGGATCACTTTTGGAACTGCTTCTCAGTAAAATGGGGCTTACCAGAGTGTAGCCTACGAGACAGGGGCCTGGAGAGCGCAGGGCCTAAGCACTACGACGCTTTAGCGAATGTTACCACTGTCCTGTCTCTCTGGTGAAGGACACAGGGACTCTGCATGATCGGGAGTGGAGGAAGGTCCTATGTGTTGCAGGATTAGCAGACCTGGTCACTCCTGCTCTCAGAGCCCAGGTCTGGCAGGGGGAGGGGGTGGTCACTCAGAGCAGATACAATATCAAAGATCATAGGTCCCCGCCTAAAGCCACGCACCTACTAAGCCTTGGGCCCAGCAGGGCTTAAACCTGTTTCTTGGAAGGTCATGAGGTCATGGGTCTATCTGCTCAGGAAAAGCAGCTCCAGAAATTTTCAGAAGCAAAAGGGAAGGGGGAGAAGAGGAGTGCTACTCCTGGGGGCAGGACGACCTGGGAGGAAGTAAAGTGTGCCCATTCCCAAGGCCAGGCTGCATGGGCTTCCTGCACGAGCATCGGCCAGGCCACAGAGCTGGGATCCAGGTCCCCGTCCCTCTGAGGCTCTCCTTCCAAGACTTGGGCCGGGAAACACTATCTCTCTTCATATTTGAGAGAGTCATTCAGAGGAAGAATGGAATTACCCCACCACGTCAATCAGCCTCTAGAGGCTGGAGATAATCTCTTGCCACACCTAAGTGACACTCACAGGACTCCAAACCTGGACGGAGAGAGGACTCAAGGGATTCCCAAAGAAGGGGCTCTTGGGAGGAGCTCAAACCCAACTCAGCATCAACCTGAGTCTGTTTTCCCCACAGGATGCCAGGACTCTAGGCTGCAGGACCCCAGACTCCCTACCTGGTCTCGCAGAGATCCTGTTGCCTGCAGTCTAGTTACAAAGTCCTGTGCATTCAAGAGTCTCCAAGGGCCACCCAGTTAGAGCTATGCCACCACACAACAAAGCTTCTCTCCTCTGGACCAGAAAGGCTCCTTGGTGGCCAACAGGAAAAACCGGGTTACCCCCGCAAATATTCTCAGGAATAAATCCCCTGTAACTTCCCTGTGTTGCTCTAGCGCCAGCCCAGAGAGGAACAGGGAAGAGGAAGTGTTAGGGTGGCCAGTGGGCACACACAGGGCGCACCCGCGCACCCCCATTCCATGAAGTTGCCCCCAGGTCCTCCAGTGGGTCCTGCTGCAGGCACTACGGGACACGTCCCCTAAAGCAGCCAAACCAGGACGCTGCCCGGAAGATAAGGACACTCAAGGGCAGGCAGAAGCTGAGGCCGCCGCCAGTGTTCGCAGCATCCTGGGGCTGGTCTCCCAGTGATTCAGATGACCCGGTCCCCGCCGGCTCCCCTCTCTAAGCAGCGCACCCAGCCCAGTGAGGGCTCGGTCAATGCCCAGGAGGCGCCAGTGAGGCAAGAAACTGACCCTGGTTCCAAGGCTGGCAGCCCTGGCGCTGAGGGGCGCTGCCTGCGAGGCCCGGGCTCTGGCGAGGGTCCAGGCCGCGCCCCCACCCCGGCTGGCGGGACTCACCTCCGCAACCCGGCGGCGCCTCCTCTGTCCGTGCGGCCTGGGCGGCCCGGCCCCCGGCCCGCTCGCCCCTGCCAACCGACCTACAACTTCTGCCACTAGCCTCGCTGCCCCACCGGCCTCCGGCACTGAGTGCAGGAGCCGCCGAACGCCCCAGACCCGGCTGGACCGGTCCGCGTTGGGCGCCCAACCTACGCTGCCTCCGTAGCGTAGCGCCCGGCCAGGGCCCCGCGGCTACGGTGCGCCCAGGGCGCACGCGGCGCTGTGAATCGCGCGCCTGGACTACTGTTCCCACAGGGCGGTGCGGCGCCGCCAGGCCAAAAGTTTGGGGCGGTGCTCTGCGCGCGAGGGAATCCGGGAGTTGTAGTGTACAGGTTGGCGGCCAACAGCAGCCCCGCCTGGCGCCTTCCAGCGGCCACAGACTTCTGGGACCTTCCCACCCATCAGCGCTACTAAAGAGGGCCGAGCCTCGGGCCCCAGGGAGTGCTGCATGCTGGGTTTGGTAAGTAGGGAGGGGGGAATGCACCGAGTATAGGACTAGGACTACACCTCCCAGGATGCCCTGCGCAGGAGGTAAAGGTCCAGTGTCCGCCCCAGTCAAGGCGCTTCCGGCTGCGCTTTGCGGGCCGAAGTTCTGGGCTGCCGTCACTTCACCTCCTGCCGTTCGACTCCACTTAGACCCTTACGTGTCCACGGGGCTCGTAGACCTCCTTAGCTTTCTCCAGGACCTCTTCAGTTTCTCCTCCAACCCCTCAAACCATCTGTGCAACTTCTCGATTCCCCTTAAGGGCTTCACATTCAAAAGCTCTAGTTTCGGTGGGACCGACCTAAGACACGGCCTTGGCGCTTAGAGTATGGTTACTGTGGTTGTGGAATTAGAGGGCAAATTACTTCTCTGAGTCTCAGTTTCCTTTTCGGTAAAAGAGGGAAACTAGGATCTAATTGGACCATTGGGAGGACGAAATGAAATACCATCACAGAACATGTAGCCCAGTGCCTGTCAGGAAGGAAGTGGTATTATTCCTGTGTTACTCCATAGAGGCCTCTTAACAGAACCGGCCCCCCTGCACAAGAGAGACTCCTCAGGCTGTCTCCCTTTGAGTTCCCTTTCTGCACCCTTGAGGTCACTCACACCCGACAGTCACAAAACTGGAGCCCCTCTGCCATCTGTTGCCTAGGTGCCCGGGAGGCAGCAGGAGGTGCAGGAAAACTGCGGTGTTGATAGTTTGTCAAATGCAACCGAGGCACAGGAAGGCTTCAGTGGGAGGTGAATGCTGAGGGCAGAGCCCCAAGGACTCTGGCACTCACGGGCTCATGGGGAGCCTGAGAAGACACAGGCCATGCTGAGGGAGTTACAGAAGCAAGGCTCATCAGCTTAGATTCAGGGAGTTTGGTTGTGGTCCAATTCTGTCTCGAGATGGAGTTTGATAAATTTGAGATTGGGTGATGTTTGCTCCAGTTAAAAGCTAAACTGACCTCAGTAGTACCTCCATGGACAAGGCTCTGTGGTCCTGGGAGGTGATTCAAGCCCAAGGGAAACCTCTGTTTTACTCTCAAGATGCTGCAGTATTGCAATGTTGGGGCCTGGGCTTTAGCTGCAGCCCAGAGTTGCTTCCTGAATGCTGAGGTGACAAGCTGCCTGCAAGGCACTGGGCTGTACAGTGACTCAACCCACCCCCAGCTTCCTTTCCTGCATGAAAGTGACAAGGAGGCTTTGACAATGTGTGGCTGTGGAATCTTAGAGGACTAAGTCAAAGGCTGACTCCCATGGTGGTTTTCCTCCCTGGACACTGTTTGGAGTGGGTTGAATGAAGACTAGTGTCCACAGCCCTGTAACCTCTCAAGAAGAGAAATGACTGATGTTGAGATGGTGATCTGATGACCCAGGTTCCTGACAGCTCACTGCAGATTTTTGAGGAGCCAGGGCCTACACTGGGGTGAGGAGACAGCAGGTGCATCCCAATCCTTTCCAGTAAGGAACCAAAGTCTGTTGTGGGGGAGAAGGCCCAGTCACCAGAAGAGGGTCTCAGGAGTCATCTTCAAGACTGTTGAGGTGCGCACTTTCCCAGGAGGAAGGGTTGTGGCCAGGTACTTCAAGGTTGGGTGGTCTAGGGTCCCCGCATGGGAGGGACGCACTCAGGCCTGGGGGATACAGGTCTTGACACTGGCCTCACAGGTTCCACCGTGGCCCTTCCAGCAGTGTCTGAGGCCTGCCCTGAGAAGCCCCCCTCCTGACCCTGCCCTCAGCCACCTTCTGGAATAAACTCTCCAAGCCCTGTCTGGGCGATGGCCAAATACTGCCCTGTTTCCACTTATGGTAGATTTTCCTCCTTTGTTCTCCTGTCCCAAATGTTTCCACTTGGGGCTGAGACCACTGGAGGGCCAGGGCAGGAATTCCTGCATCGCTGCTGGTGGGCCCCCATGTATTTTAAAGAGTGGAAATAAACTGGATGGGCAGGCCTCAGTGGAGTAACAGGGAGAAAGGAGCAGCTTCCTTCCCCCCCTTCCTGGCCCCAGCCTGATGAAGACCCCTTCCCACTTCCAGCCTCTCCTCCTAGGCAGAGGTGGGCCCTGCGAGCACCAGATGAACACAGGGTAGGTGGGAGAACAGGTGTCTTCTGGCGTTAAAGCAGAGGTGCTGGCTTCTTCCTGGGTCAGTGGAGACCCTTCAGTGCAGCCAAGCTGGGGACAGGGCCCTCTAGGACCCCCACTGACATTCTGAATTAACAATGGCAGCGCTTTGACGCCCCCCAGTGTTGAGTGGGCCCTCTGGGCAGAGCCTGGCACACCCCAGGCTCCAGCACAAGGCTGCCCTTCTGGCCAGAAATGGGCCCCATAGGTGGGATGGTAACCAGTGTCTCCGAGGGCAGTCTGGAGACCTGGGAACACCTTACAGCTACACCTTCTAAGCACTGGGAACACTGATGGGGACCTGGCAGGCTAGATGTGTAGGCAGTGTTCTCCATTCTCTTGCCCCTCATCCCCCGGAATTGGTGGGAGGTGGGCTCCAGGCAGAACCTCACCTTCCAGGTTTCTTATTTAGTGCCCCTCCACACAAGGTTCAGGGCCCGAAGGCCTCACCCTGGGGACCCATGGAGTCCTTCTGCTACACCAACTGATGAGGCCTGGGGTCCCTGCTTGCTGAAGGCCAGGCTGTGCCCACTATCACCATCCTCAGGTTATCAACCCCAAGGGCAGCAGTCAGGGCCAGCAAACCTGAGCTCAACTCTCTTCTTTACTAGCTGGGTGGTTGGGGGTACGGTCCTTGGCCTCCCTGTGCCTTAAGTTTCTGCACTTGAGTCTGGCTTGCAGGTACTCAGTGTGAGGGGTGGGGGTAGTAGATGCAGTTTGCCACTCCTGTGGACACCTGGGCTGGGGGGTCCTTCTGGGGACTTTTAGCGAACAACCCTTGCTTTCAAGTCAAATTTGGTCACTTAGCCTTAGTAATCTTCTTGCTGGTGTCTGTGACTGTGGAGGCAGCTGAGCTCTCCTCCCAGCCTGCCTCCCCACCTTTCGTCCCTCCTGCTGAGCCCAATTCTGTTGGGGTCTTGGCCTTTTCTGTGCCTTTGGGTTGGTACGCAGCATGTGGCCTCTTCTGGGGCCCATCTCTTCATCCACGAGTACATGTTCCACAGGAGCAGCTTGTTCACAAACCCAAGACTTGGAGTGCTGCCCCCTCCGTGGCCCAGCTGGCCCTCAGTGCCATGTTAGCAGCCGGACTGCGGTCAGGGGCCAGGTCCTGCCATGACCTCACGGCCCCTGGGGCGCGTTGTGTGGCCCTGCCCCAGGAGTGCCTCTGGACAAGCTCTTCCGACCCCAGCCTGTGGGTGCCATCCCAGGGCCTCTGAGAGGTTTACAGGGAGGCCAGGAGGGGCTAGCTTGACTAGGTGGTCTCCTGCCATCTGAACTCAGATGACGCATGGCTCCCAATACCCTGAACACCATCGGGGGTGCCGAGCCAGGCCCATGGCACTCCTGCTCCACCCCTCAATCCCCCCAGATGAAGAAGCTGAGCTGTGTGTGTGTGCAGCAACAGCTTTCATCTGTGATGACATTGTTTTGGCCTTGCCCTTCCACATCCAGGCTCCTGTCACTGCCTGGAATGTCCTTCTTGAGAGGAGGAAAGCAGGGTCAGTGTGCAAGTCAGTGCCTGGCTGTTTGTGAGAGACATCTCCTGGCAATTTGTGTTTACAGTTAGTACTGCCAAGTGGTGGACAGAGACAGATCCCAGGCTGTGTCAGGGTGAGGCTGGGCACGGAAAGCAGAGTTCCCATATTTATTATCATACATACGTACATACATACATATATATATTTCATGTGTATACACAGATAGTCTCTCTTGGAAGTATTAAAAAAATTGATCAACCTTCAATCTATAAAAAATACCTACTCTAATGATAGAAAAATCTCTCTTCCAAGTTTACACTGATTTACACCCAAGGCTTTCCCCAAAATATACAATACGAGGCAACATCTTAAGTCTTAGTGTAGAAGGTGGGCCATGTGGAGGATGAAGGATGAAGGGCAACACACATGCTTACACACACACACACGCGTGCATACACCTCATATACACACTTGCACGCAGCAGTGGCCAGTTTGTGTGTGGGGTCTCAGCCCACCTGGGAGCACCTGGAGGCCTGTGGCCAGTGCTCGGGCTCAGGTGGCCAGCAGGCCCAGCATCCCTGTGGGGGTGACACTGCTGCTCCTGGCAGCACAGGTGCCAGGCAGTGGCAGCGTACAGCTGGGTAAGGGTTTCCTAAAAGGAACCTCCAAGCCGCTGGGAAGGCCTTGTTATCTGCTCTTGATCTCTCTCTTTGGACAGCCTGCCCTGCCCAGCCTCCTGCAGAATGAGCCTGGGGAAGAATGATGACTTCTAATGATTTAGATTCCTGGAGGAAACACTGGGACTCTGGCCTGGGCAAATGGGACTTTACCGGGCGCAGCCAAGATCTGCACAGGGAGGGGTAATTCAGGAGGCCAGGAGGGCCTTACCCATGGGGAGGCCACACCTCACCGTGGCGAGTCAGAGAAGGCCGACAATGTCCACATCATCCAGACAGGACCTTCCACCCTATTAGACTCTCGAGTCCTGATTTCAGAGCAGAGGCTCCTGCCCCAGTCCCCACAGGAGGATGAGAGCCCCCAAAGGTTATTGTAACAAGGGTGCAACTGTGAAACAGCCACGTAGCCGGAGGCCCCTGGGCCTGAAGCTGGACTGAGCTGCTTCTTCTGGCTGGGTGGTGGCCTGAGCAGCTCAGGGAGATAGCCCCAGAAAAGCTTGTGGGAGGGGGGCCCTGCTGGTTAGACCCTGACTTGTACCAACTTCACTGCCTGTCTTTCACCTACCACATCTGGTGCAAGGGTCCTGGGGTCTCTAGATTGTCCAGGAGTGGCTGAGGCCTGGGTGGCACCATGTTAGGGTACCTGTGAAGACATAGATGGCTGTACCCCAGGTGGCAACCCATTTCCTTCCTTTTTCTCTGACAGCGCAGGACAGCAGGAGGGTCTTCTACATGGGAAGGAGCTCATAGAGGGGCTCATACCAGCCTGAGACACTGTCCTCACACCTCTGCAAACAGGAGGCGACCAGAGCTGAGAGCAGGCCCGATCCCACCTGCACCTGCTGTGGGCTCAGAGCACGGGGCTTCCCTTTCCTTCTCCTTCTTCCACCACCCTCTTTCTGTGCTCCAGCTCAGCTGTGTGCTTTGGGCTCGTTGGGCATGGGACCTGCTATTCTGGGCCCATGTGTGCCGTGGCCATCTCTGGGGTGTTGGTGGAGTCCGGAATCACCCTGGGCTGGGCTTGCCTGCCTCTACTTGACCTCCAGGATGGACGGGTTGGTCTCCATGATGGCCACAATGATCCTGTCGATGTAGTCCTGCAGGCGGAAGTTGATCTCTTCCTGCTTCTGAATTGCTTCCATGAGCTGTGGGAAAAGCAAGGGGTCGGCACTGGGCACACTGACCGGGGGTGCCATAGAGTCCCGGGTGTGGGGGAGTGTGTACGTTACCTCATCACGGGAGACTGAGCTGATTTCCGCGGCTAGAGACTCGGAGAAGGATGTGGAGAAGAGGTTCTTGGCACCCTGGATGCTCAGGTTTATGATCTGTCCATTGAGCTCATCGTTCTGCTCCTTCAGGTTACGGTTGTCCTGGGGTGGGCAGCACATGATTCCTGGGCAGTGACTCCCCACGCTCCCCTCTCCCCTTGCCGGCTGTCATGAGGCTTTTTCTGGGCATGAGGGTATTTGCCCAGCTGTACCTGCTTCAGCCTGCGGACCTCCTGCTCCAGCTCGCTCTCCCGGGTGCGGCTATTGTACTCCTGCAGGCCTACGCTGCTGCTCCGGCCCCTCCTCTGCTCTGCCTCCAGCTTGAAGAGCTGTAGATGCTCCAGCTGCTTGCGCAGGTCCTCAATTAGCTGTGTGGGACAGCAGGGTGAGCAGTATCAGCCCAGTCCCTGGCTTCAGAACTATTTGTCTGAACACCGTCTCTGAGGAGGATGATAATGCCACACTCCCCACATGCCACCATGCACTGAGCCTCTGTCTAGCCTGACAGTTAAAAGCAGTAGGTCCCCAACTCACTCCGGATGGGCCCTATGGATTCTGGGAGCTCACTGAGTGACAGCCGGGGCCTCTGGGCTCGTGCTCACCTCCTGAGTCGCCTCCTTGTCCTTCTGAAATTGGTGCCTCTCATGACTCAGCCTGTCACCTAACTTCCTCCTGTTTTCCTGCTCATCACTGAGCCGCAGCGACAACTCTTCAATCTCATCCAGCAGCTTCTGCTTCTCCTGCAAGGTGAAACACTTGCCATGGGCACACCTCACCTGCCAGCCCACACACTGACTCAGGTGCGTGTCCTGAAAGTATCAGTTTGCTGACATCCACGGGGCTGCCCCTGAGCTTTCTTTCCTGTGAAAGCCAAGGTGCACATATATAGGCATGATCTCCTAGGGCCTGTGCTGACCAAGGGGTGGTGCACCCCTTGGCTGGCCACACCCATGTAGACTCATTAGCTGGCCATGTGATTGTCCTGCTTTGGAGAACTGATCTCAGCGTATCCTGATCCCCCAATAGGCAGTAGACCCAGAGGGTAAGGAAAAGCATGCAGGCCAGCCTGACTGATCTTGGCTCAGTGTTCCTCGCTGGCAGCTCACCTCCTCCAGGCGTTCGATGTTGGCCTTCAGACAGGGTGTGCAGGATCTCAGCTCACTGTTCTCCTCGTCCAGCTGCTGCAGCCTGGGACATAGAATGAGGCTGGGACCCATTCCCCAGGAATGCACCTCCTTGGGGTGAGGGAGGCTGAGTGTCTTGGAAACCTTGCTAGGGGCTGCCCAGGGATCCAGAGAAGTTACCCTTCAGTGCCTACAGCCCAGCCCTTACACACACAAATGCTCTGGGCAAAACCTTTTTGTAGGCCAGGATGGTTGTTAAATACACTTTGGGTATGGGGATAATTTCAGGTCTACAGAGCAGCTGCAGACACACGGGAGAGTCCCTGTGGACCTCGGGCCCTCTGAGCTTCCCCTGGAAGCATCTGCTCACCACTGCAGCAGGTTCGTCACAGCCCACGCACCCACATCGGGACACTCTGGTCACCAAACCACAATGGGATTCAGCTTTTTCACCCGTGCCTCTCTCTGTCCAGGACCCCTCCCAGGACCACACCGCACTCAGTTACCTCCTTGGTCCTGTAGGGTCTAGGGCAGTCTCTCAGGCTTTCCTGGTTTTTAATGACTTTGACGGTTTTGAGAAGTTTTGATTATGTATTTAATAGAATATCCCTTGAATTGGGTGCTTCTGGTGTTTCTTCACAATTAGATGCATTATAGTTGGAGGAAGAATTCAACAGAAGTGAGGTGACCCACTTATCACATCGGATCAGCGGTGCCGAGTCCACATGACTCATCATGGGTGATACTGACGTGGATCACCTGGGAAAGGTGTGCGTGCCAAGTGTTTCCTCTACCAAGTTCTACTTTTCAAGTCTATTCTCTGAATCTGGAAGCCGGTCACCTAGTCCAGCCCACACTCCGGAGAAAGGGAGGATGCAGTGCCACTCCCCAGGAAGGGGCGTCTCCATGTACTGTATTTGGAATTCTCTGTGAGGAATATCTGTGTCTTCTCCCCATTCACCAACCATCACATTTAGTTACATTCTGGATCATGGTCCAACAGTATCATTATTAGTGTGTTGCTCAAACTGTCCCACCTTTGATCTTTAGTTGGCTCCTGTCCCAGGTACGTGTACCCATCACTGTGTGCATATACTCTTGTTCAAGCACTTCCCTACTTTCCAGCACAACAAGATGATGCCCCAGGCTCCACTGGTCTGCCTGTCCCAGCTGCAGACTCAGTCCCTTCTCTAAGGAGACTTTGTTCCTTTCTGCAACCCAGTTGTCCTCACCACCCTGTTACTCTGTAGCCCCCTCACCGAGGAGTGTCTTCTTGTACCCCACAGTGGACCGAGGCCATTATGGGAAGGCCCTTGTCCTGGGATGACCTCAGGGTGCTGACCCAAGGCTGCAGGGGCCTCAGAGGGCCCGGGCAACCCCCCAAGAACTCCAGGCCTCCTCTGCCCCCCACCACACTCTGAGGGAGTTGCAGGAGGCCAGCAGAGTCCAGGTGCACAGAGCCAGTGGCCCTTGGTGCACAGGACAGGCAGCAGGTTTGGCCAGAAGGAGGAGTGAGTCCTGCCTCACTCCGTAAGGACACACGAGGTCCTGTCTGTGGTGTGCCCCTCCAGGCTGCTATCCTGGAGGACAGCCCGGCTATGCAGGCTCTGGTGTGGACAGATTCAGGAGGCAGGACAGTCTTCATTCTCAGCACTCACAGCCCCATTGGACAGAGCCCAAAGGAGAGGCTACCAGCATGCACATACGAGAAATTGCTTTGAGTCCACTAAACTGCACTGTCCTGACAGCCCAGGCCTGGCTGCCCCAGGTGGTGGCACCCACTGTGTCTGCATGGAAGGGGGCTTCCCTGTCCAGGGCAACCCTGGCACAGCTCTGCATGCAGCCCACTCCTGCCACCCCACTTTTGAAAATGCCCTCCAAGCTCTTCTTAGATAAAGTCAAAGTGTATCTTCCCAGCTTTAAGAGCTGAAGAGGAACACAAACTAAAGAAGAGTCCTCTTTCATGAATATTTAAAACTGCTGTACTCTGTAGTCTAAAAGTGGTACTGACTCAGCTAAAAAACGCTCTGTGAGACAACCCTCCACTGCCACTCGGGAGGCGCTGTGGGAGGGGGCGCACGGTGACCTCACCACTCCTCTGTGGGTGGGCATCTAAGTTGCCTGTGGGTTTTCTCCCACAGTGTTTTAAGAGAACCATCACTCACATGTGTAATTTCACGCGTGTGCCATGCACCTCCACTCTGAGTGCCTGGGTGCGGGACTGCTGCCCCCGCTGTGCCTCCCAGGTGCGCTTCACATACAGTGTGCTCACCCCTTTCTGTTCCCTCCTTTCCTGACTTACATAAGGCTTTTGCCTCCAGGGAAGCATGAAGGTAATTCTGTCAAGTAGCCGTACAAAAAAAATTGGTATTTTCACTGAGACATCCACTAGAGAGAGATTTAGAGAAGCTGATACCCATGTAAGGTCAATCTTTGAATTCAGATCTTTTGTGGCCTTCAGTAGTTTTACAGTTTTCTTTACATAGGTCTTCTACTTTTTCTAAAGTAAAATTTGTTCCTAGATACTGCCTTCCCGGGGAGCGGGGTGGGGCGACAGCATCCGCCGCATTTCCGCATTGTCATGGACGGCTCTGGGGACCCGTGGCAGTCTTGCCCACCTGGCCTGCAGGTTCTCGATCTCAATGCTCTTCTCCCTCTCCATCTTGCACAAGAGCTCCTTCTGCTTCCGTGTCTCTTCCAGGACCATCTCACAAGCTCTCAGCTCCTGCTCCTTCAACTGCTCCTCGAGGGCATTGGCTCTGTGAAGGCCAAGGGAGGAGGTGAGAGGCTTTCTGCCCTTCCAACCAAGGGTAAGATGCTGTATCCGGACCTGGAGAGAGCTGCCCCTACCTGGAGGAGCGATAGGACGGCTGCGAGACTCCCCCCCACAGCTTTGATTAAAGGCAGTTCTAAAGGAGGAGGTGCCTCATGCCCACCCCTGCTCCCTACATTGAGGGTGGTGTGTGGACGGGAGACCCTCGGATAGACACAAGCCCGTGAGTGCTCCCAAGGTACCTTGCACTGACACTCTAGGACCTGGTGCACAAACCAGCCCCACCCACTTCGTCTACAGCAGAGACAGAAGCAGGCGTCAACAAGGACACGGGGACAAAGGAAATATTCTCATGGGGGCCCTGACCCTGGCCCCTTCCCAGATCACTGTGCCCACCCACAGGAGGCAGGAACTGACCATTCCAAAGACGAGGGCTCCTACATCCTGTTCATGGATGGTGTAGAGCCCAGAAACTTTCCCTCCACACAGGGCTTCGCATCTGCTTCTTGGTGCCTCACACCGAAGAGTAAATGGGTAGCCACAGATCCCCAGTACCACAGGAAACCTTTTAATGCAAAATGGCCAAGGCAAACAGAAAAAGACCTCCAAGAAAATGTATATCAGAGACTTCCACCAAGATGGAGGCATAGGTGGAGAAGCCCTGCTTTCTCTCACAACCAAGTTTAGAGACAACTAAATATTAGCAACAGAAAACACAGCCAGAACACAGAAATTTGAACTTTTCGGAAGTCTGTTAACAACAAATTCTTCAGCCTGACCGGTAAGAGGGGCAAAACCAGCAGCTGGCGGAGTGGGGTTGCACAGGAAAACTCGGTCAGACGGACTCGGGCGCGTGGAACCCAGGCGCAGGGTTGGACCTAGTAAGCGACTCAGTGAGCGACCGCAGGGAAACAGCGAGGGAGCAGAGCTGCGGGTAGACTGTGGTCGGGCTTTCGTGACTGGATAGACAAGCCAGGGAGTGGGCGGTGAGACTACAGGACTGAGCAGGCCCCACAGCGAGCGGCAGCAGAGGGTACCACCATTTCCCCGCTCTGACCCCGCCTCCACATACAGCGACATAACCCAGCGACCTAAGAGTCCAAGGCTCCGCTACTCATACTTAACGGGCGAGAACAGACCAAAAATGGCTCGAGAAGATCTCAAAGCCCCAGAGCCCATAAATCTAAGCGATGAAGAAATAGCAAAACTCTCAGACGCATAGTTTAAAACACTGGTGATCAGGATCCTCACAGAACTGGTTGATTATAGCCACAAATTAGACAAACATATGAAGGCGAAACTAACTGAAATGAATGGAATTGCACAGGAAACCAATAGCGATGAAAAGGAAACTGGGACTCAAATCAATGGAGTGGACCAGAAGAAAGCAAATAATGGCCAAACAGAAAAGGGTAAAGAAGCAAGAATTCAAAAAAAATGAGGAGAGTCTTAGGAACCTCCAGGACATCTTTAAACGCTCCAACATCCGAATTATAGGGGTACCAGAAGGGGGAAAGGCACAGCCACCAGTGGAAAACTTATTTGAACAAATAATAAAGGAGAATTTCCCCAATCTGGCAAAGGAAATGGACTTCCAGGAAATCCAGGAAGCTCAGAGAGTCCCAAAGAAGATGGACCCAAGAAGGAACACACCAAGGCATATCATCATTACATTAGCCAAGATTAAAATGAAGGAGAGAATCCCAGAAGCAGCAAGAGATAAGGGGACAGTCACCTACAAAGGAGTTCCCTTCAGAGTGTCAGCGGATTTCTCAAAAGAGACCTTACAGGCAAGAAGGGGCTGGAAAGAGGTATTCCAAGTCATGAAATCCAAAGACCTACAACCAAGATTGCTCTATCCAGCAAAGCTTTCATTTAGAATGGAAGGACAGATAAAGTGCTTCTCAGATAAGATCAAATTCGAGAAGTTCATCATCACCAAGCCCTTATTAAATGAAATGTTAAAGGGACTTAACTAAGAAAAAGAAGTTAAAAAAACATGAACAGTGAAAGGACAGCAAACTCACAGTTATTAACAACCACACCTAAAACAAAAGCAAACTAAAAGTACAGCTAGATCAGGAGTAGAAACACAGAAATGAAGATCTTTTTTTTTTTTTTTTAAATATTTTATTTATTTACCTTTAGAGGGGAAGGGAAGGAGAGAGGGAGAGAAACTTGTATGGTTGCCTTTTGTGGTCCTCTGTTCAATGAGAAATGAAGATCTTAAGGAGGGTTAGCAATAGGGGAGTGGGAGGAGGAGAAGGGGGGAGAAGGTACAGAAAGTAAGTAGCATAGACAGTAGATAGAAAATAGATGGGGGGGGCAAGAATAGTATGGGAAATATAGAATCTAAAGGACTTGAGACACATGGTCATAAACTAAAGGGGGGGTAATGGTGGGGATGGGGGGGTAGGGTGGAGGGAAATGAAGGGGGGAATAGAACAACTGTAATGGCATAATCAATAAAAAATTAAATTAAAATAAATAAATAAATTATGCTTATTAAAAAAATGTATATCACAGAGGAAATAGGAGGAAAAGCCCTGTAACTGACAGAGGAATAAGATACCACAGCCACAAAATAGGGCTGATGTCACAGAAGAAACAGATGACAAAAACTAACTTAGAAATTAAATATGGGAAACATTTTAAATTCAAAAGAAGAGCTGCAGAAGAAAAGCAAGGTGTTACATAGAGAATTAAAAAAGAACAGAGCCCTGACTGGTGTGGCTCAGCAGTTGGGAGTCACCCTGCAAAACAAAAGGTTGCCAGTTCGATTCCCAATTGGGGCACATGCCTGGGTTGTGGGACAGGTTCCCCAGTTGGGGGCGTGGAAGAAGAAACCAATCAATGTTTCTCTCGCACATCAATATTCCCCTCCCTCCCTTCCCCTCTCTCTAAAAATAAAGTAAATATTTTTTATTTTTTTTAAAAGGGAGAAAGAGAGAAACATCAATGTGTGGTTGCCTCTCACACGCCCCCTACTGGGGACCTGGCCCGCAACCCAGGTATGTGCCCTGATGGGGAATCAAACCAGGGACCCTTTGGTTCGCAGGCCAGCACTCAATCTACTGAGCCACACCAGCCAGGGCAATATAAAATATTTTTTTTTAAAAAGAGAGAGGACAGGAAAGTCAAATCAGAGGAAAGATCTAATATTTTATGAACAGAAGTTCAGCTAGATAAGAAAATGAAAGGCACTATATGGAGAAATAATTCTAGAAATCTTCCTAAAGCTGAGAGGCACCCTTTCCACGAGGTTGAAAACCTCATGCCCAGCACAGGAAACAACAGGAAGCCCTCCGGTGTTGAGGACGAGAACAGGGCAACACGGCGGTGCCAGGCGTCCAGAGCACAGCTTGGGCTGGAGGCAGCGGGGCCACTGAGTTCTCGGAACCTACTTCCAAGCTGGGTGAAACAGTATCAGATATGCGAGGCCTCAAAGAACCCGATCCGATCCTGTGCACCCTTTCCCGGGCAACAATGGGGGATGTCCTCCTCAGAACATGACCAAACAATAAAAAAGAAGAAAACGTGGGATCCAGAAAATTTTAAAAAATCAAATGCAGAGGAAGCATTTGGAATTCCTGCGATGGAGGAAGAGTAGGAGAACTGTGTGGCAGGGCTGGCGCGGGCTGACAGCGTTCCACGTGGGGAACACCAAGAAACTGCACCCTGTTCCGGGGAACTGGGGCCAACACCAAAAGGAACATCCACAGGGACTGGATGGGTCTGACCTTGGAGCAGGAGGAGCCATGGAACATAAGCGCTCGACTACTTACACGGATAATCGGTAAGTGCCCATCGGATTGGACTAATTTCACTAGTCAGCTTGAGAAAGGAGTCTGGTGACCTACCCAGACTTCCCTGGACAAGGACAGAGAGGGAGTAACAAATGTCTCTGGAAATGAGGCACATTTGGTGCTGCACTGGAGCCCAAGCCCCTCCACAAATATGGCAGCCCCCACCCTGGCTCTGCAGCAGAGCCTGGGGCAGGCCCTCCCATGAGAACCCTGCAGCTGCACAAGGGAACTTGTTTCAACTTCATGAAGTGATCAGTAGCTTTCAGGATGAAAACATCACGACAGGAGCCATGCACAGCCCTGGAGCACATGAGGCACATGCCATGTGAGTGTGTGTGTGGGCCTATGTCCCACACTGTTCAGAGTGCTCAGAGTGCACTTGTTCAGGTCATGGGTGTGGAAACCGAGGCTTTGAGGACAGGGCTTTTCTTGCCTGAGGTCATAGAGTGTGTGGCAGAGCTGAGTTTTGGTTCCAGTAGCCTGGGGTGGACAGGCTGCTTCTCTCATGGAGACCCCACACACAGCACACTTCCTGCCTCTCTCAGGCCCCTGGGGACTCCCCAGAGCCCCGCCCCCACAGAACCAGATGTACTCAGGTAGCACAACCCGACAGCTGATGCTTCTGGGCCAAGGCTTCTCATGCGCTGTACAAGAAGCATATTGCTGCAAACAGCATGGGGTTACACTGAATGACTAGTTTCAAAACACTAAAACTCACACAGTATTCTATAAAGAGTCCACAAAACAGGAGAGGGGAGGTAGCCCCCACCTCATCCGTGCGAACACGGTGGCTAACCCTTACTTCACACGTGTTATTTCTTCCTCAGTGCTCTCACTGTCAAGTCAGACTAAGCATTCTGCTGTGAACCCAGAGGTCCCCACTCGTTTCTTGTTTTTGTGGCTAAGCACCTGTGAGGGCCTGCATGCCCCAAGGATGGGTCATGCTGCCACTGCGGGAGACTCTGAAGGCACAAGACCCCACTCCTAAAGCCCCCACTTGCTATCTGAGGCCCTGGGCATTCATGTAAACTCCCTGAGCCTTGGTTTCCTCATATGTTAAATGAGGATGGTACCTGCGTCACACTGATCATAAAAGTGAAAGCAGACGATGTGGGTGAAGTGAGCAAGGCACAGCAACTGTCAAGGTCAAGGAGCCCAAGTCCAGGAATGAAGGCCCATGGTTGGCACTATCTCCTCTGGATGGGCTCTCAGAAGCAGGGACACAAGCCAGAGGCCTGGCACGAGAATCCCAGCATGCGTCCTCTCCCCACGTAGCCTCCGCCAGACCTGGGGTCAGGCCTCCCTCTACCAGGCACTCTGTGTAGGCAGTGTAAGCGCTTGCCTCCTAATTTGGAGCCATACTCAAAAAGTTACCCAGAACTATCCCCTGGCTGTCTCCCGGCTGTAGGATGGAGGGCAGCTCCAGGTAAGACCCGACCTCTCTGCAGTAGCCACGTTCCACTTTGTGAGGTGAAGGGGGCTGTGCTGTGCTCACCTGTGCACCAGCTGGAGATTTTCCTGCCTCAGCCGGCTGTGTTGCTCCCCATTGGCAGCAGTATCCTTCTCCAGCTCTGACACCCGCTTCTCCAAGAAGACAACCTTGGGAGCAAGACAGTGTTCACTCAGCTGGAATTGGGTCTCCCCTGTTTATGGAGACTATCCCCATAAACGACGTGGTGCGGCCCCCACAGACATCAGTGTGAGCAGCGAGGATTCCATGGCCTCAAAACCACAAGTGCAGATGTCAGCAGGGCGTCGGAGAGGCTGAGTGAGCTGACAGCGCCCCTGTGATGACTCTGTGATAGTGCATGGGGGAGCCAGGCTGGGAGCCTCCCGTGGGCAGGGCAGGGGCACCTGCTCTCTGCCAGACCCAGCCCACAGGGGCGGCACATGCTAGGGGACGCGAGGACAGAAAAGCCCCAGGGATTGATCCCTCCCTCTCCAGGGAGCTCACTAAAGAGATGGGAGACAGACATCTACAAAAGTGACAGGAGGAGTGAAGGCCACCAGCCTTGAGAGCCAGAGAAGGCCCTGCAGAGCAGATGCTGGAGGTGCTGTGGAGAGGAAGTGAGGGGAGACAGGAGGAGGTGAGAAGGGGCAGGATGGGGTGAGAGGCACAGGAGGAGGTGAGAGGTGTGTGCTGCCACCCTCCTCTTCCCCTCATTCTGGAGCTGGTTCTTCAGAAGTTTGGGCCCATTACCACCGATGGCTGTCTGGCTTGGCTCCACATAACCCAATTACCAGGCTTCTCTCTTGGAATAGCCCACTCCACACAATGTTTGGTTCTGCCATCACTTCAAGCCGAGTGCCCTCCTCCCCCAAACCTCCAGTGCCCCCTGATCCCGCCACCTCCACGGACCCTGGTAAGCTGAGTCCTGAGTGTCAGGGCACCCAGAACTCAGCACATGACATTTGGGCTGAGAGCCACTGGCGCTCACTGTCCTGTTCCTGTCCTCTTCCATGTACGTGAAATGCTGGAGAATGGCAGGGCTGGAGCAGGACCTAATTAGCGCTTGCGGTGCCATCGCCACCTCCTGCTGTGCTCCATCTGCTCGCCAGGATGTGGCCAGACGTCCCACAGGCACCTCGCCCAACATACCCCCATGTGCCCACGGTGGGCCCACACCCCAAGGCCATGGCACCCGGCATGAGTCCCGAGACTGAGGCCTGTTGTCTACACATGGCCCCCTGGCCCCATCACACAGGGCCTACCTTGTCCGCAATGTCCTCTTCCATGCCCTCCACGGGGTCTGGGGGGGGATCCTGCAGGGCCTCCATGGTCAGGACCCCCGACTGGTGCAAGTGCCTGTGGAGAAGAAACAACAGTCCAGTCCAGAAAAGGTCCTTCAGCAGAGTAGAGAGAGAAAAGAGGGGGGAGTCCAGTAAAAGTTCTTCAGATGTGAGCATTTCCAGGTCAGTCTGAAAAGCAAACCCAGTAGCATGGGGCCTGGACCTCCACCAAGGGAAGTCCGAGCAGGACGCTATTACCAAGGGGCTGGAGCAGACACTCTGCGTCTTCAGAGCCCTCCCGCTGGTCTTTGGAGCCTAACAAGCCCAGCCTCCTTCCCCACCAGCCGATGGGGCGAGGGCACTTTGTACTTAGGTAATAAAACATGATGTCTTTCCTCCCTGTGATATGACATAATCTCATCTTCCACTGTGGGCCTGTGAAATGTTAATTGGGGATCATGACTTTTGTACACAGCATCACCCACATACATGCATCTATATTTGATTTTTCAAATATACTCCCAATGGCAGCAACAGTGAGAGACCAGAGGGGCCACTCTCAGAAGGCTGCAGAGGCGGGACTCTCTTCTGCCACAGCCAACTCCAACCACTTGGCCCCGGTGGACACAGGTCTCCAGCCATGTGGGCCACACTGGGTGGCGTGCAGCCTGGGGTGTGAATGAGCACTAGCCCTGGCTGTCCTGTGAAGGAAGGGGGCTCCAGGGGTGTGGAGCCCCCTTCCTTCACTCCCCAGCCCCTGGTGCCTTAGCAGCCTGGGCTCTCAACGTCCCAGATGTGGGAGGCTGAGAGATGATGATGACTCAGCTGGATTTTTACCTTCCTTAGTTTCACCAGCTATAGCCTGACTAGGGCAAAATATGAAACTAAGACAGAAAACAGTGTTAAAATTATAATAAAATATGGTTTGGGATTAACATTATATTCTTAAGAACATGGATGCTTTTCTGAAAGGGGTGATGTGATGAACCAAGTGGAGAAGGTGGACTGATGACGTTCATCTAAGCTTCCTCTGGACCCTAAGCCCTTAAGATGATAGAAAAAATAAAGACAAAATGTTTATATCCCCAAAGAGGAAATGGCACCAGGAAAGAGATGTCCAGGGCACTAGGCACTAGGGAGCAGAGGCAGGAGGACCTCGGCCAGCCACTGAGACACTGGAAGCTGGCCCATTTCCTCTGGAGAACCCAGGAAGGCCCAGCATCTGAGAATGGGGCGGCAGGGATGAGCACAGAGGCTGGGAGGGGCAGTATCCACCACACCCTTGAAAAGCAGGACTCTCCTAGACCAGGAGGAGCCCTGGACTCAGGACACAGGGCCTACAAATGGAGTGCAGTCTGCAAACTACACAGTGAGCCCAGCATAGCACCCCAAATGCCCACGGTCAGGCAGGACTTTGTACTAGGAAAATTGGCCAGCCTGCCTAGAGAAAAGACCTGCTGATACAGGGGCCTGTCCACACGACATGTTGGCCAGGGGCCGCCTGCTAGCTGTGAGCAGCCCATTCAATATGCAGAGGATTTACCCCTAGTGGTTTAAGAGAGACCTCTAACAAGAAGGACAGAGCCAGAGAAGGGCTCAGGGAAGAGGCGGGAAGAGCTGGTGGTGTGTGCGTCACGGCAGACAGAACCAGAGCAGGGAGGCATGCGGCAGCAAGGATGGAGGCATGAGGGGCCACGAGCAGGAATCCCAGAAGGGGCAGGAGGTGCAACAGAAGATGATGTCAAAAAAACCAGGCAGAACTAAGGGACAGAAGCTTCCAGACTGAAACAGCACGTCTTTCATTCAGCCCAGCATGAATAATGGGAATGGGAACTCACAAGACTCATCATAAAATTTCTTAACTACCAAGATAAAGAAAACATCTTATAAGCTTCCAGAAAGGGAAAATGGTCACAAGGAAAAATCAGAAAGCATCAGACCTCAGTAGCAGCCCTAGTATTAGAAGACAATGAGCAATGCCTCCAAAACTCTGAAGGAAAATTAGTTACAACACAGACTCCTATTCCAAGCCAAATTATAAGAATAAAATATCTAGTAAAGTCCCCAAAATTTGTCTCATGGGCACCTCTTTTTTCAGCAAGCTACAGGACTTGTGCTGGACAAAAAAAATGAAGATGAAAGCCCTGGCTGGTGTAGCTCAGTGGATTGAGCACGGGCCTGTGAAGCAAAGGATCACGGTTCGATTCCCAGTCAGGGTACATGCCTGGGTTTGCCTGGGTTGCAGGCCAGTTCCCAGTGGGGGACTCATGAGAGGCAACCATACACTGATACTTATCTCCCTCTCTCCTTCCCTTCCCCTCCAGAAATAAATAAATAAATAAATAAATAAATAAATCTAAAAACAAACAAACAAAAAACCCCAGGAGCACAGAGTATCAGGGAACAAGAGGGTCCAACACCTGAAACAAAACATCTGGATCACACAGTGTGTGTGTGGGGCGGGGCGGGGGGGACACAGCAGGACCACCGCCATGCAGGATGCCAAGGGCAGAGGCTCTGGGAGGAAATGTCCAGATAGGCACAGGGCTGCCTCTCTGCCCTGTCAGAGGGTGGGGCAGAGGAGGCAAGAGCAGCACAGAAGATGAAGCAAATAAAAACATGAAGACAATCACTGACTCCAGGGGAAACAATGACTTGTCTTAAAAAGGAAATACAGTGACATGTTACATGGCTTCCTATGAAGAACGCTGGCACCTTCTAAACCCTGTGAAAATTATTTTTAGAATCAGCATGTCAGGGGAGAGGATAAATGTATGTGCTGTTACCTTTCACCACGGGACACAGTAAGTGGTATCCAAAACTGAAAACTGAAGAAATGGTCACAAAAGCATGTTCTTTAGAAACCCAGCGTTAGGCCCATCTCCTCCTCTTCTCCTAACCTTAGGGAGCTGGCAGGGGTGGGAAGGGCACAGCGTTTGAAGGAGGCAGACCCAGAGCCAGGCCCCACCAAGCTCTGCCTCTCTGAGATCAGGGCCCTTGTGGACTCTTTCTGCCAGTGGGTTAACCTACAGCAGTCATGCAGGGACAAAGGCCCCCTTGTGGAGAATATTTAATAAAATAGGAGGGATGACAAAAACTCTCAACATCTACTTCCTGGTCACAAATTCAGGTCCTAATCCACAGCTTTGAAAATTCTTTTCACAATCTGTCCCCTAAAATTATTTTGAATCCCAAACCGTGAGAGGCAATTGACAACTTTTGAAAAAGAACTTGTTTTTTTTTAAGAGCTAAGATTAGTGACACATCTCAGAAGAGTATCTCAGTAAACACACAATGGTTTCCTACCTTGCCACCTTCTTGCTGGAGAGCCGCTTCGTCGGACTGTGCAAAATCAAAATGAACAGGAAAATCGTGTTAGAGAACAGACAGGGAGGAAACAGGAAGTTCAGGCTGCAGAGATATGGGGACGGGGGTGCGTCCACAGGCATGCGGCACCCTGCTCGCGAGGCCAACTCCATGCACAGAAAGGCCCGCTCAGCAAAACATTCAGGGACATGGGAACAATCTCAAGGGCTGGTCAAGGCCTCAGCAAGTCACATTATTCCACCCTCTCCAAAGTCATTTCCAGTAAAGCCACAATCAAATCTCCATTCAGAGGATGACCCCAGTGCCTGCACCCACCAGCTGGCTGCACTAGGTCCAAGCCACTGGCCAATGCCATATCCCCACGAGGGTCAAGACTGAACAGTTGACCCCCACACGAAACATGACACAGCCCTTTTGTAACAGCCAAGTGCTGTCATCACTTTTAACTTAGGCACTAACACTTTACACTCTAAAGTCCTACCTGGGCAGCTTCCCCAGTGCCAGCACCCAGCAGCACCAGTACCCAGCAGCTTCCCCTGACATACCCTCCGGCAGTTTTGTAGCAAAGTACCTCTGATGAGACCCCTCCCAGTGAATAGCTTTCCTGGCAGCCAGAGAGCAGACTTCTAGCAAGTTCTAGAAGGTTGATTCCCAGCAAGTCATGTCTCTAACCCTCCCAACCCCTGTGAGGCACCACAGTGACATGTCTGCCACCCAGCTTGCCATGGCCACAGCCTCTGAAGCAGGGTCGATCCCAGCCCTGGATGGGCTGGCTGCTCCCTATAGAGTCTTTTCCTCCCTCTTCCGGGTTCTCTCCACTCTTACTAGCTGATCCTGTTATAGTTAGTCACTCTTTTAATTACACTTACCCTGTTCAAATCACCCTGTGGCTCCCTCTCCTGACTGGTGACACAAATCTAATATTTCATCCTAATACTGAGACCCCTCTGAAATGAATAAGCTATGACAGATGCACTACTCAGTCCCCCTAACAGGCCTCCCCCTAACAGGGAGTGGGCAGCCGGCTGGTGACAGGGTTTAGAACGTGAAAATGCACCTCTGGGTGAAGCAGACTTCTACACAATGTTCTATAAAATGAATTGCTTTTACAGAGGCTCCCAGGTAACCTGAGAACTATGCTAGCTATCAGCATCTTCTAAGGCTCACTGACTAGGAATTATATCCAATGTCAAAGCTTCAAGATACAGTTTGGATTAAATCACGTTTTATCTTCCACAAATCATGACAAAATATATTTAATCTGAGGCAAGTCCACAGAAACCAACAGGCAAGATTCAGACCTCTTCAACTGAGTGTTTAGGGGGGGGATTTCAAATCCTGACTGACAGTTGTGTCCTTACTACAATAATGATTTTAATGGTATGTTAACCAGCCTCGGTAGAGTCTTTCGTAGGGCACTGGAGGTAAGACCCCACTGGACTTGCTGGCTGTACTTAGTTAGCCATGTCCCTGTCTGTTTTCTGTCCCACAAAGCCTAACAGAAGTGACCACTGCCATCTTGGGACAGATTCTCCACATGGGAAAAAAATCATGTCTATGTCAAAAATCTTCAGAGAATGAGAGATGCAAACCTGTACTGGAACCCACTTAGCAGGAAGGCAAGTCTTCACATGGAAAGGATAAACGACCCCTCACCAAAGTACGCAAGAAAACATACACAAGAGGTGAAACTGGTTTTCCCTAAAACAGGCCCGCAGATCTCTGTCTCTCTGGCAGGCCGCCCCGTCAAAACCCACTTCCAGTTTCTCATCACTGCTGCTAGGACCCCACCACCAGGCTTCCCTCTGAAGCTGCTGACGGGCCACAGATGTTGGGGTCTCGTCGTATCCTCTTCATCTAACTGGGCATTTGCTGGACTATCGCCTGTGTTGTGAGTGTTGCACAGAACATAAGAAAAAGGATCAAAGACATTATTAAATGCACTGGAATTGGAACTAGAAGCAGAACAACAGGTACAGCAGGACCAAGGTCATGAGGACCCAACAGGCAGACTGAGCTGGCCTTGGCTGAGGCTCTTAAAGGGACAGGCTCCTCAAGATACTCAGTGACCTCTGATTGGTGAGGCTCAGTGGGTGGGGCATCGTCCTGCAAACTGAAAGGTTGCTGGTTCGATTCCTGGTTAGGGCACATGCCTCGGTTGCAGGTTTGGTCCCTGGTTGGGGGCATGGCATACAAGAGATGACTGATAGATGTTTCTCTCGCATATCAATGTTTCTCTCCCTCCCTTCCCCTCTCTAAAACTAAATTTTAAAAATCTTTAAAAAAAAGATTCATAAGTGGTTTTTTAGAAGACTACTCTAAACCTACTGAAGTCATCAAGATAGCTCCCATTTCTACCACCTTTCATGTAACCTCCCACCAATCTGAGACCCCTTCTTCCAGGAAGCCTCCCTGGACTGTTGCATGGTAGTGCACAGCACTGACTGGCACTAGCATGTACCAAGCGGTTCGCCTAGGGGCTTGCCCACGTGATCAGCTAAATCAACAGTATGCTTAATGGGCACGTCAATATATGAAAACTACCAAAAAGATGTTTTCTACAGCTGGAGCTCGTGAAGCTGGCTCCTCAGCTAACAAAAGGAACTACCCCTCCTGGAACTCTGACTTGAGCTGAGACTGGGGAATGGAGGTGGAGAGGAAAGCACGTGCTCTAACACAAACTGGACCCAGGAGATGGAGGACACAGAACAGCTGCTGAGTGCAGAGAGCAGCAGGACATGCTGGGACCCTGGTGGCCTGTTTCAAAAACAGGGTAACAAAACTGGATTCTTCTTTTAATGAAGTCTGAGGCAGCCTTACAAAAGCAAGTTCAGAGGAGGGGCTCGCCTAAAGAATGCGCACCTGATTTAAACCAACATTCCTGAAAGCTGCTGCAAGGAGCTTTCTTGCTAAGGACCAAATCTTGCTTTAAATTCCCGTGCTGTTTCATATGACTCCCAATTAAAGAAATATTTCAGTAAAATTTAAAAAGTATCTCTTTGTCAGCAAAGAGTTTCACATGGCTAGATTTCCTCAAAAGCAGGATACATAGTGTCTAAAGGTCGTCAGCAGGGAGAGAAGCAGCCAATTAAACTGTGGCATGCACTTAGGAGCAAGTAGGGCGAAGGGCGCCAAACACAGGCTCAATGCATGCAGGGCGGGTGGGGCGGGGCCAGGGAAGAGTCCTGCATCTGCACGCTCACCTTCAAACCACAATTCAGGCCCAGCTTCCAGAGGGAGCACCCCCAGAGTTGGCTAGACCGAGTGAGTGGCACCTGGGATAAGAACAGCCAGGGGCAGCTGTGGACAAGAGTCCCCCTCACCCTTGAACACAGACCAAGGCCAGGCACTACATCAGTTACCTATTCTTTTCAAGATCATTCAGGCGAGCAGAAAGATCCTCTAGGCGGTTGATTTGTTTATGGCACTGGCTACAGTAAAACTCAAAGGCCTCATCAGTGAGGATGCTGTGCAGCTTTGCGGCAAGCGGGTCGGTGCTAGAGAGACAAGAAGTGTCAGTTCAGGAAACAGCAAGGACTGGTCATGTTACCTGTGACTCTACACAGGGTAGAGTTAGCCAGGCAACAGTGTGTTGTTAGGTAACTGACCGGAGAAGAGTCTCACTCTTACTTTCAGACTGCTGTGAACCCACCTCCCTCAACATCGCCCATGACCCATGACGTGCACCACCAGCTCGGGCCACAGGGGGCTCAGCCACACACCTGCTCCTGGTCAGGTGCTCAGAGGAATTGACTACCAGCTCAAAGGGTAGTCCATCAGCTACCCTTAGCAAGAAGTGTGTGCCTTAATACACTGCTTCCTCCTTTGTCAAAACCTCATCAATGTGAGAGCAAAGTGTGTCTTCATGTGCAGTGTTACTCACCATGCTGTAACTGCTTTAATGATGGCTCTAAGAACATCAATGTCAAAGACTACATGCGAATTATAAAATACCAATAATTCTGTGTCTTTTAAAGACCTTTGTTAAAAAGTCGGAATACTAGCCCTGGCCAGGTAGTTCAGTTGGCTGGAGCATCATCCCGTACGCTAAAAGGCTGTGGGTTCAATTCCCAGTCAGGGCACACAGCTTAGGCTGTGGGTTCAACCCTTGGTTGAAGCGTTTACAGGAGGTAATCGACTGATGTTTCTCTCTCACATCAATGTTTCTCTTTCTCTCCCTTTCTGTCTAAAATCAATAAAAATATCCTTGGATGAGAGAATTTAAGAAAAAATATTCTATTTAGCCTCCCTGGGCTTTCAGGGCACTGGTGAGACACCTGCCAGAAGGCAGCAACGTCCCTGGGGCATGAAGACCCACAGGCTTTGATAAGCCAATTTGGAAATTCAATTTGAAGAAAGGTTAAAGGAAATCATCGATTGTAGCATAGAAGTCGAACTTGAGACAGAAAACGGTGAAACAGGGAACAAAAACAGGAACAAACAAATAGGAAGAGATTACCAAAACAGGTCAGAAACACACACTTGGCAACGCCAAGTCCTTTGGCCTTGATTTCAGGGCGACCATGAGAGTGGGTATGGGAAGAGGACAGCCATTGAAAATAAGCCGCTTCACTCACTCTCACTCCCAGAGACGCCTGTGGAGGGCTCCTCACCCCTCCCTGGTGGGCAGCTTAGGGGGTGGCACATGGAGAAAGCAAGGGGGACCCTGTCGGGCAGACCCTTCAGGCACTGGCCCCCACCCAGGTTCCCTAGGCCTGGGTAACAGTCTGGGCAAAGGAAGAATCTTATAGTTGCCGATTTCAAGATATTTGGCTGTTGTCTGCAAAGATGGAGAATTTCAAGAATTGAAGTGCAAAGGAAAGAGGTGACTGTTCAGCCAGGCAAGGATCCCACCTGAAGAGAGCCGTGTTCTCTGATGGCCACCAGTGAAAGGCTGCCAGGCCCACAGGATAAAAAGTGCCAGTTTGCTCCCAGCGCCTCCTGTGACAGCTGGGAGCAACCAGCTCTGTAAGTGAGAATCTCGGCCTTTGGGTATCACAGTGGAAACCCAGAACTTCCCAGACAGTATGGGGATGTCAGATCATTATAAGGAAATGAATCCAAAGAACTGTTTGTGATGGTAAAGGCTCCCTCAGAGGCCAAACAGCACAGATTTCCAGCTACAGAAATAAGGTCCGAGAGTTTAATGCACAGCGCGGTGACTGTAGCTAACAGCGCCATGACTGGAATGTCTGCACACGCATGCATACCTGGCTTCTCTCAAAGCCAGCCAGCAACCACAATGAGGTTACAACTAGTGGCTCAGGGACTCACAAAGCCGAGTAGCCTGGCATAGGCTCTGTGCCATGTGGTTTAGCTGAGGCCTCATAAATGTGGAGCGATCTGGGAATACAACTGAACAGGAGAAACTTTAGCTAACATTCACCAAGGCATGAATCTTGAGATTTGGCTGTATGTTAGTTATACCACAGTGAATAAAAGAAGTTCCCTCTTAACAATTTATGAACCAAAGGGGAAACTTCCCCACAACTAAATATGGGGAGACAGACGCAGGAGGAAGGCACGTACACCAGTGCAGGGCTGCATTACCTGGGGGTGAGAAAGGCAGCATCTCCGCAGCCGGGGTCCTCGCTGCAGAGAGTCTCTGGGGACAGTTCCGCCTCACTGCCCTCACCATAGTCCTCGAAATGCTCCTCGCCACCTATCACCATGACGACGGACTGGCTGTGCAGGTGGGATCTGAAAAGACAAAACAGGAAAGACACATTCTGACTCAGGGCTATGAGCAACCCCCGAATTGAGGATGTGACTTGCACTTTCCAGCAAAAATGCTACAAGTCACACGTGTAAGTTCAATGTTCTGGTAGGCACCTCAGGGAGCCAAGATGACATCTGGACAGTGGAGGGAAGGGGAATCTTTTCAAAATGAGACTGAAATAATTGGATATCAACATGGGGAAAATTATCCCTACCTCACACCATACACACAAGAGACATAACAGTCCTGGCTGGTATGGCTCAATAAACTGAGTGCTGCCCTGCCAACCAAAAGGCTGCTGGTTCGATTCCCCATCAGGGCGCATGCCTGGTTTGTGGGCCAAGCCCCCAGCTGGGAACATGTGAGAGGCAACAGGCAACTGACAGATGTTTTTCCCTCTCTTTCTCCCTCCCTTCCCTTCTAAAAATAAATAAATAAAATCTTAAAAAAAAAAGAGCTAACAGATCTGAATATGAAGGCAAAACAGCAGGCTTTTATTTATTTATTTAAAAGATTTTATTTATTCATTTTTAGAGCGTGGGGAAGGGAGGGAGAGAGATATCAAAATGTGAGGGATACACTGATTGGTTGCCTCTTGCGTGCTCCCAGCTGGGGACCTGAGCCACAACCCAGGCATGTGCCCTGAGAATCAAACCAGTGACCCTTTCGATTTTCGGGCCAGCACTCAGTCCAAGGAGCCACACCAGCCAGGGCCAACCAATAGGCTTTTAACGGAAAGCCTAAGTAAACATTACAGTGATGTGGAGGTAAGCAGAGATTTCTCAAGCAGTGAAGAAGCGCTAACCACAAAAGGAAAACAGATTAAACTGGACTAGACAACAGAACTAAAAATGTCTGTTCCACAAAGGCGCCACCAGGAAACTGAACACACAACCCACAGACTAGAGAAAAGGTATCTGTAATCCACATACAGAATAAAGGACTCATATCTAAAATAGTTAAAGAAATCCTACAAATTAGCAAGAAAAAGATAGATTGCAGGACCAACAGACCCCTAGAGGCCAAATCCTACCCACTTATGTGCCACTTTGCACTTCAACAGCAGAGCTGAACAGCAACCATGAAGACCATACGGTCTGCAAGCCAAAAAATGTTTTATTATCTGGCCTTTCACAGAAAATGTTTATGGACCCCAACAATTAACAAATGAGTAAGAGACATGAACAGCAACTTCACAAAAGGGGATCTCCAAATGGGCAAAAAGGCAAGAAAAGATACAAAAGGTGCTCATCCTCAGGAGTCACCTGGGAAAAGGCAGTGAGAAGTATCCTACACTAACATTCTACTTCATGCCCTCCAGAGAACATGAAAAAAAGCAGACAATGCCAGGTGCTGCCAAGACAGAGAGTAACCAGCCCTGGCTGGTGTGGCTCAGTGGATTGAGTGCTGGCCTGAGAAGCAAAGGGTCCCTGGTTCAGTTCCCAGTCAGGACACATGCCTCAGTTTTGGGCCTGGTCCCCAGTAGGTGGTGCATAAGAGGCAACCACACACTTGACGTTTCTCTCCCTCTCTCTTGCTCTCCCTTCCCCTCTCTCTAAAAATAAATAAATAAAATCTTTTAAAAAATGACAGGGAGCAACCAGAACCCACAGCACTGGCAGACGTGTAACTACCACTGTAAGTCCTGATCATAACTGTCTGAGCGGCAATAAGCAAAGTAACTTCTAAAGCCGAACATGTGTATTCCAGATGTACCAGTAAAACACATGTAATGTTGATAGTTTTTTTCATAAAACCCAAACTGTTAACTACCCAAGTGCATATCAACAGTAAATTAAAAGGCTGCAGCCCTGGCTGGAGTGGCTCAGTGGATTGAGCGCCAGCCTGCAAACCAAAGGGTCACTGGTTCGATTTCCTGTCAGGGCACATGCCTGGGTTGCACCCCCATAGGGGGCACAAGAGAGACAACCACACATTAATGTTTCTTTCCCTCTTTCTCCCTGCCTTCCCCTATCTCTAAAAAAAAAAGCTGCAGCATGTTTATACAATGGAATGCTCTAATAATGAAAGGAAATGAATGCCAACTGTGCACAAAAATGTGGGTAAATCACATAGCCACAATATTAAATGAAAGAAGCCAGGTGTAAAAGGATACTTCAGTGTAATTATACATTATGTAGGGTGCAAAACCAGGGAAAGCAATGCTGCCATTACAAAGCTAGGGAGCCTAGGAGGGAGTAACAGGGGGCCCCAGGTGTGAGCATGTCTGTGCACCTTTGACAGGTGCGCTCACATGTCATTATGTAATACTTCAATTAAAGAGAAAAAATGAAAGAGTCTGTGAGGACCACACAAGAAATTAAATGAAATAAAATAAGCAAAATAGAATACAAAAACCAACGACTTCCAAGGTTGCTAAGCACAGTGGCTTCCATGGTAGCACAGGGCAAAAGCTATCATTCAGGTCCACATGAGCCACCAGCACCTCTCCTACCAGTCCCTGTTCTTTCACTGGTCCTCAAATGCATGGGGTCACCTCAGGTAGTAGGGGGAGAAAGGAGGTCTGATTAGGAAGGCCACAAAGATGAGGTTCTAAGATCCTGACAGAAGACATTTACTGAATATCGCATCTTGCCTGGTTTGTAAGAGCTATAATGACAAAATCCAAAAGACCAAGTTATTCTCCTAGAATTCCTGTCTCTGTAGTCAAAGTAGTTGTGCAGTGTTCATGAGTGCTGTCATCCACTGTCAGCAAGAGGGGCACTTCCTGACAGGGAAGGCAGCTGTGACCAGGATATTGCATAGGTCATCTCGCAGGGTCTACACTCTCTCGCATGTCCTGTGAGGATTCTAAGCCACTCTGACACAAACTCCTCCATGAACTCACCCTCCCATGGTACCTTATGCACAATACCAAGGCCTTGCTGGGGAGGATTACAGACCTGCCTGGGAACAGCAGCAGAGCACCATGGCCAGGCTCCTCCATGGCATCCAGGCATTCGGAGGGCATGACCGAGCCACCCGCACTGTCCATGTCTCCTTCGGGCTGCAGCTCAGGATGCACCAGGGTGCTTGTGTCCTCGTCGGTGAAGGTCTCGCACTCGCTGTAGGTGCTCTCGGAGCCCATGTACGCACTGTCTGTTACCTCATTGGCCTAGAAGAGAGTGCCAAGAAGTCAGTCCTGGCACCCTGGAAATAATGACGCCCACATGTGGTATTTGGTGCAATAAGGCCCAGTGTGCCACACAGCACAAGGCCGCTGTGGGAACAGAAATGAATGCGTGGAGGGGGAGCTCTCACATGGGAGAAGTCCCTACTGTATTTCTAAGCAGAAACATTAGCTCATAACACAATTAAATATGTTTTTAAATGAAAAAAAAATAGGGCCCTGGCCAGTGTGGCTTGGTTGACTGGAGCATCGTCCTACAGGGTGAAATGTCATGGGTTCAATTCCTAGTCAGGGCAGATGCCTGGCATGCGTGTTCCATCTCTCTCACACCGATGTTCCTTTCCCTTTCTCTCTCCCTCCCTTCCCCTCTTTCTAAAATCAATAAGCAAGTCCTTGGGTGAGGATAAAAAAAAAGAAAAACAGGCATATGTCCAAGTATGCAAGTCTACTGGAGTAATTTTTAAAGATGGTTATATAAATATACTTAGAAGTGATACAAAGCATCCCAACACATGATAAATCCCAGGAGAACTACCCATTTTGTGGCTTCTAGCAATACTACGATTTATATCCACAAGCTGGATGGTGTGGCTCTGTGGGCTGAGTGCTGGCCTGTGAACCAAAAGGTCACCAGATTGATTCCCGGTCAGGGCACACGCCTGGGTTGCAGGCCAGGTCTGTGCAAGGGGCGACTGACTGATGTTTGTCTTGCACATTGATGGTTCTCTGTCTCTTTCTTCCTCTCTCTAAAGTAAATACATAAATTCTTTAAAAAAGAGATTCTAGAATTATTTATATCCAAAGAATTAGCATTCAAAAATGTAAAAATATGCCTTTTTAATTTAACAAGTTACTATGAATACCAGTTCTGTATGTTCAGGGTATTGCTTTGAAATTCAATTACACGGTCTAACTTCAAAATACTAATTAATTATTTAATCAATTTATATTTATGCTCATTGGTTAAATGTCTACTTTCCCACTAAACATACCTTTATTTTTACCCATATGGACTCAGCACCTCAGCACAGGGCCGGCACACAGCAGGCAGGAAGTATTTGTGGATTGTACAAATGAAATTAAAATTAAAGAACCATTAAGCAGGCCACTTTTAATTTATAATCTCAATTTTAATTAAAAAGTAATTTCATTGGTTAAGAAACATAGCCAACATGTCACGCTTGCAAGATTCTGAGTTTAACAATTTGCAAACAGGTTAAAATTTCAGAAAGTAGCTGGAGAAACGTGTACTTTGTACTTGGGTTCAGGTATCACAGTGGTGAACAGTCTGCTCAGATATGATGTGGTAACAAAAAGTCGAAGTCCTGCCCTGGCTGATGTGGTGGCTGATGTGGCTCAGTGGACTGAGTGCCAGCCTGAGAACCAAGGGGTCACCAGTTCAATTCCCAGTCAGGGCACATGCCTGGGTTGTCAGCCAGGTCCCCAGTGAGGGGGCACATGAGAGGCAACCACACCCTGATGTTTCTCTCCCTCTCTTTCTCCCTCCCTTCTCCTCTCTCTAAAAAATAAATAAAATCTTAAAAAAAAAGTTGAAGTCCTTGGCTACCTTTGGAGGTGGCTAGAAGGTCTCATACAGCTGTGCCCCTGGGGCTTCCTGTCCTGGAGAAGAAAGGCGTAGGGCACTGGTCGAGCCAGAGGGGGCCTGGCGATGCTCATGAGAGGCTCAGGAGAGGCTCAGGTGCCCCTCAGCCTGCTGTCTACTGGCCATGGGACTCCAGACTGGGGTCTCAACAACTCTAACCCCTGTTGTGTCATCTGTAAAAGGTGGGGCTGCAAATGCTCATCTCACACGGTTGCGATCTATCAAGAGAGACCCCAAAGGCGGGTCCAGAAACAGAAAGTAAAAGGCTGTGAGGTTCATGTGTCACTGGTGGGTAGAATCCCTGCAGGCTGCTTGTAGGGCCAGGATAAAATAGGGAAGGACATGAGATGTACCTACTTAGGTGTTCAATGACATTACTCGTCTTTTTAATGGAAAACCCAATCTTCCTTGGAATCTAAGGCAACTAAGTTCACCTCAAAATCTGAAACCAGGAAATCACTTCCAGAGGTATGAGAAGTGCCAGTGCTAGGCAGAGACGAGCTACCTGGGCCAGGCAGGAAGTACCAGTACATCAGGAGGTGGCTCAAAGGGGAAGCCCAACCAAACAGGCACAAAATCCACGGTCCATTCCTGACATACTCTGAGGTGCAGCTGCTGACTGGTGACCCAGGTGGCACTGCTGGCTCACATGGGATGCTACCTAAGAACCACCCAAGGGCACCAGGAAGACCCCCACCCCAGACTTCCAACACTAAATGACAACGACTAGTCAGCTATTCAATACTCAGCTGAAAACTCTTCCAAGAGCACTGCTCCTTACCTGTAGGACAATCCCATGGACCTCCCCCACCTCTCCCTCAGTCCTCAGGCCCAGGAAGCAGGCAGGGCCCACATACCATAATCCTCACCACACATGACCATCGTGGGCCCCCCAGACATGACTGGGGACCCTCATAATTGGTTTTCTGTGGCGAACAAAACTTGACTCTTGAGTTCAGCTTTTAGAAAGTCAACCAGCCCTGACCAGAACGGCTCAGTTGGTTGGCCATCGTCCCGCAAAGTAAAAGGTTGCAGGCTCCATTCCCAGTCAGGGCACATGCAGGTTCCGACTCCTGTTGGGGTATGTATAAGAGGCAACCTATTGATGTTTTTCTCCTTCCCGTCCCCTCTCTTAAAAAAAATAATAAAATCTTTAAAATAAAAAAAAAAAAAAGCCAACCAACCAGCACTTCTAACAGATGCACGATGCTCCTCTCTGAACAGCATGGACCCCATGCCCTCGATGACAGCTCAGCATCTATAAGAGCAAATCAACTCAGCACCGAGCCAGCATTTGTCCCCCGTGAAGGGAGGAAGGTCCAGGCACTTGGGCCTGTTCATTTCACCTGCAAAAAACTGCCATCGATCATGCAGCTGAGGCCGGGGCTGGAGCTGAAACCCTCATGGAGCTTGGCCAGGACCGTTCAGGATGGAAGCAGTTCTCCGTTGACACAGGGAAAATAAGGCAGAAGCTTTACAAACCCGAATGCTCAAGTCAGGCACTCACTCACTCCATTCTGGGCATCTCTCCACCCTTTAAACAGATAGAGAGGGGAGACCACTCCTCCACTTTTACCTTCCTTTCTAAAGCAAACCTGTTCCCCCACACCAAATGAGGGTCTTACACAGATGAAAACTGTTCCCCACTTCACAAAAGGCTTTATGTTTGCACTTAGACTTTAATGTGCCCCAAATTATAAATAAGTGGGGTCATAGAAGTCCTGACCCCAAAGCACAGCTATAAACACTCAGACACCCCGGTGGGGGCACTGGTAAACAGCCTCTTATCTGGAGCTTCCTATGAAGACTGAGGGCACAGAGAGTGGCCCAAAGGGAACAAGAGACTGAGGGGCACCTAGGACAAAACCCAGGGAGGGCCAAGTGACCAGGAGGAAAGGGAGAGATCATTTCCCAAGTGCTGCCCAACCTGTGCAGCTCCTGAGGGCCAGTTTCTATTGGTGAAGGCTGCCCTGAATAAATGTCAGCCAGCAGGTAGTTCTCCAGGTCAGCTGGGTAAACACCTGTTTTTGAAGAGAGGCAGAAAGTTATTGTAGACCATGGTGCATGCTCACCCACAGTCTACTAGACACAGCATAAGAGCAGCGCACACACAGGCCCCATTTGTTCATACTAGGCACCCGACAGGACCTAGTTTTGCCCGAAAGCCCCAAAGTCTATGCCACCAACTATAAAAATGTTTACAAGTTACACGCGTTAAGATGAACTTACATGGAAATCTAAGTGCATCTCAGAAAACTTCAAGTTAATGTTACCTTTGCCAATTAACAAACAATCTGCCAACAGACGGACAAGGAAGGCCGTGTACAGAGCCACCAGTGAGGAACAGGCGTGGCCAGCCCTGCCTAGGGCCCCCTCTCTACAGGCTGCCGTCCCTCAGAGGGAAACTGACTGCTGGGCACAGTGTGAGCCTGTGTCCCAGCACAACACAGCCTCCTCTTACCCTCAGACTCTCACCCAGGCAGCTCTGCAGGCTGAGCCTCTGGCTCCATACACAAGCGCTAGCCAGGGCACGCTCCTGGAGATGGCCTCCCATCATACTGGATGTTCTAGGGCTTTCCATCCAGATTCTCAACTGACAAGTTGTGCTGGGGTTTCTGCCAAACCTGTGTGTTCACCTGAAGGTACATCACTGCCAGGAAAAAAGTTTAACCTGCTCCCAGACATGCTCTGTTAAACCTCCTAGCCTGGCGGCGGAGGGGTGGAGGACATGGGGGTGGGGGCGAAGTTCAAGAAGTATTCTTGCTGGCTTTTTAACAAACATATCTCAAAACAAAATGGCTTTTGTTCTTGACTCTCCAACCTTTCTGATAACAGTCTGCATAAAAGACACATTTTCCTGGTATTTTATTAAGGCAGCTCTTTTCTCTGGATGCTGGTAGTAGGAGAAGAAGGGAGGCACAAGGAGGCACAGAGCAGGGACAATTCTTACCAGTTCTGTTTGTACCCGCCCCATGACTTTTCCACCTCCTTCCAGAAACCCTGATACACGAGATCACCCCTGCAGTCCTCTAGCTCTCCATCCTCTACCTCACTCAGATTCTCAGACCAGGAGTTTTCTTCTCATTCTCTCAACATCAGTGAAAAACCTTAAGTTACCTCCTCACCTCTTCCCCTTCTAGACACACTACATCAGTGACTTTCTCCTGGGAGTTCTGTTACAGGCAACAAGCCAAAGGGATGCTCAGGGAAATGCTGGAGCTCCAGGACCCACTGAGCAGCCCCGGCAGGAAAAGACCAGAAGCAGCAGCCCGCTAGCAGTCCCCTGCACCAGGCCCCCTGACCAACACTGCTGCGTGTCCAGCCTCAAAAATCAGTAAAAGGCTTATTTATCTCTGAAGATCTTCAGCAGAGGGTCTCCAAACGTAGTGTTTGGACATAACACACATATTCTCTACTCATATTTTTATTGGACTTTTAATCAGTATACAGTGTACTGGCTTTTTTTTTTTTTAAAAGAGCAATCTTTCTGTAAGTTTCACAGTACCTAGTTTCAACTCCCCCCAAAATTACATCTAAAAACCTTAAAAAGCAGAAAAACACATGGAGAAATCTTAAATGCATATTACTAAGCCAAAGAAGCCAGTCAGCAAAGGCTATACACTCTGTGATTCCGATAATCTGGAAAAGGCAAAACTATGGGGACAGTGAAAGATCAGTGGTTGTGGGGATGAATCATGGGTCACAGCGCACTGTTAGGCAGTGGCACGACTCCATACGACACCATAATGGTGGGAACTGACATGGTACATTTCCCTAAAACCACAGACTGCACCCCACACCAAGAGTGAGCCCTCATGTAAACTGTGCACACCAGTTAATAATAATCCATCAATACTGGTTCATCGGCTGTAACAAATGTACCACATTAAGGCAAGACGTTCATGATGGGGAAAACCGTCAGTGTGGGGGGTGTGTACTGGCGACTCTCTTTCCTGCCTGCTCCATTTTCTGTAAACTTAAAACTGCTGGAGTATAAATAGTATTAATTTTTTTAAGTAACAAAGAAACTTAGAAAAAGCATTTCCTCCATTCTAAAAAATTAGGATCTAAAAGCCTGAAAAGCATTCCTTCGGCATCCTCTGAAACGTCAGGCCCCCACCATGCCTTCCCAAGGCAGGAGGCAGGGGCTGGCACAACCTCAGGGCCAGGACCACAGAGGTGGGAGGGCCAGTCAGTGGGCTAAGAGGGATCCACCCACTTAGAGGACAGAATGGGGCCATGGTCACACAGCACCCTGCCTGCTCTACCCAGGTATCAGGAGAGGCAGCCCCCCTACAGTGGCTCACTCTCAGACCAAATGGGAACTTTTGAGTACAAAATGTGTTGATGCCTTTTACTATCCTGAACAGTTTCCTGTGTCTGCTATATCGAAGTACCATAAACTGGGCAGCTTAAAACAATAAGGATGTATTCTTTCAGTTCTGAAGGCCAAAAGCCCGAAATCAAAGTGTCAGCAGGACTGAATTCTTCCTTCCTGTCCCTTCCAGTATCTGCAGGCTCCTGATGTCCCTGGGCTTGTTGCTGCATCACTCCAGCCTCTGCCTTGGTCTCCATATCGCCTCGTGTGTCCCCTCCCTTTCTCTTCTAAGGACACTCCACTCAGCATGATCTATCTGATCTTGAGATCCTTAACTTCATTATATTTGAAAAGACCCCTTCTCCAAATAGAGTCATGTTCATAGGTTCTTTTGGGGGACCACCATTCAACCCATTATACCCACCTACACATAAAATATTTTAAAAAATCGATGTAATGCCCTAGTAGAAATATGAGGGGAATAAAACAAAGGACACTGATGATTGATTAAGTGTGTGCACTGGGAGACATGGATGCTGCAGTACTAATGGGAAGGTAATTCTGCAGATGCTCCAAACAAAAAAGGAAGGCTCTCCTGACCTAGCTGCATTCCTGGAAAATTCCAAGATGCATCAAACCACAGAGTTTTCCTACTCAGGCCACGTAAGCAGCCTCTTCACAGTTACGGGAGTGAGCTGTTCATCTGAAAGCTGACATGTCAGAGTCACGCACACTCGAGGTCCCCCACCTGGCCAAACTATGCCTTGCAGTCAGTACAAGTCAGCCTCCACAAGTCAGGTCGGAGCCTGGCCCCGCCCAGTCACACCCAGAACACAGGAGACAAAAGGCGATTGGCTCCTGCCTTTGTGGGGGAGTGGTGCGTAGGCCCAGCTGGTTTTTTGGGACAAATGTGTGAAGAGCAAACATGCCCAGGTGGTCTGGGGGGTCCTGTGCTGCCAGAGATGATAGTCAGGAAGTGAGCCTGCATTATCTGGGGTCACACCAATACCTGGGGCAGCTTCTCAGAGAAGGGACACAGGCACAGAAGGAAAGCAGTGGATCCTATGGTGAGTTAATACGCAGAGGGACTTTCAGAAACTATTCTGTGCAACCCTCTCATTTTACAAAGGAGCTGAGGCTCAGAAGTCTGCCATGCAGGGTCCCAGCCCACTGGGTCCCAGCCTAACCCTGCTCCTCTCACTGGGCAACAGAGCGCTGAGGGGCTGGAGGTAGCTACCAGGGCCTTCCCCAACAGCTCTTCAAGGACTCAGTAATTTCTCATATATTTTAAAAGAATAATTCCAGATCCAGCCACCTCGGCTCTCCTGGCATCTACCGCCTTGCAACTAGTGGAACACAAAGCAGTAATCTGTCTTCTGTGGCTGTGTTCACAGACCTTCCCGGAGCCTTGACAGAGGAAGAAACGCCCAACATTACTGGCAACACCATGTAACCACTGCAGCCCTGACTTTTTCTGGGGGCAGGGAGGGGTGCGGTAGAGCAAGGCATTAGTCAAAGGTCCCTAGCAGACCTAGAAAATGGTTTGGAATTTGATAAAATTAAAATCTCATGATGAGTCCCCTGCTCTATCTAGCCTTGCTTGGCAGCCTGAGAGAAGGTGACAGCATCACCAGAGACACCTAACTGCTCAGCTTGTTACTCTACTAACAACAGGCCCAGGGGCATCTCCTGCTAAGGGTCTCCGGTGTATAATATTCACAGTGGACAGCCACCGACTGTGTGCTGTAGCCACAAGCCCCCAGTGCCCACCAACCACAGCACCCCCCACAGTGTACACAGGGCTGCAAAGTGAGCCCTGCCCTGCCCTTCCAGCCCAGGGAACCACGAAGCGAAGTGGGACTTCAGAGTGCACAGAGGAGGAGGTGTAACGTCAAATTCCCTCTGAGCTCTCTCATGAAAATCACTTGCCTCAAAAGTAACGAAGTCCTCGAACTCATCAGGGCAGGCCTGTGGCCCCTCGTCCTGGGCAGGTACAATGCTGCACAGCTGGCCATCAGAATCTGCGGGAGAGAAGACCCAGACTCAGCAGGTGACCCAGACCATCTACGGAGGTCAAGGGGGAAACTACATGAATGATCAATGGAGCCTGGAACGGCTGTGAGGGAGGCAGGGGGCAGTGAGGTCAGCACAGGAAAGCAGGTCTCCCACCGAAGCAACACTTCGTGCCAGAGTTCCCAGGCGGTGGTGTAGAGGCCTAACGGTAACTATTTCTTCAAACAGATGGACAGCACTGTAAACGAGAAGGAGCACAACCAGCTCTGTGACATTGCTTGTGGCTTTAAAAAGTATCAGAGGCCAAACTTGACTTTTTGAAAAACTGCACAGGTTAGGGAGGCGTGGGTATGACGAAACAGTACCAAAATAACAATGCCTTGTCCTCAGTGCTGGACTCGCGGGCAGTTTTTATTTTCTTCCTTTTTGCTTACGTTTATCTTCTACAGAAAATGTTTATTTTTATAACGTGAAAAAGTTTAAAGGAAAAACAATCTTTGCATGATGGATAGACTGTAATTCTGACATCAGCAACAGAAATACCACTTTTCTCAAACACGACCAATCCGCACAAAGAAAAGGCACTGGCGCCCTGGCTGGTGTGGTTCTGTGGACTGAGCGCCGGCCTGTGAACCAAAGGGTCACCAGTGGGATTCCCAGTGAGGGCACAGGCCTGGGTTGAGGGCCAGGTCCCCAGCTGGGAGTGTGCAAGAGGTAACAGACTGACATATCTCTCGCACATTGATGTTTCTCTCCCTTCCTCCCTCCCTCCCCTTCTTCCTAAAAATAAATAAATAAAAACTTAAAAAAAAAAAAGAAGGAAGAAAAGGCACAGTGTCCTGGCCATGTTCAGGTATAACACTTTCTAAAGAGCATGCAAGTGATGGAGGCATGAGTCATGATGTTGCCTCACTACTGTGATGCTGTCATTTCATAAAAGCTATTTTCTGGTCTTCATGCCCAGTCCGGACACAGAGCTCCTAAGGAGTTGTCACTCATCAACAAGCCCCTTTCAACCTCACCTGGGTTTAAACTAATGGAGAATGGGAGCTAGTTAGGGAAACTGACCTGATTAGAGCTGGAACTTTCAGCTTTGCCCCAACCTCTTTGTTAAGGGAGGGACTGGAGACTCAGCCAATCACCAATGACTAATCATGTCTATGTAATGGAACCTCCATAAAAAACTCAAAATGACCCTGGCTGGTGTAGCTCAGTGGATTGAGCACGGGCCTGCGAACTAAAAGATCGCGGTGCGATTCCCTGTCAGGGCACATGCCTGGGTTGCAGGCCAGTTCCCAGCAGGGGCCAGTTCCCAGCAGGGGATGCACCAGAAGCAACCATACATTGATATATCTCTCCTTCTCTCCTTCCCTTCCCTTCTAAAGATAAATTAAAAAAAAAAAAAACCTCAAAATGAGGTGGTTTGGAGAGCTTCAGGGTTAATGAACACATTGTATCGGGAGAGTGGTGCACCCCAAACTCCATGGGGACAGAAGGCCCTGCGTTGTGGACCCTTCCAGGCCTGCCTATGTACCTGTTCACTGTAACCTTCACCATAAACTGGTGATAGAACTAAGGTTTTCCCTGGGTTCTATGAGCCATTACAGAAAATTATTGAACCTGAGGAAGGAGTTTTGCTAGACAGAAGTGTGGTTTTGCTAGACAGAACCTGGGCACCTGAAATGGGGCCTGTGCTAATAACCCTGAGCAGTTGGTATCAGAATGAATTAAATTATAAAACACCCAAGTGGGAACCATGGAGAATTAGAGAATTGCTTGGTGAGGAAAACCCACATACTGGGTGACAAGGTGTGAGCAGAAAGCAGATCACATAGTACTTATTCAAAATGTATCAGTCACTTATTCAATATATTTGACACACTCTAATACAACATCAGTCACTTAGTTATTTAAAAAGCGGCATAGAATCTTAGAGGGCCAAATGGAAGAGTTGGCCTCCCTGGACACTCCTGGGGAGAGACTACTTTGAAATGGCCCTTGCTGGCTTCCTTGGCCAGAGGGCATTCTTCTTTGGCAAATGGACCATGCGGGGAAAATGGTGCCCCATCCCCAGCCAGGTTCTGAAGGGTCGGTGCTTTGAAGTCACTACGATTGCCATTGTAATTAATGGGGAAGGAAGAATGAATGTTGAAGGACTCTCACCACAGAGCAATAGCTGGACACATGGCTACTCTGTTCAGTTTCTAAAGAGCTCTCCCGATTTAAATAACAATACTACTTTCCCTCAACATTATTACAAATTCAAGCATTTATGCATTCAGTGATTACAAGGCACCTCGGTCAATTCAATACTGCTTTGCAGTAGGGATTAAGGCCCTTATCCAAAAATCCCTTATGTGGCTATTGTTTTGCATTGTTTTCCCTGGAAGTGTGGCTAAATACCTGAGTGCCTCAGACTACAGTGTAAGTGGAAGAGCCCCAGGGCTCGGCAGCCTGGATTGATGCAGAGGGTCAATGGCCTTTGGCTCCGGCACCTGCGGCCCACCAAGCAGGCTGACAGCTTTGGAATCCCCTCCACTGGAGGTTTGGGTCTTTGGTGCAGGTCAACTACAACAGAGCAATATAAGCTCTTTTTGAAGGGGGAGAAGATTGCTATGGACAGAAGTTTTTGGTTTCTGGGACAGGAAGTGAAGGAGGATCATTACCCCAGTGCAATTTGAGATCACACACATAGTTTGTAAAAAGCTAGACTGTCTTTAGCCTATTTCCCCCCCTTTTATAAAAAGATTTTATTTAGTCATTTCTAGAGAGAGGGGAAGGGAGGGAGAAAGCGAGGGAGAGATACATCAATCACACACTCCCAACTGGGAACCTGGCCTGTACCAGGCATGTGCCCTGACGGGGAATTGAACCAGCAAACTTTCAGTTCGCAGGCCAGTGCTCAACCCACTGAGCCACACCAATCTGGGCTATTTTTCTCCTCCTAAGTGTGAACAGCCTTGCTTGCACTTCTAAAAATTGAAACAGAATTTCAAACTCTGAAAACTTAGCCAGTCATTGTAGACATGCAGACATGTGCTCAGATTCCAGTGGTGGGCGTACGATCCAGAAATTCAGAAGTCTCGCCTCACGTGGTTATATTCTTGATGGGGCTAAGCAGGACTCTTCTATCAATTTCCTCTATAAAAACTAAAACCGTGTAAATTTATAATGTGCATTTATCTCATTCTTCCACAGTCTGGGGGGAGGTAACAAGCTAGAGCAATGGCCTATTTGTAACAATTCCCTCTCTATCTCCTTCTATTCCTGAAATAAGGCCTGTGGTTATGACAGTAACAATCTCTTGCACTTTTTCTGCAAACTGGGTCAATACATCCAGTCACTTGCTATGCCACTTCTGGATGCAGAATAAAAGTCTGACAGACAAGACAGCTGTGTGCAGCTGTGATGGCACACTAGAGGGAAGACCCAAACTGAACCTGAGCTGAAATTCAGTTCAAGTACTCATGCTTTTCACTCTTCCAAATGCTAAATAACATTTCAAAGTCATCTTTGACTTGCTTTCCCCCTAGTTTTATTTTCACTCTCCTTTCCAAACAAAAGCTAAATGATAAAGTCAAATTACAGCCCTGATTCTTGGGCCTAATTTGGTTGGGCATCATCTTGCAAAAGTGAAAGGTCACCAGTTTGATTCCAGGTCAGGGCACATGTCTGGGTTGCAGGCTAGTCCCAGGTTGGGGGTGTTCGAGAGGCAACGGATCCATGTTTCTCTTACACATCAATGCTTCTCTCTACCTCTCTTTCCCTCTCTAAAAATACATCAATTTTAAAATCTTTTTTAAAAAGTCAAATTACCAAAAAATTTGCAAATAACCCAAAAGGTGAAGCCAACCCCACAGCTTTGAGCTGGACCTGCAGTGCACTGAGTGCACGGGATGGGGTACCTCCACCGGCGCTGCCCCCACCAAGCCCACAACGGTTGCAGTCACGTGGAGGCCAAGCCACTCACTCCAAGAGACAGTCCTGCCCTTCTGGCACTGAGCCGAGAAGCCACTCAGCAGCCCCTCCAAAGGGAGCCTGGGGCTGGGGTTGAACCGTGAGGCCTCTTGATGAATAGGTCAAGTCCTCCCACAGTGGCCACAGCCCAGCCACGCCCATACCTTCTGATCCTGGTTGCCCAAACCAGCCACACTGACCCCTCTTTGGCTCCCAAATGTGCAGGGCTCCCCTCAGGCCACCCACCTGCACCCTGTTACCCCTTCCCAGACTTTCTCAAGGAGGCCTCCAATGACCACCTCTCTGGCTTCACCCTCCTCCCAAGCTCCTGTCACTGCTTGTAGCTACACTGCCTCACTGTTGGTGGGTGTCCTCCATTAGAACACCAGCCCCCAAGGGCAGGGGACTCTGTGCTTCCCAGAGTCTGAGAAGACAGTCCAGCTGGAACGGTCAGGTCAACCGTGTCCACACCCACGGTCCCCACAGGCCTCACTGTGCCCTCCCTTGGCCGCTGCCCTCCATCCAGCCTGATTCACGCTCTCACCACTAAAGCCTCCCCTCAGCACACCCACTCCAGGACCCGGCCCCATCTGCTGGCAGGCCAACCCCCTCACCAACCCTGTCCAAGGCCCCCAACCTCTCCGCCCCATCAACCACACACCCCCGCAGCAGCCGACTGTCCCCGAGGGTCCAGGGTACACCCCCTCACTTCAGGAGCAGGGGCCTGCTCTGCACAGGCTAAACTCAGGGTGGGGTGGGGGACACCACTTACACTGCACCCCACAATGTGGTATGTTGAGACCAGGCCTTGCCTTCTGAGGATGCTTCTAGTCCAGAATTTGCCATTGAAAAAACAAGCACCGTTTCCTGAAGAATCCATGCTAACTCCAGGACTGGCAGGGGGGCAGGGGGTGATTTTAATCAAATCAAAGCAGAAATATTACCAAAAAGAATGAAAAGACAAAGAGACTCAAACAACCCCAGTGGGGCTCAGCGGTGTGTGGGGGCTGGACTTCCCCAAAGTGAACTGATTTGGGGGCTCACAGTAGCAGAGGGTTGCTTCCCCTGCTCTCCCATACAGAAGGAGGTGCAGCTGCAGTGGACTGGGTTTGTGGGGGATGGGGACAGACCAGGTGTAGCAGGCCAGGTGAGCCAGGAAGAGGTTCAGATGGGAGAGGAGGCTGCAGAGCGCTCTGGGCGGAGACATAGGAGCCCTGGCCAGCTCCTCTTAGGCAGAGACAGAGAACCCAAACCCCTCCCAGGGCCTTGCCTTGGGCTCCTCTCTGCCATCCCCTGGGAAGGACACAGAGCACCTCAGAGAGAACATCCGAGGCAAAGGCAAGAAAGAGGGTGGATGGCTGGGGAGGGCTGGGGAGAGGCCCCGTCTCAGAGCTTCAGGATAGATGGTTAACCATTAAAGAAAGCTCGGTACTGAAGGAGACAGGTCATTCTCAGGCAACCATTTACTGTCACTGGATTGCTAAATACCTAAGCACACCTTAAGTCACTAAACTAGAAGACATATGCAACCTATGACATGACCACACAGGTCACCTAAGCCAGCAATCCCTCCTGCTTGACAGATAGAGAACTAGCCTCTGCAGAGACAGCTCCTTTACACCAGGCAGGTCAATGGCCAGAGAATTTATAATCGTGGAGTGGGTTGCATCTGCCCAGGTCACAAGTTTTCTGGAAGCACATGCTGACTTTTAGGACACAAGCCCCCAGGAACTCCTGCAGAGGAGCTTGCTCCATTTCACACTAACTGTGGCCCAAAAGAACCAACCTGGACGTTGCCTAGAGAGGGCCTCAGAGCCACATAGATGGCTCCAGCACCGTCTCTCGCTGGCACTGCCCTGGGTTCCTTCCGGCCCACATGACCAGCTGCCACTGCTGCTCCCAGGTTGACACTTGAAAGGAATCTGGGATCCTCAACCACCTGAATCCCAGGAAGCCCAGTCTCAACCCCTGGCTAGAAGATGCAGAGGCCACAAGGGTCATGTCCAGGGCCCAGAGCTCCTCATGGTCCCTTTGGTTTTCAGTCCCAGGGAACACACTGACACCATCATCCCCTGTGGGTAAGGTTGTGTAGCTTGGCCCCACCCCCAACCTGTCAGGATGACAGGAGCAGCACCTCCCCTGTTGTTCCCTTCCTCACTGCGTGCTCTATGCACCCAAGGACCCTGGCTGCGGGCTCACCACGGGGTCTCTAGGCTGTGCTGGTGTTCCCACATGTGCACTGACTGGGTGAAAGAACAAGCAGTAACACACAGGGCTCTACACACAGAGTGCTACCCAAAGCCATCTGGATGTTTTAGGAAACCCAAGTCAAACGTGCCACTGCTGGGGAGGTGACAGACAAGATAGGTGAGACTCCATCAACAACTGCTAATAAGACCTGGGATCCAAAGGCACCCCCCTTGATTGAGCCACCAGGACGAGAGTAGGTCCTGCTGAGACTATGTCCCGCGTTCTCCATCAAGGTGCAGGAAGGAAGGAAAAGGCCTGTAACTAGTGACTTCCCAATACTGTCACCCCCGCACCACCTGGCTGAAGATAGGGAATGAGAAGGAAAGGTCTACTCAGAGCTGCAGAGTTTCACTTGAAGAGGACAGTGTATGGGCAACTGGTAAGAGAGTGAAATGGTACAACCACCTGGGAGAACACCTGGCAGTTTTGTAAGAAACTAAACTCACATGCATGTGACCAGTCACCCCACTGCCAAGTACAGGCCCCAGCGACATGAAAATGTGTGTCTACATAGACTGGCACATGAATGTCACTAGAAGCTTTACATATAGTCCCAAACTGGGAATATCCTAGCCCCAAACTAGTGTCCACCCCTGGGGTACAAGCATACGATGGAGCACTACTCCTAACAGAAAAACAGACTCCTGATACTTAAAACAACAAGGATAAATCTCAAAAAACATCACATAGAGGCAAAAGCCAGAAAAAAAAGCAGACACTAATGATCTTATTTACATGAAGTCCATGACTTGCAAAACAAATCTATGGCATCAACAAAAATCAGCAAAGAAGGCACCAGTAGGGCCCTGGCGTGTGTGGCTCAGTGGATTGAGTGTTGGCCTGCAAACTGAAAGGTCACCAGTTCAATTCGTACTCAAGGCACATGCCTGGGTTGAGGGCCAGGTGCCCAGTTGGAGGCAAGTGAGAAGCAAGCAATCGATGTTTTTCTCTCTCTCTCTCTCCCACTCTCTCTTTCCCTCTCTCTAAGAATAAATACAATCTAAAAAACAAAAAAACAAAGAAGAAAAAGGCACCAATAGGAAGAAAAGACTACTGTACGGCCATGAAGGTAACTGTCTGTGGTAATGCTAACTCTTGACAATGATTTGTATTGACAGACATATGACTTTGTCAAAATTTACACAATGACACACTTAAGGTTTCACTGTAGGTATATTTTTACTAAAAAAGACTGCAAACAGCCCTGGCTGGTGTGGCTCAGTGGAATGAATGCTGGCCTGCAAACCAAAGGGTCGCCAGTTCAATTCCCAGTCAGGGCACATCCCTGGGTTGCAAGCCTGGTCCCCAGTAAGGGGCACATAAGAGGCAATGACACACTGATGTTTCTCTTCTACTCTTTCTCCTTCCTTCCCTTCTCTAAAAACAAATAAATAAAATCTTTAAAATTTTTTCCCACTTAAAAAAAAGAGTGCAAACAAATACTGACTCTCTAGGTAATGACTGATACACATGCAGCGGTGTTCAGGCTGAAGTGTATGGAAGTACACTGATTTGAAGTGCATCCCATCAGAAAAAAGGAAAACAGATGGTTGGACAGATGGGAAGATGGATGGATAATGCAGATAATAAGCGCTGCCTGTGGAACGCATATGACAGATATGATACATATGGGTGTGCACTGTGTGTCTCTTTCGTATGTTTCAAAGTTTCCATTAAAAACTCCTTGGGGAAAATGGCAGTAGTTTTCTAACATTACGGAGAAGTAGCTGAGTCAGTCAATTCTGGAAGACAGGGTGTGTGAGGAACAAAGAATCAGAAACAAGAGAGAGCATCCTGAAACCTGGGGCATTTTAAGGGCTTCAAAGAGAAGGGAAGAGGTTAAGCTCAACAAAAGGAGTCTGAGGAGTAAGGGTCACTAATCAGGAGCGGCTGGGCGACAGGCAAGGACAGCGGTGGAGCTGAGGAGGGGGTGAGGCAATGGAAGCACAGAGTGAGGATGACTGACCTCCATTTCTGATCGCTGTGATCCCTCGGCAGAAGTCTTCAAAACTGATCACGCCGAGCCCACTTGGATCCAAGTATTTCGTTAAGTCCTTCACCTGCAATTGCCAAGTGAGAATATGTTACCCAAGCCTTTATAAAATTGGGGGTGTATCAAGCAGTTGACCTTTCACCACATTCAGAGAAGCAGCCTAATTGCAAGGTGCGGTGCTGAAATTAAGAGCCACTGCTTTCTCTGATCCAAAGGCCACCACCAAGCCCTGCCCAGATAGCTCAGTTGGTTAGAGTGTCATAGTGGTATTACAAGCTTGTGGGTTTGACCCCCAGTCAGGGAACACTCACCAATGAAAGCATAAATAAGTGAAACACCAGGGCCAAGATAGAGGCATAGGTAGAAACACTGTACCTCCTCCCACAAGCAACTTTATGAACAACACATATTTAAAAACCAGAACACAACCCAAACAGAGAGAAAATTAAACTACCGAAGTCCAGCAACAACGAACCATTCATCCAGACTGATAAACCAGGCAAAGGAGCGCGCAGTGAGACTGACCGTGCAACCCAGGGCCCCAGCACCGGGAAATAAACCCTAAAAGCACCAATTGGAAAACCTTTCTGGGGTCGAGGTGCCGGGAGAGGCTCCCAGTTTCACAGAGAGTTTGCTGGAGAGACCCACAGGGTTCTGGAGGGTGCACAGGCCCACACATTTGGGAACTAGCACCAGGAGGGCCCAATTTCCTTGTTTGAAGCAGCAGAGGGGACTCAAATCCGAGACAGGGAGGAACAAACGCCACTGCCCCTCTCTGACCCCCGCCCCCACATACAGCATCACAACCCAGCGACCTGGGCTGCCCTGCCCTGGTGAACACCTAAGGCTCCGCCCCTCATACATAACAGACCAAATCATTATGGCTCAAGAAGAAGAACAGCTCAAAGCCCGAGAGCCAATACTTCTAAGCGACTAAGAGATAGCCACCCTATTGGATGCACAGTTCAAAACACTGGTGATCAGGATGCTCACAGAACTGGTTGATTTTAGTCACAAATTAGGAACAAATGAAGGCTTCACTAAGTGAAATGAAGCAAAATGCACAGGGAACCAATAGTGATGCAATGGAAACTGGGACTAAAATCAATTGAGTGAACCAGAAGGAAGAAATAAATGACCAACCAGAAAAGAATGAAGAAACAAGAATTCAAAAAAATGAGGAGAGGCTTAGGAACCTCCAGGACATCTTTAAATGTTCCAACATCTGAATCATATGGGTACCAGACGGAGAAGAGGAAGAGGGAGAAATTACAAACGTATATGAAAAAATAATAAAGGAGAACTTCCCCAGTCTGGCAAAGGCAATAGACTTCCATGAAATCCAGGAAGCTCAGAGAATCCCAAAGGAGTTGGGCACAAGGAGGAACACACCAAGGCACATCATCATTACATTAGCCGAGATTAAATTGGAGAGAATCCTAGAAGCAGCAAGAGATAAGGGGACAGTCACCTACAAAGGAGTTCCCATCAGACTGTCAGTGGATTTCTCAAAAGAGACCTTACTGGCAAGAAGGGGCTGGAAAGAAGTATTCCAAGTCATGAAATCCAAAGACCTACAACCAAGATTATTCTATCCAACAAAGCTTTCATTTAGAATGGAAGGGCAGATAAAGTGCTTCTCAGATAAGGTCAAGTTCAAGGAGTTCATCATCACCAAACCCTTATTATATGAAATGTTAAAGGGACTTATCTAAGAAAAAGAAGATAAAAAATATGAACAGTGAAAGGACAGCAAACTCACAGCTATTAACAACCAAACCTAAAACAAAAGCAAACTAAGCAGACAGCTAGATCAGGAGTAGACCATAGAAATGGAGATCACATGGAGGATTAGCAACAGGGGAGTGGGAGGAGGAGGGGGAGAAGGTACAGAGAATAAGTAGCATAGATGGTAAGTAGAAAATAGACAGGGGGAAGGGCAAGAATAGTATGGGAAATATAGAATCTAAAGAACTTGTGACACATGGACATAAATGAAAGGGGGGAATGGTGGAGGGGTGCAGGGTAGAGGGGGATGAACGGGGGAAATGGGACAACTGTAATGGCATAATCAATAAAACATATTTTAAAAAAATAAGTGGAACACCAAATCGATGTTTCTCTCTGTCTCAGTCTCTCTCTGCAAAAATCAGTAATGTTTTTAAAGGCCACCAACAGCTCCAGACAGAGAAAAGATAGTATCCTAGGAGAAGATGCCAACAGCACCTGGGACCATGAGTCATGGAATAAAATCCTGCTCTTAACTTCTGCCCAAGATAAAGGCATAGATAGATACATTTTGACTCCTTATACAACCAAAAGAAGGACAAAAACAAATTTAAAACAAACAAACAAAAACAGGAACTGCCAGAAAATCGAATTGTATGGAAGTCTGACAACCAAGCAGTTAAAGAAGAAACATTTACCCAGACTGGTAGGAGGGGCAAGGAGGAGTAGCCGGGGTGGAGAGAACTCCCAACAAGGCTGCACCTGGAGGAGCTAAGCAGTCAAGGTTCTGGCTGGTGAATCAGGTGGTCCCACATTTGTGTGCAGATAAACCGCGAGGACCAACTGGTGAGCAAGACAGACAGTGCAACCCAGGGTTCCAGCAACGACAAATAAAGCCTCAAGGCCTGTGACTGTGGAAAACTGTGGGGGTTGCAGTGGACAGAGAGATTCCCAGCCTCACAGGAGAGTCCGTTGGAGAGACACACAGAGTTCTGGAACGTGCACAAGCTCACCCACCCAGGAATCAGCACCAGAAGGGCCCAATTTGCTTGTGGGTAGTGGGGGAAGTGACTGAAAACCAGCCAAGAGCAAAGCAAGTGACACTGTTCCCTCTTGGACCCCTCCCCCCTATACAGTGCCAAAAGGCAGCATCATGGATTGCCCTGCCCTGACAAATATCTAAGGTTTTGCCACTTATTACATAACAGGTATGCTAAGACAAAAATATGGCCCAAATGAAAGAACTAAGCGACAAGGAGATAGCCAACCTATCAGATACAGAATTCAAGACACTGGTAATCAGGATGCTCAGAGAAATGGTTGAGTGTGGTTGCAAAATAGAGAAAGAAGTGAAGGCTATGCAAAGTGAAATAAAGAAAAATGTATAGGGAATCAACAGTGAAGAGAAGGAAACCGGGACTCAAATCAATGGTTTGGACCAGAAGGAAGAAACAAACATTCGATTAAAACAAGGAAGAAACATGAATTCAAAAAAATGAGGAGAGGCTTAGGAACCTCTGGGACAACTTTAAATGTTCCAACATCTGAATCATATGGGTACCAGACGGAGAAGAGAAAGAGGGAAAAATGGAAAATTTATATGAAAAAATAACGAAGAAGAACTTCCCCAATCTGGCAAAGAAGATAGACTTCCAGAAAGTCCAGGAAGCTCAGAGAGTCCCAAAGAAGTTGGACCCAAAGAAGCACATACCAAGGCACACCATTATTACATTACCTAAGGCTAACGATAAGGAGAGACTCTTAAAAGCAATAGGAAAGGAGACAGTTACTTACAAAGGAGTTCCCCTAAGACTGACAGCTGATTTCTCAAAAGAAACCTTGCAGGTAGGAAGGGGCTGGAAAGAAGTATTCCAAGTCATGAAAGGCAAGGACCTACATCCAAGATGGCTCTATCTAGCAAAGCCTTCATTTACAATGGAAGGACAAATAAAGTGCTTCCCAGATAAGGTCAAGTTAAGGAGTTCATCATCACCAAGCCCTTATTATATCAAATGTTAAAGGGACTTATCTAAGAAAAAGATGATTATAACTATGAATAGTAATAGTAAAATGACAACAAACTCAGTTATTAACAACTGAACCTAAAAACGAAAACAAACGAAGCAAACAACTAGAACAGGAACAGAATCACAGAAACGGAGATCACATGGAGGTTTATCAGTGGAAAAGGAAGGGGGCATGATGGGGGAAAAGGTACAGGGAATAAGAAGCATAAATGGTAGGTTAAGAACAGTATGGGAAATGGAGAAGCGAAAGAACTTAGTGCAATCCATGGACATGAACTAAGGTTGGGGAATGCTGGTGGGAGGGGGCAGTACAGGGCAGAGGGGAAATACAGGGCAGAGGAGAGTAAAGGAGAGAAAAATTATGGGACAACTGTAATAGCATAATCAAGAACATATATTTTTTTAAAATCCTGCTCTCAAAAGTCAATAGCTACGTTTCCTGAGTGGAAAGACCATCAGTGTTGACATTTTAGATATTATTCCAGCCAGTATCTAGACTACTACACATAGCATAGCTCTACCCACCCATTCCAACAGCTGTGCAGACTCCTTAGGAAAAACGAGTTAAGCAAGTAGACCTAAAAATAATAAAAAGTAAGTAGGACAATTCACACATGAATGTTATAGAGAACAAAAGTCTTCATAAAGAAGATACATTTATATTTCCAAGTATAAACTGGATTTCATCAACACATAAAAGTTTTGCACTTCAAAAGACAATATTAGTAAAACTAAAAGACACAGACTAAGAGAAAAATAAAGATTTAAACAGTTATTTTATCAAAGAAAATATACAAATGGCTTATAAGCACACAAAAAGATGCTAAAGATCATGAGTCCTGCCCTGCCCAGTGTGGCTCAGTTAGTTGGGCACCGGTTTGATTCCCGGTCAGGGCACGTGCCTGGGCTGCAGGTTCAGTACCTGGACAGGGCGCACGCAAGAGGCAACTGATAGATGGTGTTTCTCTCCCTGTCTTTTTCCCTCCCTGTCCTCTCTCTAAAAAATAAATAAATAAAATCTTTAAAAACAACAACAACAAAGATTGTGAGTTCTTAGGGAAATGCAAATTAAAACCACGAGCTATCACTCACTAGAAGAGCTGTAATCAAAGGTACTGACAGTAACAAGGGTTGGCGAGAAGGTGGGAAAACTGAAAGCTCATATATTGCTAAGAGGAATGTAAACGGTCTGGCCAATTTGGAAAATCATTTGGCAGTTTCTTGAAAAGTTACACATAAGCTTACTACACAACATAGCATCTCCATTCTTAGGTATCCACCCAAGAGGAAAAAAATATCCAAAAAAAGATGT